TTAACAATAAACCGTCCTAATGCGGCCTACGATAAGGCAGGCTTATTACAGGAGCCACCCGCTCTTCAACAAATTGTTGGTAGTAGGTTAGGTCGGCTACAAGTTTAAATGGTTAAAGCTCACGATAAAATATTTCTGTTAAATACTATTGTGTATAATTTTGACAATAAAACAAATTATTATTAAATGATGTTTCATTAAAACCGAAAGCCAATACAAATTATATTGGATTTGTTTACCTAACCCAAACAGATCTAGGTCGGTTCTAAGTACATTCAACTTTTTGTGTAAAATTCTGGTTGTTTAACGATCCATTAGGTATCGAAAGTTAAGAGTCCTTGTTAAAATAATAATATAGTGTATACAGCCACGAGCCGACAGGGAAATATACAGCGGTATGATGTGTACATAATGAAATATGTTCGCCGATAAACTCTTGTCACAAAAAAAAAAAGCAGGCCACAACTATATTATAAATTTATAAATAACCGTCACGTTCTTGCCCACACCAGCCAAAGGGATCATGCGGCATGCCCTGCTTGGGCCCTCCAAGTGCTCAGCCAAAGTGAATCGTCGTTTGTCACAGCTAGTCGTCCGTCTTTTAGCAACATAATAATATATTAATTAATCGTTGATAAATATTTTTGTCTTTTGACGTTCTTGTACACAATCCTAATTTATTAATAATACTATATTATTTTGTCTATAAAATATTTTTGTCACATTAAAACTTATTGCTCTTCATGTTCTATTATTATTTACTTTAATAGTTTGTATTGCGGTGCTTACTACGTAGTTGAGTACAATATATAGTTGTTGACTAGTTGGTCTTACTGGTTTGAGTACGATTTATTTTTGAAACCGACCTTTTCGTGTCTCGGGTGCATAATATGTTATTTTCTCAATTTTAGGTGTTTGCTTGGAGAAAAATCCAGCTGATGCACGCTTAAAATATTTGTTTAGACTAAACGCCACCTTAGTACAAACGTTCCTGATCAGTTTTTTATACGTTTAGAATATTTATATTCACCGAATTACACTTGACTACCGGATTTAACGTTGTGCCTTTCCCCTCCGGTCAGTGTTGTTTCGCAGTTCGACCATTTTTTTAGTCGTTTGGAAAATTTTTGTTTTATATTATTATTATATATATTTTGGTCGTGAACTATAGAGAAGGCTTTATTGTCTGGGTAAATGGGCGATAAAACATATAATCGAATGGATTGTACGCAGTAATGTATTTTTCACTGCTTTATGCCGGGTTTAATAATAAATATGTTTATAGGTTATTTATAATATATATGCAGTGAGACACTGTTGTCACTTGTCTAAGACCAAATGAAGGCCTGGTGTCATTAAACCACACACATCATAGAAAAAAATAATAAAATGAATATAATATAATAACTAGAGTGGTCGTTTTACATCCACAAACAATTATATGCAGCTCGATGGGATTAAAAATGAGACTTTTGAAAAAAATGTATTTTTCTTATTTTAGAGCTTAAAGGGTTCCCTACAAAATGTATCATCTTTCGATTAAATATTAAGTGTTTTTGTTCTAAAACCATTAATGACCCGAATAAATCGCGCTATATATTAAAGCACACATTCATGTTTGTATGTCATCTGTTGTAGGTTTAAGAAAATATTCAAAAACATTTAATTGAATTCAGCAATAAAGATAAAAATGAGAAAATTGTAAAATAAAAAATTTAATTATCTCCCAAAAAGAAAACCACAAAATTGTAACTGTTTTCAAAGAAACTGTGTGTGTGTGTACTTACGTTAAATGGAACACCTTTTATATTATTATTATAATTCATTGTTGTTTTTAATTTCAAGACGATGACGGGGAAGTAAATAAAATAAAATACAAAAACAATGTTCATTATAATATGTCGTTCAGGAGGGTACTTGAGGACGTTGTGAACTTTAAAACAATACCAAGGTTTCGCGCGTGGGTCGTACAAAGAAAAACAATGATCCCAACTCTCAAGTGTTTATGATTGTGTTTTTCGAAACGTGAACTTTATAAACCAAAATGGCTTTTGTGTGTTTTATTTTTTTTAAGTCAACAAATAACATGGTATGTGAACTGCGTTTGTCTGAACTATTAGTTGTGTTTTAGTCGACGGCCTGTTTGAGGTGGAACCTAGAAGATACATGGTCGCGCGTCGACTCTTCCGGCGTAACGCGGTAGCGACCGAGCACGCATCGCGTTATCGCTCGTGTCGTTTGATATAATATTGTGTACCGTGTAATAATAATAATAATAATAATAATATTATTATTACATTTACGGTGTCAAAGATGTAGGAAAAATTACGTCGTGCACCGTGTTTATAAACCATTGTAACGTCGAGTAGGAGAAAGAAGGTCATGCACCGTACGGTTGTGGCCGTTTGGTGAAGAAAGAGAAACGCGTGTGTGTGTGTGTGCCATCAGCAATAAAAGTAGTTGGCGATGATTATTGCCGTCGGTCTTCCGTCATTGGTTTAAAATATGAGAATTTATAACAGTGAAGTGAAAAAAAAAAATGAAAACCTATATAATATAATATTATGTACGTTTTATTTAGTAACAACTCGATCGCTAATCGCGGTCGACGGCCAACGTTGTGTGTTTGGTCGTCGATGGTAGTGCCCCCTCTGGCCTTCTCGCCTACCCCGATGTCCTTATGTCGACTGTTACAGCGTTAGAGACGCACGGCCGAGAGCGGTGGGGAGAGGACAAGTGATTTCTTGTTGCGTGTCGCTGAGGTGAATCCGTACCGGTGCGGTTGCACGGGTAAACTGGTCTGGTAACTACAACAATACCGCTTTTATTGATGACGGTTGTTGCCGCCGCCGCCACCGCACCAACGAACGGCGGCCACAAGTCACAACAGTGAGTGTTCGTTCGCTGTGTCCGCGCGTACCCGTACCTACTCGTTTACCCTCTTTCAATATTCCTAATTACCCGCGACCACCGATAAAACGCTTACACCTCTTTGGTTATATCTATGATCTCACGCTTATCGTATGTAGATTTTATTAATTTTTTTTAATTATCACACGTTTACAACTATTGTTAACGATTCACCGATTATTTATTATAAATTATTATTATTAAATATTCGGACGTGTTTCCCGTGTCGGTCGATAAAATAGTCATTATTATTTCATTCATGTAAACATGACCAAAAATACTAAATCGTGATAAAAACGTCTCGCGATTTCCACGTACGTTTCGCAGCTGTAGCTATTATTATGGTCGTATCTGTGGATTGTGTAAGATGCAAACATACATTTTTAATTATAATTATGTAATGTATTATCATAGTACTACAATATTAACAATATACTTGTTGAGGGATATGTTGTGTGATAATCGCCAATTTCAGTTTTTATATCGTTTCTCGTTTTCGGAAAAAAAATATTTCATTCGAGTAAAACACTAAATGGAATTATTCTCATATTACTTTTTACAATATATTGTATGGTATCTTCCGTTTGTATGCTTATAGAGAATTGTTAGTCAAAAAACTCTGTAAAAACTGAAATTCCTTGATTTAATTGGCTTTTGTTATGTTAACCAACACGGGAGGCAAAGCCGACCGATATGGCTAGTGACCCTCTCAAATCCGGGTTAACCCCAAAAGTTGTCCTGCCTGTAATCAATGAAATCAAAAATATCAGCTTGAAATTAATGTTGGTGCCGAAACAATATTTATTATAGAAAATATAGATAATCTATGCAGAATACATTATTTTAGACAACGCGGTGACTTGTGATGGTTTCATGTGAAAGTAGACCCCTCCATGTAATTTCGATTATTAGTATACTATATAAATACGTTAATTTATTGTCTCCCATTTTCTAAACGGAATTTTAATAATAATAATCCTCGAGGCTAATCTAATTTTCTTATTTTATTCAGCGTTTTTTTACGCTGTTGTCAGTGTCGTTGTCGAGATAATAATGTCTAATGTTGTACACAATTTCTAATTATGATTTATAAACAGTTGGACACACAAAATAGCTGTCGATTTTTTTATTTTTGTAAAATTTTGGTAGTTAACCACAGTTCACACTTGCCCAAAGTAACCCCCGTTTTTGCTAACGGGAACGGGATCTTTAATTAAAACCATTCGTTTTTCTATAGTATGATTGCGTTTTTATTTGACTTGTAATGATAATGATTCTCTTGTGTAATACACAATTAATAAAGCGGTGACCAAATTTAAAAATTGTATTCCTTTGCGTTATTTGGAGGGGGGTTTTCGCCGTAAAAATTACAACTTGTCCTCGAGTAGAAAATAGTGAAAAACAAGGAGAAAATCGAAATATAGTGCTGTAGTAATGGTTGTTATCAGTGATGCGAAAAAAGCGTGAAAATCCGAGTTTCACATTGGACTGGCAGGGGATTGCGTTACGCCATAACAATGATAATAGTATTATATATCTATATAGGCGGTTTAATATTAAAGTAAAAGCGTTGCGAATTAACTGTTTCACTGCCGCCGCACAATGTCTCTCCTCCTTAGGACAATATTAGTATAATAGTAGTGGCCAAAAGTAAATCGTTCTGCTTAACACCAGGCACACGTTTCGTATTAAATATTTATATATTTTATTTGATCGCTTATAAAATAAGAACTCGACTTCCAAAACGATGGTGTTGCAAGTAGAACATAAGGTAATGTTTTTATTTATTCATTGTAATATCGGAGATAGACAAAAATGTGGATTTTCACAATTTTAATAATGCCAAACCCAAATATATTTTAATAGTGTATCCCGGACATCCACCCTTGGCAACATGTTTGCGTCTTAATCACTCGGTTAGGTTATCGATCATGTGTATGGTGTACTCATTAAAAATTATATTAGCATATTAATTACAAGCCGAAATTGCGAAAGGAAAATAAAAGACCATTTAAATTTATACTATCCATGTTTATTTACATAACTGTCAAGTGCATGTTACCTATAACTGAGGTTTTGTGTATTTTCAGTATCCACCAATGACGATCCTATACGACCCAACGATTAGGAAAGACTCTACGACCAATGGTGTTGCATCGCCACAATTTTCTACCGAACAAGAGCTGTGTCTGAGGTATTTCGACAAATGGAGCGAACAACACCAAATCGACTTTGTCGAACACCTACTGTCGCGTATGTGTCACTACCAACACGGACACATCGACACTTATTTAAAACCCATGTTACAAAGAGACTTCATATCGCTCTTACCCAGTAAGTCTACAGTGGTATTTTATTTTTAAAAAAACTAATCTTTAATTTTTTTTAGAAAAAGGCCTAGACCATGTGGCCGAAAACATTTTATCCTACCTAGATGCCGATTCTTTGTATGCTGCCGAGTTGGTGTGTAAAGAATGGTATAGGGTAATTTCAGAAGGCATGCTTTGGAAAAAGTTAATCGAACGTAAAGTACGTACCGATTCACTGTGGAGAGGGCTTGCCGAAAGAAGGGGATGGTATGTTTCGATGTTTAAATATTATTATTGTAACTGTTTGTAAGTGTTGTCGTTTAATTTTAAAGGATTCAATACTTATTCAAACCAAAGCCGGGTGAACATCACCCTGATCATTTCTCCTACAGGGCCCTGTTTCCTAAAATAATACAAGATATAGAAGTAAGTTTGTTACAACAACAAATTATTTTAGACACTGAACCCCTAATTTTAATTGTGTAACTGACTAATATAATTTCCTTTTTTTGTCTTACGCAGAGTATAGAATCAAATTGGCGGACGGGCAATTTTCTTTTACAGAGAATAAATTGCCGGTCAGAAAACTCCAAAGGTGTTTACTGTTTACAGTACGATGATAATAAAATTGTCTCTGGTCTACGTGATAATACCATAAAAATATGGGATAGAAATACGTTAGAATGTGTTAAGGTACATATTGTTATATTATAACTAATATTGTTACATATTAAAACCAAAATTAAAACTGAAATCCATATTTTATTTTTTAGGTATTGACTGGCCACACTGGCTCGGTCTTGTGTTTGCAATATGACGACAAAGTGATTGTTAGCGGTTCCAGCGACAGCACGGTACGCGTATGGAACGTTGCCACTGGTGAAATGGTGAACACATTGATACACCATTGTGAAGCGGTTTTACACTTAAGGTTTAGCAATAACATGATGGTCACATGTTCAAAAGTTTGTACATTTGTTGTTTATTTGACGTCGTTGAGGTTATATTCATTACTATATTACAACTTTTATCTTAGGACCGATCGATAGCTGTGTGGGATATGGTGTCGCCTAGTGAAATGACCTTACGTCGTGTACTAGTTGGACATCGCGCTGCAGTAAATGTTGTCGATTTTGACGATAAATATATAGTTTCTGCTTCTGGAGACCGTACAATTAAAGTGTGGAACACGTCCAGTTGTGAATTTGTACGAACCCTAAATGGTCATAAACGTGGCATCGCCTGCCTTCAGTATAGAGATCGTTTGGTAGTTAGCGGCAGTTCTGATAATACCATCAGGTACTCGACTTAATTTGATCGGAAGTTATATCGGTATATTTATTAAGTGTATTTTATTTTTAGATTATGGGATATTGAGTATGGCGCTTGTTTAAGAGTTCTCGAAGGTCACGAAGAGCTGGTTCGATGCATCAGGTTCGATAGTAAAAGAATCGTTAGTGGAGCGTACGACGGGTAAGTAAAAAAAAACCACATTGGGTTAAAATCACTTTCCAAAACAAGTTTTTTGATTTAATATAATGAATTAATCCCTATAGGAAAATCAAAGTGTGGAACTTAGTGGCGGCGTTGGACCCTCGAGCTCTTTCATCTACGCTCTGTCTCCGCACACTCATGGTAAGCGTTTCGCACTACGTAGCCTTTTATGATTTTTTATTTTTTCGTGATTGAGAGAGGAGGAATTTTTGTCCGGCAGGAGCACACGGGACGAGTGTTTCGACTCCAGTTTGATGAGTTTCAAATAGTGAGCTCCTCACATGACGACACTATACTCATTTGGGACTTCCTCAATTATAATGACAGAAATAATGCGGCGGCAGGACCGTCAAATAACGCCGCCTTACACGCGGGAAGTGCTCCACACGTAATCGACCTTCCTCCTTTACCACCAGGTTAACTGTTATTGTTAACATTATACAGTTTATTTTTACCGTTTACTCATACTTATACTCCTAATTTTTTAGGATTCGAGTGACCTAATGGGCTAGTCATCCGTAAATTGACAGAGTACAAGCAAAGTGCTCGCCGTGAATATTGCTTACAAATGATGGTAAATTAACCTTATCACGTCTTGTTCTCATTTTTATTTATTTATTATATCATATGTTATATACTTTCAAATATATAATTATATATGTATAATACAACTAAATTAAAAAATACAGAAACGCCCAAATTTAATACTGTGCCAATCACGTTCTCTACTGTTTTTTTATATCTACATTTGATAATTCTAATATTTAATGCAAATTTTCATTTTACGAGTCGTTGAAATGGTAGTATTAAATTTAATTTATCCGAGAAATATCTGTGATTTTTCATAAGGAATTGTCAAATACAAAAAATATATCAGAAGAGTGCATTGACACTTTTATAATTTCCTTTATAAACGTTTTTTCTTAATCAATATTGTCATTATGTAACAGGACATGTTTATAGGATATTTGATTTTTATGTGCTAAGGAAAAAAAAATTACAAAACTAATAACTGTGTATAGTCCCTATTTGAATAAGTTCAAAAAAATCTTTGTATATAAGTGATTTTGTATAATTTATATAATAATTATTATAAAATACAAATTATATTAGAAAAAAACAATGTGAAACTTTTTTTTTTTTTTTTATAATTTTAGGCATCCATATTCCTTTTTTTTACAATCCTATCATTACTTCTATCTTACGCTGACCTACATATTTTGGAAAACCACTGTTTTGATTTGTAACAACGATCACTAGTGCAGTGCGCACATCTCAAAAGAAATTTTGGTCCGACTGGTTTGACGTCTCGTAAGTGCTGCAATACTATATCCGCAATCGCATCAATGAACAAAGGATGGTCATTGGGTGCGGCAGCTCTACGTATATTTTTTATTCCCAGCTGAAAAAGAATTAAAATTATATTTTTTGTTTATTTTAACGCATATTACTCTAACGTTGAAATATTTAATCAATTTACTTCTTCTCCCAGCTCCTTACAATATTCTATATCGAGTTCGTGCAATGTTTCGATATGTTCATTTACAAAGGCAATGGGCACCAGAATAAAATGTTTTTTCCCTTGTTTTACATAACCTATAATAAAAACCGAAACACATATTATGATAGGTAGTAGTTCTATTTAAACCCCAACATTAATTAAATAAAAAATTTAATTAATGACACCAGTTAAAAAAAATATACTTTAATGAACTTATCATTTTTAAATAGTTTTTATCAATAATTTAAAAAAAAAAAGGCTCAGGTTTAGTTCAATCAACATATTGAAGAATGAAGTGGTTTTACGTTAAATCTTTGAGCAATTATTTTTTATTAAATAATCCCACATTAAGTAACTAGACTGGAATGTTTATGGAAAATTTCTCCAAAAAAAACTACTACAGTTAAAAAATAAACACGTATGGGTAACATGCCGCAAACACCAGTGCCCTTGAGTGATAAAATAACAAAAGAATTTCTTTTAAATTTAAAAAAAATGTTGTCCAATTCAGAAAAACATTTTATTTAAAATAAAATAAAAATTGATTGGAGGGAAAAAAATTAAAACTAATTCTTTTCCCTTTTAAAGTTAAAAATAATTCAGCCCTTTGTTTAGAACCAAAATAAAATATCAACACCTTTAAGAGCATCATCAGTAAAAGGACCCAACCAAGGTAATGGTCCGACTTTCGACTGCCAAACCAATGCGTAAGGATATACGTATCCTAACTCTTCCATTACTGCGTGAACTGTTGAGCTCACTTCGGAAGGATACGCATCACCTCGATTGACAGCCTGAAACGAAAACAAAAAGGAGGACCCTCTACTTAACAATTTTTACTAGGACGCACAAAATTTAATTATTTTTATTTTGAAGGCATAATATGAAGATATATGAGACGTGAAGCAAGTAGCTTAAAGTATTTAATGAACATAAATCCAATAAATCCTGAATTTTGGCATAAATACCAAACATGTTTTGGATTTGTTGTGCTAACTATTGGTAAGACAAGATATCCAATGGAGATGTTGAGAGAGAAATTACCTTTAAAGGCAAAGAATGTGCAGAAAATAATATGACAACATTGTCTCTCTCTGTTTCCGGGAATTTTTTTATTTCGTCAGAGATTCTTGAACCTATTGCTTTAATTAACAATGGGTGAGTGGGCCATCGATCGATTACACTCATCTTAACATCATTTGGAAATTGACTAGAAAACACAAGATGAACAACATACAATAACAATTGAAATACTATATTTTAAAAGTGTTGTTTTGTTAATTTGTATGTAATAACACTTTTTACTTGTGATTTACTTTTTTTGAAAGTAAGAATAAATTGCATTAAAACTCGATCCACTGGTTGCGCAGCTATATTGAGGATACTGAGAAAAAAGTACTACGCGCTTAACACCGTCCCTAAAAATGTAATAATAATTAAAATAACACTATGGGTTTGACAAAAAATGCACAGAACAATAGCACTTACATTTCTATTTCGTCAAAGGTTTTTTCAGTTAGCGGATCAACATAACGGAATGCTATGTAATGTTTGTGTGGAGCGGTGCTCGGTGATATTTTGTCTAATTTTTCACACAACAACTTTCCCTGAAAAAAGGAGAATAACATTATTAATAATGAATTGTACTCAACTGCTGTAAACAATTTACTTGAATATTGGTCCATTTTAAAATCGGAGAGCCGCCACCGATTTCAGCGTATTTTTTTTGTACTTCCGGCGTCCGTCTCCTCGCAATATAAGGCCCAAGAGTACTGTTAACAATCACCCAATTGTAAAACACTGGCATTTGCCAAAACAATAATTCTAACATTAGTAATATATTAAAGTATATGTTCACTTTTGAAACGGCAGCTGCATCATATCTCGGTCGGTCATTATCCTATGTAAATAGTCGTGCACCTGATTGACGTGTTGTGGTCCACCCATGTTTAACATGACGACAGCCGTTTTCGCTTTGGCAGTTAAACTTCGACTAGAAAATCCTTTGAGCCCAACAAACAAGAATGTATTATTATTATTATTTATGGTTTGTCAGTATTTTTATTTAACCATGAATTATAGTCATCATAACGATTAGTCGGTCAGTTTCGATATCATACCTGCTGCGGCCGGCTTACTTAGTAAGCAATATAAATTGAACATTTTTCTATTTTCTAAATAATACTTATTGTGTATAAGTGTACCTATTGTGTATCACAAATTTATTATTATTATCTATTAAAAATATAAAACGTCTACACCATTATACTAGCGGCTAGCCATAAGGACTAAGGAGTAAGGAGAAAGCAAAATAAAATTATATTAAAACTAATAGGTATTTCGGCAACTTGTGTTATCAATTTTTACAATTTGGAAGTCAGATATTTCTCGTGACAAATACATGGCCGCCCGAGATAACACAGCCATTTTTAACAAGCTATATACCTATTTATTATGTCTTGACAATATATTATCACTCCAAGGTTTTATTTTATTAATGATGATATATACTCTACTATGGTTAATAATGAACCTGACAAAATTTGCATAATGTATTGCATTATCTATTCGTCACTCACTCATTTCTAGTTTCTAAAAATATTTTAGATTATTAATTTATAATTAAATGGTATTTTTCTGTTATTATACCCATATAAAAATTATTAAGTCAAAATATTTTTTATTAAAAATCGGAAGCTGAATAATAATGTTCAAATAACTAGAATTTTATCAACTTGTTAATTAATTTTTAATTACCTATTTTTTTACATTTAGTTTTTACTATATTCCTATTATACCAATTGACTATTATCTGTTCAATTTTTCAAGACATAATATAATAGCACCTGTCATTTTTTTGTAAAACTACTTAGTTAAACTTACTTAATACTCTCTCCTAAATAATAAACATCTAATTTTGTACATTTGTTTCTTATATAAAATTTACATTGTCACCACCAACATGTCATCTCCAATTTACTATCACTATATGGAAAGCAGGTAATTATTATTTCCTATAATCTTACCTAATAGTTGTAAAATAAAAAAAAGAACATATTGATCTGGGGAATAAAAGTGTATAATATTTTCACACATTCTTGTGACTTACTTTTGTATCAGAACAAAACAACATTATTCCAATTTCCAATATTTAATTATGGATTATCATATGAAATAAAAATTACTTATAATACTACTTAAAAGTATAATTGATTATTAATTTAAATAAACTTTAGTGTTAATACAAATTAAAATGTAAAATATAAATAGCAATACAATTTTTCTACTAGAATATAAAATCGATAAACATTTATCACATACCTATGTAATAACATTTTCTAAAATAATTAATTTATACTTATAATATTAAAATTTTTATCTATAACAGGTCAAGCATATTTTATTCATATCATCATTGCACCTATAAAAGAAAAAAACTAAGTTGAAATTAAATGTACTAAATTATTTTAGAATAAGTAAGGATATCAATTTGAAAATATATGATTAACAACAAATGTTATTAAATACAAGTATACTCACAATGAAAATGTACACATATTACAATAAATATCATTGCATTTTCCACATATATCTAAATTTTTAGTTTTTGAACAAAATGTACATTTTTGTTGATTGTCCAAAACATAAATAGTTGATACCTAAGAAAATTAGAATTCAAAATTCAAAATCATTAAAGTATTTTTGAAAAGTATATATATATATATATATATATCTTACTTTTTTAGGTGATTCAGTCTTAGAAAGCTTGCCATCAAATGTTAACTGCAATTGTTTCGATGGTTTAAGATCACAAGGTACTTTGTTAGTCACAACAGCTGGTTCATCCGTTTCAAATGTGATGCCTGCATTTTTGAACAACAATTGTTTTGTCCTTTCTAAAATAGAATGTTTGATACAATAAATTAAAATCCAAAATTAATAACATATGAATAAAATTCATACCATAAATTTCAATCATCTTTGTTTGGGCCATAACTCCATTGGCGACTTGTTTGTCACCAACATGAATTTTTAACTGCGGACACATATCGACTCCATACGGATACTTTCTCTTGTTCATTTTAATAATAATAATGTGACAAATTAAAAATTACAGTGGAAAAAAACAAATAGAGTGAACCAACTTGAGAGTTAAAACTTTAAGCGTTAGTCACTGTTTGGACTTGAACCACATGCACTCTTTTTATTTTACTATTTATTAATGAACAACGGAAGGAGGGGAAAATGTTTTTATTTTTAAATTTTATCTCAAAAGAAAGAGAACCTCGGCCCATAGTCGTAAAATGTAAACGTCAAACGGTTGCAATTTAACTTAAATTATCAATATTGTTTAAAAAATAGCTTTGAAAATAATATAATATTGCTTACTACAAAGGTCGGAACATGAAAAAAAAAAATAGGTATGTCGACAACTTGTGATAACCATAAAATGGCTACCATTATTGGTTCCGGCGACTGTGTATTACATGACAACACTCGCAACCATTTTGTAATAATTGGCCACACAAGTTGCCGACATACCTGCTTATTTTGAAAGTTGAGTTTTCAGCAGCAAGTATAGTTGGCTGCACTGGATTACACGTCCATTGTTGTGATAACAGATGATAAATAATCGAAAAATGATAAAGAAAACATTATGCAAAGACGTCGTATACTATTAAATGTTGTATTTCATAAGTCTTTGGAAGTATAATAACATGACTTGTGTTTTTGTGTTACGAGTATTCCGCTTGTCATATTCGTTCTTATAACGCATTTCATATTATACCAAATAATACAGAATACAGTTAAACTTGTGATGTTATTAAATTCTTTTGTGTACTTGCATAATAAAACTTAGAAATTATTTTTTGTGAATTGTAATTGAATTAAATTAATAAAAAAAATGAATATTACGTCGGCAGCGGGCGTTATATCGTTGTTGGACGAGCCAGCACCTGAATTGAAAATAATTGCCCTGCGTAAGTTAGATGCAATTGTGGACGAATTTTGGCCAGAAATATCTGAAGCAATTCAAAAAATCGAATTCCTCCACGAAGATAAGACGTTTTCACAACAAAGCCTAGCCGCTCTCGTTGCTAGCAAGGTATATTATCATCTTGGATCATTTGCCGACTCGCTGCAGTATGCTCTTGGTGCCAGTGACTTGTTCGACGTCAATGCCCGAAACGAGTATGTGGAGACTATCATTGCCAAATGTATCGATCACTACACTAAGCTGCGTGTTGAAGCTGCTGAGAACACGACTTTACCACCAGCAATGGACATACGTTTAGAGGCTATTGTCAATCGTATGTTCCAAAGGTGTTTAGACGATAAACAGTACAAGCAAGCTTTAGGTTTAGCTTTGGAGACGAGACGTATGGATGTATTTGCTAAATCTATCGAATCTTCTGACAATGTCAATGAAATGCTGTCATATGCATTTCAAGTGGCGATGAGTACTATTGAAAACCGTAGTTTTCGTAGCACAGTTTTACGTAGTTTAATCAGTTTATACCGAAATCTAGAGGTACCAGATTACGTTAACATGAGTCAGTGTTTCATATTTTTGGATGACCCGACATCAGTTGCACAGCTCTTAGAAGGCCTAATTCAAAACAACGAAGAAAAGAACTGCCTAATGGCGTATCAAATAGCTTTTGATTTATACGAATCGGCTACTCAACAGTTCTTGTCCAGTGTTCTTGAATCATTGCGACAAACAGCACCTATCCCATCAGCTACTCATGTTATTAAACCGATTCCGGCTGCACAAAGTAATGCAGACAAAGAAAACGTAACACCCCCAATAGCCATTGCAGTAGCTGATGTTGGCACATCAAAACCTGTTATCGAAGAACGTACCTTTGAGTCTCTTGGACCAGATGATAAATACAGACAAGAAGTTATTCAGAAACTCACTAAAGTATTAAGCGGAGAAGTGAGCATAGAACTTCATTTGCAGTTTTTGATTAGAAGTAATCACACAGATATGTTGATTTTAAAAAACACCAAAGAAGCCATTCGTGCTAGCGTCTGTCATACAGCGACTGTAATTGCTAATGGTTTTATGCACAGCGGTACAACGAGTGATCAATTTTTAAGGTGCCTAAATCAAATTTTATATTTTATTTATTTATATAACGAGGGAATATTTTTCATTTAGAGATAATTTGGAATGGTTAGCCAGGGCTACCAACTGGGCCAAACTCTCCGCCACAGCGTCTTTAGGTGTCATTCATAGAGGTCACGAAACCGATGCCCTCGAATTGATGCGCAGTTATTTACCTCCAAGGGAAAATAATTCTTCTGGAAGTTCAGGATACAGTGAAGGAGGTGGTCTGTATGCTCTAGGTTTGATTCATGCAAATCACGGATCGGCTATCAATGATTATTTACTCGGCCAACTTAAGGAAGCACATAATGAAGTAAGTTAAACTATTATGATTAATTTACTTTATTGGTTTAATTTAAATTTATTTAGATTGTGAAACATGGAGGATGCCTAGGAATCGGTTTATCGGCCATGGGAACTAGTCGGGAAGATATATACGAACAACTGAAGTTTAACATGTATCAAGACGACGCCGTGACCGGCGAAGCTGCTGGCTTAGCCATGGGGTTAGTTATGTTGGGATCGAAAAATGGAGAAGCTCTCCAAGATATGGTGGCTTATGCACAAGTTACTCAGCACGAGAAAATTTTAAGAGGTTTAGCTGTGGGTATATCTTTTGTTATGTATGGAAGACTAGAAGAAGCCGATCCACTAATTACTTCCTTACTGCAAGACAAAGATCCAATTCTTCGTCGTTCCGCCATGTACACAATATCGATGGCCTATTGTGGAACTGGAAGTAACACTGCAATTAGGAAATTACTTCATGTAGCTGTCTCGGATGTCAACGACGATGTACGCCGTGCTGCTGTTACTGGTTTAGGATTTTTACTATTTAGAACACCAGAACAATGTCCTCAAGTGGTGAGTTTGCTCGCCGAAAGTTACAACCCTCACGTCAGATACGGGGCAGCTATGGCTCTTGGTATTGCTTGTGCTGGAACCGGACTCAAAGAAGCCATTAATTTGTTAGAACCGATGACTAATGACCCGGTAAATTATGTTCGCCAAGGTGCATTGATTGCTTCAGCGATGATACTTATTCAACAAACGGAAAGCACTTGCCCCAAAGTAAAAGATTTCCGTACACTATATGCTAAGGTTATTACCGACAAACACGAAGATGTCATGGCTAAGTTTGGAGCTATTTTAGCTCAAGGTATTATCGATGGTGGCGGTCGTAATGTTTCGATTTCATTGGAGTCAAGAACTGGCCATACTAATATGTTGGCAGTTGTAGGTCTACTGTTGTTCACTCAATACTGGTATTGGTTCCCGTTGGCTCATTGTTTGGCTTTGGCGTTCACGCCCACTTGTATTATTGCATTAAATTCTCAACTCAAAATGCCTCTTTTGGAAATTAAAAGCAACGCTAAACCATCTCTGTTTGCCTACCCTGCCCCAATGGAAGAGAAGAAACGCGAGGAAAGAGAAAAGGTCACTACAGCCGTGTTGAGTATTGCGGCAAGAGCAAAACGTCGCGAGGGTGGTTCAAGCTCAAAAGTTTCTGAACCCTCGACTAGTGAAAAAATGGAAGTGGATGAGAAAGAGGCGTCAACGAGTAAAAAGAAGGAAGATAAGAAAGAAGACCAGAAGCCAGAACCCAACTTCGAAATCCTAAATAACCCGGCTAGAGTAATGAAACAACAATTAAAACATCTGCAACTAGCAGAAAACGCTTCGTATGTCCCTTTGAAGGACGTTTCTATTGGGGGTATTATTATGACACGTTTTACCAAGAGCGGTGAAGACGAACAGCTAGTCGAACCTGTTGCGGCATTTGGGCCTAAGCCTGAAGATGATAAAGAACCTGAAGCGCCTGAACCTTTTGAATATAACGATGATTGATAGTATAATATAAAAGTAAACTTGAACGTATAAATTTGTTATAAAGTCTATTCATTGTACATCCTTTTTTTTTTTTTTATTTAGACATTTATAATTAAATAATTGATCTAAGTAAGCTTTTGAATTAATTATAATTTATAATTTTACATATATTATATAATTAAAAAATATAATAACTTTTTTTTTTTTTTTTTGTTAGAAATAGTTTTATTTACGTATTAGTATCGCTATTGGGTAGTATTAGGATAATGCGAATTGAGTCTTCCAAACAACTAAAGAAAAAAATCTCTTTTACTCTAGACTATAAAAAAAAAAATTTATTTTTATTTTGAATTACAAATGTTACTTATTTAAACTACAAAATATAGTACTAATACTCTATTTGAACATTCCCTGCTTTTAGTACAGCAAATAGTTAGCACATTGGCTACCATGAGTAATATACATGTATACACCGGGTATCGGTGTCTCACAGCATGACAAGTGTTGGCTACAGAGTTATTTTCGAGAATACTTCCCTGTAACATCAAAGCTCAATCGTAGGAACTAAGTAAGATTAAAAAAAACCGATAACCCCATTATGATCCAGTAAATATGAATACAATGAATATATAATATTAAGAATTTTAAAACCATTCAATGTTTTAGGAAGCCGTGAGTAACCGGACACTCATAGTGCACAAAGGAAACCATAGTGAGAGTAACAGACTATACTCATGGTTTCCAAAGAGTTTTTTTATAAAAATAGGCTCGGTAGCCAACGTGTTAAGCAATAGCCCAGGCCAAATTAGGAATAACTTTGTATAAAGGTATTATAATTTTAGAAACATTTCAGTCTGTGCTAAATCTATCACTATTGTTAATGGAGTTTTACCCAGTGCCATCAATTTCATAATATATTATTTTACTATTCAATACCATAACATAAATAACTTTATTTCAAAACATGGTAGTATGAATTATACATAAAAAAAACAATAATTTTAATACATATTTGTAACACGAAACTAGTATACAATTTTACTGTTTGATCAAAATTAAAAAATTATAACAGTGCATACAAAAATGACATGTTTTTGGTGCTATTTCAAATATTCTATATAATATTAACGTTTTAGCATAGTTTAAAAGATGAGTAATACATTTCTGAATGAATGGTAAAATATGGAGAAATAGTATTGCTTTAAAAGTTATAACAGCCTATTGTTTTTAAGAAATAGGAAACTTGATTCAAAGAAATTTTAATAAAGCATTTTATACCAATTACGAGGACAAATATTAAATAATAAGTCTAACACACTGGACATCAAATTAAGCACCAAACTAAACGGTGTCTTATGTCTATTGACAACAAACATATTATTTCTTCATCAACTTAGACAGCTCGATGCCCATAGCTGCTGGACTTCTAGTAACAACCACTCCAGCCTTAAAAAAAAAGTGATATTGATTAGATAACTTTTGGATGTATCCACATATTTGTCAAGATATTCTAACACATCTTTAAGTGATATTGACTTTTAATTCACTTATTTGGATTTCAATTTAGTTACCTTTTCTAATGCATTGATTTTATCTTGAGCTCCGCCCTTTCCACCAGAAATAATAGCCCCCGCATGACCCATACGACGACCCGGAGGAGCTGTCAATCCCGCTATAAAAGATACAACAGGTTTGGCTTTGGGACCCTGAGAAAATATTAAAATCAAATTTTATTATGCACTATACATTGTAGAAGACTTAATGAAAACTTACGGAATTATGTTTACTTAAGTAGTCAGCCGCCATTTCTTCTTGTTGTCCACCTATTTCACCAATGAGAATAATGCCTTCGGTGTTTGGGTCTTGTAAGAATACTTCTAAACAATCGATAAAATCAGTACCGTTGAAAGGATCACCACCAATACCCACGCATAGTGTTTGCCCAAGACCGACTTGAGACGTTTGATGAACTGCTTCATACGTAAGAGTACCTGAACGTGATACCACACCTACGCAACCTTTCATGTGAATATGTCCGGGCATGATGCCAATTTTACACTAAATTATAAAATACATTTTTTAAACGTCTATCGAAAAAGTGTTAAAAAAATTTTAAATACTTGTTCAGGAGCAATGATTCCAGGACAATTTGGACCAAGTAATCTAGATTTGTTTTGTCTGAGCAATTTGTGTTTGACCCGGACCATATCTTGCTGAGGGATACCCTCCGTAATGCATACAATTAATGGGACTTCAGCATCAATAGCTTCAACTATTGCGTTGGCGGCTCCGGGTGGTGGAACGTAAATTACTGTGGCATCGGCTCCTGTTTCTTCACGAGCCTAGAAAAGACCAAACTTTGAATTAAAATGTTCTTATTTAAATGATAAATTGAAATTAATTACTTCTTTAACGGAATTGAAAATTGGAAGACCTAAATGTGTCTTTCCTCCTTTACCCGGTGAGATACCACCAACCATTCGTGTGCCATACTCCAAAGCTTGAGTCGTATGAAAGGTACCTTGTTTACCAGTCATACCTTGACAGATAATCTTAGTTTCTTTGGTCAACTTTAAATTTTTTCTAGTTTCTGCATAGATTCGAGGATCTACTGAATTAGATGATGATCGAACACTCATCAAGTTACATACTAAAAATTATCGTCAAAATAATATAAATTAATTTAATAATTATTAAAAAAACTAAAAACAATTAAAAAAATTGTTTTACTATTTTTCTTTTCTATAGAATAATATGTACTTTAATTACAAACAAAAAAAATAACTGAAATATTTCAACTCCTGAACAAATAATTTCTTTGTTACTGCTAAATCACATTATCATTTTTATGTTGATAGCGAATGGCTCTTTATACTTTGGGTCTTATAAACTTAAATAGCTGTAATATCAATGATTATGTAAATATTTATTAGGTATGTTATAGTGTTTCTGTAAACGTAATATAAGGTAATTAAAAGCTGATAATCCAAGAGGTGGACTGAAAATGTGACTGATGGGGAAAAATTCAATCAAATTATTTAACATTTAACAAATGTTATTTTTACACAGGAACAAAGGTCAAACTTTGTAAAACAGGAAGTGATCGAGTTACCATGATTGAAATCCTTTCTCTTTCATAAAATAAGTACTGAACAAAACAATTTAAGACATCTAACACCCGAGTCACAAGTGTATAAATAACTTGGGGGGGAACATAACCTGAATAGACAAAGCCAAATAGCTTACCGGCAATTCTGGACAAAATTCTGGTAGAAGCAGCCATTTTTTAAATATAATTTTAATAACTGAAAAACAACTAATAACGAGATGTTAAAAAAACAGAAAATCCGCCGTTTCCACAGAAATTGAACTACGGCACTAAAGCCAAGTGATAAGAAGAGTGAAGAAAATGGGTCGCCCGAATCAGCAGCTGCTGCCGCTTGCTATCCGAATTGGACGGGGAAAATGTGATCACTGTTATCAACCGATATTTAGACAACAAAACATATGTCACGACAGTGTGACCACCACTTTGATTAACACTCGACGGTCATGTGTAAAATGCGTTCCTACAACGACAGCCACACTCAGTACAGTCTGTACCGCACCGTATCACATAAAGTGAAAGAAAACTCTCCCCACTCCTTGTTCAATTTTCCCGTTTCCAAACTCCTAAGCAAAGGCTAAAGAGAAAGAATGATAGTTACTAATTAGTGGAGTTAGTACTCAGTAGTTTATATTAATCTATGGTTAGTACTTAGGAACTATATAGGTAGTCTGTCGCCTGTGCTGTTCCAGTCACCCGTTTAAGTTACCTGGGCAGTGGGCTGATTACAATAATGTCTAAATGGATTTTGATTTTTGACTCTTAAATGAAATGTATTTAACTGTTAGCGAGTTACCGAATTTCTGTTTTTATTGACGCTTCGTTTTAAATAATGTTAAATCATACGATTAATTGTCAAGGTAAATGGATCAGTTATCTACAACTGTGTCAATTGATCGACGAAGATGTACCAGGTTCATAACATCTGTCAACATAGTCTGGATATATCACCTAGAATGTTTATGCATCTGTGTAAAGTTTGAAATGTGATCAATCAACTGTCAACATTACCATGATGTGTACCAAAAGACAACAGAACGAAGAGTCTATAATTTGTTCGTTGCTCCACGAAGATCCACTTCGGGAACTGTTCGAAGCGTGCAAGTCAGGTGACCTTAGTAAAGTCAGACGTCAAATCAACCCCGAAACGGTCAATGCTAGAGACACAACTGGCAGGAAGAGTACACCTCTTCATTTTGCTGCGGGTATATATGTTTTTTTTTTACCATTATGTTATGTTTAAAATATTTTATAAATCAATATAATTGGCCTGTATTAATGAGAAATCCTCTTTTTATGGAGACTTATGGGTTGTTTAAGCTTTTATTTGTATATTTAGAGATGGCAAAGATCTAAAAAAAAGTATGTGGTGAATTTGTCAATTACTAGATAAAACAATCTAAAAAAACTAAGCAACTTATGGTTTTATATATAGTACAGTAATGAATATTTAAACCCTTAACCATAAAAATAATACACTCTATGCGTATAAAGGTTTAAATATTCATTTCTCTACTATACTAGATTACACTTGTTTAAATAACTTTTGTAATAAAACACTAACAAATAAATTGTATACTACTAATACTTTGATTCTGAAATGTTCAGCTAAAGCTTTGTCTCTATTTAAATAACTACATATATATGAATATTTGTATTTAGGTTTTGGTCGCCGCGATATAGTTGAACTGTTATTGGCCGCTGGAGCCTCTATTCAAGCTCGTGACGATGGAGGACTCCATCCTTTACATAACGCTTGTTCATTTGGTCATGCAGATGTAGTTGGTTTATTGCTTGAAGCTGGTGCAGATCCTAATACAAAAGACAATTGGAATTACACGCCTCTCCACGAAGCCGCCATCAAGGGGAAAATTGAAATATGCATTGGTATGTTGTTGTAAAACTTTTTTTTTTACTATAATTTCTTATTAATTAAATTGTATAGCTTTATTACAACACGGAGCTGATCCAACATTGCGCAATGCTGATAACAAGACACCTATAGAATTAGCCCAAGCCAATGGCGTGCCCGGTATAAGTGAAGTGCTGGGAGGAGAATGGCGTAAAGACGAAGTATGGACATTTAATAAAATTATCTAACAGCGTTTTCTAATAAAATCCAATAGATTTTAGAAGCTAGCCGCTCTGGAGATGATGCAAAATTGTCATCACTTTTAACACCTCTTAATGTTAATTGTCATGCCAGTGATGGACGTAAATCTACACCTTTGCATTTGGCTGCTGGATTTAATCGTGTTCGTTGTGTTCAGTTGCTCCTAAGGCACGGAGCTGATGTACATTCCAAAGACAAAGGGTATTTTCGTTAATAATAAACTAAGATGTTTTTTTGTAACACAATATTTATAATTATAAAGGGGTCTTGTGCCTTTACACAACGCATGTTCTTATGGTCATATTGAAGTAACAGAAATGCTTATTAAACACGGAGCTTGTGTAAACGCTATGGATTTATGGCAATTCACACCTTTACATGAAGCTGCGTCCAAATCCCGTGTTGAAGTTTGTTCATTGTTGTTGAGTAAAGGAGGAGATCCGACCCTAGTAAATTGTCATTCCAAATCCGCAATAGACTTAGCAGCCAACAGAGAGCTCCAAGAAAAATTATCTTGTAAGTCTATTGACATTTTTACTGGTGTAAAACTTATTGCTTCAACATAAATATTTACAGACGAATTTAAAGGCCATTGTTTATTGGAATCTTGTCGGGTATCTGACGTGTCAAAAGTAAAAAAGCTGTTGAATCAAGACATTGTCAAATTCAAGCATCCGTTAACAGGAGATACTGCGTTTGTAAGATTTTAAATTGTACTAAGTCTCGAGAGGTATAATTTTTAAAAATATATTATGGTTTCAGCATGTCATAGCTGCTTCATTAGGTTCTAAACGAAAACAAGTTGTCGAATTATTAGCTCGTAAAGGTGCACAATCAATAAATGAACCTAACAAAGAATTGCTTACGCCTCTTCACATAGCTGCAGATTACGGCCATTTCGATGTTATGGAAACACTTATTAGACTAGGTGCCAGAGTAAATACTACTGATTCACATGGTCAAACAGGTGAGAGACGATAGAATTGATTTTGTTTTGTATAGCATTAATTAATTTGTGCTTTTAACCCTTAGCATTACATCGCTGTGCGAGAAATGATAGTATCCAAGGTTGCAAAATTCTTTTATCATACAATGTCGATACCAATATTACATCAGTCCACGGATTTAAAGCTATTGATATGGCTACAGATAATGTCAAAAAAATATTACAAGGTACCAAATTCATAGCAATATGTAGGTCTATTATTATTTGGTAACAATAATAATTCAAACGTAATTTGTATTGCAGAACCTCCTGCGATTCTAGATTTAGAATCTGAACTTTTGGAAGCCTCCAAATCTGGCGATCTCGACAAAGTACAAAAATTACTCACTGCATATCCTCATATTGTTAACTGTAGAGATTTGGATGGAAGGTAATTGTTTGTTTATTGAAATAAATTTCAAATGCTTAAAATAATACCTATATATATATATATATATATATTTGTTTAATTAGACATTCCACGCCTCTTCACTTTGCTGCTGGTTATAATCGTGTAACAGTTTGTCAATATCTCTTAGCTCATGGTGCTGATGTTCATGCAAAAGACAAAGGGTAAGTATTTGTCCTAAATGATTGAATCCATCTTCATAATAGCAAGAAACCAACATTTTGTTCTTTTGTTGACAATATATTTATATTATATTTAATAACATCATTGACAAAATATACTACATACAACACTATTTTACCCGCAATTCTGCATTTGTAAAAACTATTATGAAATCCAAAAAATAAGTGTCTTTTCCATTCGCGGACATTATCCGTCTATACTTTATTTATCTATAACAGAATCTAAAGCCCATTGCATACTTGAGTACAATAAGCACTTTAATTTAACTAACCTATTAATAGAATAATGGTTTTTCAAAACTTTCTTTGGATTCAGTTATGTGTAATTATTGTTTAGAGGCCTCGTACCTTTACATAATGCCTGCTCGTACGGACACTTTGAAGTTACCGACATGTTAATCAAACACGGTGCTAATGTCAATGTTTCTGATCTATGGAAATTCACCCCACTTCACGAAGCCGCAGCCAAGGGAAAATATGAAATTGTTCGGTTGTTGTTACAGGTACTTGCATACTTATAAACAATACATTAAAATATATATGTTTTATTAAAATTTTTGTTTCTAATCGTTAGCACGGCGCTGATGACACAAAGAAAAACCGTGATGGACATACACCTTTAGAACTAGTCAGAGACAGTGATAATGACGTTGCAGACTTGTTAAGAGGTAATGCAGCGTTATTAGATGCAGCTAAAAAAGGTATATTGGCACGTGTACAAAGACTCGTTACTTCTGAAAATATTAACTGTCGAGATACTCAAGGTAGAAATTCTACTCCATTACATTTAGCAGGTATTAATACAATTATGATATGTATGTGTACAAATATTGGCTGCATAATTCAATATGTATAAATGTTTTTTTTTAGCTGGTTATAACAATTTGGAAGTGGCAGAATTTCTACTAGAGCAAGGTGCCGACGTCAACGCTCAAGACAAAGGAGGTTTAATTCCGTTGCACAATGCTTCATCGTATGGACACTTAGATCTTGCAGCTCTCCTTATTAAATACAACACAGCCGTCAATGCAACTGACAATTGGGGCTTTACTCCGTTGCATGAAGCCGCTCAGAAAGGTCGTACACAACTGAGCGCACTACTAGTGAGTATTAGTTTTATGTATGAGTATTATTATTCTAAATGTTTGTGTGCACGTTTAATTATTATTTCTAAATAATAATCGTGTTCATATCTAGCTGGCTCACGGTTCTGACCCATTTTTACGCAACCAAGAAGGACAAACCCCACTGGAACTGGCCACCGCTGAAGATGTACGGTCACTCCTAACCGATGCTATGGCTACACATCCTGACGCAAATTCAGCGGCCAATAACCCTTCTGTTTATGCTGCTACCCCACCACCATTATCGCCCGACGACACAGCTACAGTTGTCATGCCGTCTGGAGCGTCAGTGGCATTACCTAGTCCTGGTGGATCTGGTAGATCATTTATGCTGGGTTCACAAGCCGATGGATCAGTTAACGGCTATGAAAGCGCTCACCCTCATCCTAATTGTATTACTCTATCAACTGTGCAAGGATTCCTTTCTAGGTAAATACACAAGATAGCAGCTGAATTGAAAACAACTATATGTTTAATAATATTATGCTGTGCTTCAAACAAAGAAAGTTTGATTGTATAATAATATTATTTAAATATGGTTTTTGCAGTTTGGGATTAGAACATCTGAATGAAATATTTGAAAGAGAGCAAATAACTTTAGACATCTTAGCAGAAATGGAACATGAAGACTTAAAACAAATTGGAATTACTGCTTACGGTCACAGGCATAAACTTATTAAAGGAATGGAAAAATTAGTCTCAAAACACGGTAAAAAATTGTTGTTTAAGTTGCCAAATTTTGGTTTTTCCGTCAATTGCTTATTTGGATACGTGCTTAGGCGGTGTTTGTTCGGGTCTATCCGGTGGAATGCCGTGTACTTTATTGATTGATTTGTTGGCTGAAGATAAAGAGTTTATAACTGTCGAACAAGAACTGCAAAGTACTATACGGGAACATCGCGATAATGGTCAAGCCGGTGGTATATTTAATAGATACAACATTGTCAGGGTAAAAATTTAAATTTTAAAAAATAGTTATTAATTAAATTACTTGTTAAGATAATTGTTTCAATCGATTTTCAGATACAAAAAATTCAAAATCGTAAACTTTGGGATCGATATATACATAGAAAACGTGAAGTGTCATTAGAAAACGGTAATCAAGCTAATGAAAGAATGTTGTTCCACGGATCTCCCTTTATCAATGCCATTGTTCAAAAAGGATTTGATGAACGTCATGCCTACATTGGCGGCATGTTTGGAGCTGGTAAGTAATAACTTTTTTATGTATGATTAAAAAATGTATCTTTAATAGTTAAAAATTATATTTATTATTTACTCTGCCAAACAAGTTAAAACAATAATATTGTACCAATTTTAGGAATATACTTTGCTGAAAATTCTTCAAAAAGCAATCAATACGTCTACGGCATTTGCGGAGGTACAGGTTGTCCGACACATAAAAATAGATCGTGTTATCAATGTTTGAGGTAAGTATTCATGGTAGTGGTTGACAACTGTTTTCCGAGTTAATATTCTAAATTACTTTTGTTCTACAACAGACATTTACTGCTTTGCCGAGTGACTCTTGGTAAATCGTTTGTTCAATATAACGCAATAAAAATCGCTCATGCTCCGCCAGGTCACCATTCTGTAATGGGAACTCCAAGTGTTGGTGGATTAAATTTTTCAGAATATGTTGTTTATCGCGGAGAACAAGTATGTAAAAATAAGAGCTGTGCCGATAATACTTTTTCCCAATATCTGATATATATTGTCAATATAAAGCCGACGACCAATTCGATATTTTGTTTCTCTGATATCATTAATGTTTCAGATCAAAACCCTTGCATTTTTGCAAGAGTGATTAATTAATTATAATGAATTTTCTAATACGACATTTATGTTTCACACATTATTGGCTGATATTAATATTTGTATCAGCCTAGTCTAGTAAAAAAAAAATGTTTTCTATATTAAATCATATAAAATAATAAATTTCAATTTTCAGGCATATCCCGAGTATTTGATTGCTTACCAAATCATGAATCCATCCGAAACTGTAGAAAATGGGTCAACTATGCTCACTGCTTCAAAATAAGATTTTTCTTATGACAACGTTCCTCTTGTTTTCAATTATTATTAATATCTTCGTGTGATGTTAATTTTTGGATCATATTTCTTAGCACTTGTTATTAAGAGATTATTTTCGTGTTTAAACTAGAAATTTACATGATTATTTAACTACTAAATGTAATATTGTTATTATTATTAATTTATTTGTATAACACTGCCTATATTTTAAATTCATAAATACAAAACCTAGAGCAGTCTCAAACCTAATAACAAAAAAAGGTGAATCGGGGAAGAAATTGAAATAATATTATTTAATAAAAAAAATTCAGATTCAGAATAATTTTCTTTTTTTAATGAATATAACATTAAAATACTATTCACAATTTTTTTTTTTTTTTTAACATTCTGATGTTACATTAATATTTTTTTGTGCCAAACTCAATATTTATTAATTTTAATTTGACCCGGCAATATTTTAATAAAATGATGTTAATTTTGTAATTCCAGTTTTTAGTAGTAAAATGTACAATCAATAATTGTATAATCCAAACGTTATTATCTGGGTTTTTAGATAATTACTTGTTTTTATAAATGTTTCAACGTTTAACTTAACAACAGATAGGTTGAAGACTGCTCCTTTGGATTGAATGGAAAAATTGATGATACTCCTATATGTGTTTAATATCCTCATCTAAAGTATTATGTGATTCTTTAGAATTAAATTAGTAGATAAGTTAAAAAAAAAAAAATATATGAATATTTAATTAAATATAAATATTGTAATATGTTATTTAGATGTTAATAAATTAATTTAATATTTGTCTTGTGTTTATGAATAGTGTTTTAACAAAGTAATTTAAGTAGTATTAGTTTTTCGATTAAAACCAAATTTAAATACTGGAGCAACACGACACAGTTGCCATTTTACGCTGGGATGGAGTCCAACCTTTATTAATTGTTTAATATCATATGCCTATTCTCAAAAAAAAAAGTTTTAATTTATAATAATAAATTAAAATTTTAAAGGCACACCAACCATTATTAGGTGTTAAACGGTTAAAATTGAATAACGATTCATTAGACTAATATGTATGTAATGATTGTAGTTCAAACATTCAAATATATTTCTTCCCAAAAAATAAAAAATACATTTTTTTAGGTAAACAACAATACATATTTAAAATTAATAATGGTGTTGCTATAGATGTATCATAATGATAATAAAAAAATGAATCATTAACTAAAACTAAAAAATAATATACAGTGAAACCTGTCTATGGAATCTACCTGATGGAATTTTATTTCGGTGCTGTGTGATTCCGTCTTAGAGGAGTTTCACAGTAATATAAATACAAAAATGGGTAAAAGTTATTAAAAACAATATAATAAAAAATAACAAAATAAATTGGGGTAAGGAAACTTGACTTAGACACAAGGGATTTGATAAAAATTATATTAAGTACATTTAGTAAAACTTCAATGTGAAAATAAATATTTGGGGAATGTTCTACAACAATTAAATGAAAACATTAAATTAGAAGTGAATATCATACAATCACACAGCAAGTTATTCTTCTTCTGCAATTTTGTTGTCAAAAAGATTGTCGACAATATTGCCTTCAGCTCCATTAATATAGAGTTCTCGCTTGAATTTTTCAATAACTTCTGTTTTTAATGTACGTAATAAATCTTGGTATTAAAGAAAAATGTTTATACTCAAAATCGAATTTTGTTAAATGATTTATGAAAATAAATATAATTAGCTTAATACAGAGCTAAAAACTTGACTGACCCAAAAAAATCAAACTTTGTATTTTTTAATGTGCTCTTAACACAAAATCTTTCATTGTGTGTAAAAATGCCTAAAGTTCTTGTCAAAAAATATTAATGTTAAGAGGTCGCTAATGAATATTTCATAAGCTTAACAATGACATTTTTAACTGTCAATTTTTATAAAGACCATTCAGTCAATTGTTAAGAATTTTTGGTCCTATAAAAATTATATTTTCTTTAAGAAAAAAAAATTGTAATTGACATATTTAATAAATTATTCTTAGAATATATTAATAATTGTATACGACTAGAAAGTTAAAGTATTCCTAATGAGAATAAACTAAATTTAAAGTGGTAATTTTTCAAGTTACAAGCAAAAAAAACAAAAAACTACGAAAATTTGGTAAAACTACAAGTAGTTACTACCTAGAAAAATCCTTTCAGCTAGTTAGATTTTTTTGGGTCAATCTTCTAATAAGCTATTGCTTTTCCAATGATGTGTTTTTATTTTTTTAAGTGTTAGTGTTTTTACCCACCGTATCTCTTACACCACTGGATCGTTTTATAGATTATCACTTATCATAACTGTGCTAGCTTTTTTTAGATAAAACACTAGTAAAAAAAGGATATTATTAATACTTATATTGTATTGACGACAGGCTAAAATCAATAACACAGCTCTGTAAGTACGGTCGCTGTTTATCAAAATCCTTAAGACATCGTCAAACCTTTTTAAAGATAACAACACTAAAACTGCACCTTCCTAAAATTTAAATCACAATCTCCGACAATTTTTTTATTTTTTTTCACTTTTATCAATTTTACCTGATCTCTATTGGTCAGTAAATGATCGGCCCAGCTTTTGAGCACTGTATCACAATCGTCTCTTGGTAAAGAACATTTTGCTAACCATACGGCTTGTTCCCATTGATTATACGATATAAGGTAACGACAAGCCTGAGAGCCTTTACCGATCATACATAAAAGCTGAATGCCTAAGACACAAAAATTAATTTTAATTCTTCGCTAACAGCGAGTTAGATAATAGTCAAACTACCTTCATCGATTTTATTATCAGAAATCAAGTTTGCTGCAACTAATTTTATAGTACTTTGGTTGCTTGTATTTGAATCTATTGATGCAATTAAACATGCTCTATAAGTAGATCCAATTTTAATAAATACATAATTTTTGAACAAATTATTTTTACTAAAACAAACTCAACTTACTTTAATGCATCAGTATAATAATTCGGATCGTTAACGTTTGTCGATAAAAGTAAATCCAATGCTTTGGTTTTCTCACCGAGCAACATAAATTTGTCCGCTACACGGCGCATGTGCGAATAATCGCCTTTTTTCCATTCGTGTAACATTACTTTATCTAATTGCATTTTCTAAACAAAAGTTTCAGTTATTACATTTTTTCATTAAGAATTTATTAATATGTTATTACTAAATTTTATTTTTAGAAATTATTCAATTTATTTTACCCTATAAGTTGTACAGTCACAAATAGTATCATAATACGAATCTAAGGGCGGTACTATGTTGGCTACACAATCCTCATCCGTTGAAATGTAATATGATGCAACCGTCCAAAATTGTACTTCATTTCGCAGTCCGAGTGATTGGCAAACTGTTAGAACTCTGTCCAATAGTTTTGAGCAAAGGTTGATTTCTGTCCAAAGTAAACTGCGACAAGCATTTCTTATCACTAAAAGAAATTAAAAAATTACAAAAATCTACTATAATTAAAAAAATATATATGAGACTAACATGACAACTCATAATTGTTAAAACCGTGTGCTGTATTAAAATCTTTTGTCAAGTTAACCGAAAGCCAGAAAAAAAATATTTTGCACAGATTGCGGTCTAAGATCATAGGAGGTCCTTGTTTATCTGCAAAAAAAAAAAATTTTAATTTGGTAAAAACTTGATTTAAAAATTTTTAATTTTACCGTCAAACTCGTAATTGTATATTGAAGAGTAGGACTTGGTAAGTTTAAGATCAAATACTCTAATAGACTGATCGCTAAATAATATAACCGGGTGTTCGGCACTTGCCCAATCAGCATCGACTATTTGCAATTTTTTGTCTGATTTCAGTGTCGAAATGGTCTCAATGGACTGTGGAGTCTTCATGAAATATAAATAATTTGTAGAGATCAACAACTTTTTCTTAAGGCATTACTTACCCCGAATACATTGAGAACATCAATACCATCTGATGATAAGCATAAAAACCTGAAGTTTCCTGCTCCAGGGGAAAATTTTAACTTGCAAATTTCTAGGCGGTTAATATGTTGCTTTAGTTTATCTGTGTGATTGCTAAGATCCCATACAAAAAGGTTACCGTCACTGTCTGTTTCTAACGCAATATTTAATTTGCACGTCAGACAAATTGTAGGTTTCAAAAAAATCTGATAAAATGTAATGTAAAACAAAAAAAAAATCACATTAATATTAAATAAATGTTTAAGATAGTGATCCAACTCACTCCAGGTTCTATTATTGTTCCTGGTTTAAGATAACTATTGGAATCAATCAAAAATGCATAGAGATTACCGGCCACATCCGATATCAGCAAATGTTCTGGGAATTTTGACCCGACATCGTTTTCTATAATTATAAATAGACAAGATTTTAAAAATATATGTTTGCTATAAGAATACACATTTTTCAAAAATACCTTCAGTGGTTGAAGTTGTCAAACTACTTCGCTTCCCTTTCGGCATATTACACTGAACCCATTCCTTAAATAATTATTGTATTATATTAAATCAGTGACTGTCAGAAACTTCTTTTCCCTCAAGCCATAAAAAAAAATACGGATCAAGAATTTTAAATTGTCATTTTTGTACTCTTGTTTTCTTATTAACATCATAAATGATGGTAAGCAACATAATAAGAAAACTAGAAAACTTGTATTTATATTTCATTTACTTATTTGATAACATTAAATATGATTGAATGATTATTTTTTTTATACTTAAAGTAAAATAAATAGTAAATAGTAATATGTAAATAAGTGTAAGGCCGTAGTTTGGCCACAACTGTATAAAATGTATGTAATAAATACTATTTAAAACTATATCTATTCTCACCATACAAACTGCTGCAGGAAATCTTTTTGACATTTTGCTTAACATTGACATTGATTTTAAATCCCAAATTTCCAAAGGTCCGTCTTTGATTCCTATTACGAAATACTGCCTAAAAATAATCATACAAATAGAATTAAAAAGTATAGGCTAACATTTGACAAATTTTAATTTTATTTTAAATATTAATAATAATAAAACTAACTTCAACGGCGATACTTTTATAAACAAAATGTGTGGCTCGTCTACTTTTGTTGTCCGTACACAAGTAGATTGTCCACATTGTATATTGGTGATAACCACTTGACTTTTAGTGTTAGATGTATAAGAGTAAAACGACCATGAAATTATAAATCGTTGACTAATCCATTCTATCCCTCTAAAAATATAATTTTTATTAAGAAACAAAAAAAGACTATAAAATAACTAGTGTTTGTACACATATAATTGATACATAAATAAACTGTCATAACGCTGCGTCTGTTTTAATAACTTCTAATAGCATAACTAAAAGTAGGTTTAGTTTGGTTTGATATATTTGTATTGCCTTGTTAAACGGTAGAGCATTTTAAAAAGATGTGTATCAGTATTTAAAAACTACTTATTACGTTCACATGTTATTTAGAACCTCATTTTTTTTTTTTTAATTATTTGCAATGGATTAAATCCAAAAAATTTGCGTTAAATACCTAAAATAATTTAGTTATGAACAAATTTGGGGTGGTCATTATACGTCATTTTTGATGATGAAGAATTATTACAGTCTTTTAGAAGGGTCAATTAAATATTTGTAAAACGTAAATGTGTCAAATGAAATGACACTGTCTTGTATAATGATACAACACAATAGCTTACCTGACTGGATGTGAATGCACATGATACTCCTTAAACGTCAAACCAGTAGCCAAGTTTATAATAACTAAATTTCCAGAATTTGTACCAACAGCTAATAGAGGTTTGTAACTTGCCCGCGTACTGGTAGTCAATGGTGGACAATACTTAATAATAGTTAGCCCCGATTCCAGACAAGGTAGTATACCACGAGGATACAAACGCACTTTTGGTATTATTCCTTGATTCTATTTACAAACACCATCACAAAATAAAATATTAATACACAAGTGTGATGATATTTAAATTCTTACTTACATCGTTGAACGACGGAAAAGTATTACTTAATGACATTTTGTGGTTATCGCGTCGACCCAAATAGTACGATACGTCATTTGACGAAGACATTATTTTTTCTAACTCAAAAATAATCACTTTGCCAGTACTTAACATCACGGCTAAATTAATATATAATTTGTAATGGAATAAATTGTAATCGAATAAATTTAATATTTAAACAGACCGATATGCTTTTCAGTGACAGGACATACAACAAATCCAAGCACTTTGGAATTTTTCACTTGCCGAATAATTTCACTTTGAATTCTATGTTCATACCACAAATATATATCAGAAGAAGACTCTAATATTAAATAAATTATTATTATTATTATTATTCAGATAACACATAAAAAACATTTTAAATTTATCGTTGTGTTACCATTCCCGGACACTGCCACTGGAGAAGAATCCATTGGGGACATAAGGTAATTCACTATAGGTTTTCTCCTCAACTTGACCGATAAACTTCCAGACTCTTGAAGACAAAATACGGCATCACGTTGTCTACAAGAATACATCTAAACAATAATTATAGTTTTTAATAAAATTATGTATATAAATAATAAAATATTTATTTATTATGAACATACCTGTGTGAAGTACGAAAGAGAACGATCAATGCTTATAACCCCAACAGTCATACTAATTTCTAAGTCAATAATTATTATGTCATGCTGGTACATAAGGAGTATATGGTTTCGTAACGAGTGATGGTAGGTGAATTGAATACATTCAGAAGCCGTCAATGTGGCATCGAGTCTTAAAAATAATGTTTAATACAATACAATATTGCTACTAAATACAAGGTGACTAGTATTTCACTAACTTGGGTTGGGTCTCGCCGAGTACTAGACCTTTCATAAGTCTTTTAAATCTTGTTCTAGGCCTCGTAAACTCTTCAGCAACAGTAGTGCTCTCACCGACTGCTGTATTTGAGATATACAATTTTCGCCCATTGCCTCCAAGTACTGTTCTCCGATCGAAATTATCAAACAATAATATAAATTCTGGACACAAAACTAGGACAAAATTAATTCACCCGATTATAATTTTTATACTCAGAAAACAATGTTATTAACATACAAGCAATCTTGTGTAGATGAAATGGATCAAAAGCAAAATTATTAATAGTGTCAGTGAAAGTTTTCTTCCACAGCCGAGTGCCTTTTCTTACATCTAATATGGAAAATGTGAACGGTGAATAAAGGACAGCTAATAATAATAAATCACTATTAGACGGTGAAGGTATCCATTCCAGTCCTAATAAATAAAAATAAATTTTAATTATACAAGAAAACTTGAGGTCCATATACTATATACTATACACCATTGACAGGTTTGGCTTGATCAGAGTCTATCCACATGATACATCGACCTCGACATACATCCCATAAAGCGATATCACCAGCAAAATCGGCAGATACTAGTTCTGAAGATGCACCCAAATCGCAGTCAAAAGGAACCCATAAAAGCTAAAAATGTATTACCATAGTTTATTTTCATGTTATTCACAATGTAGACTACAACTGTTTAAAAAAAAGGATTGATTTGGATACCTTTCTTATTACTGCCTTATGATCAGTAAAACATTGAACAGGAATGACTTTGATGGTATCAATAATTACAATTAGGTTATTTGCTCCGTAGGCTAAAAGCCCATTTTCAGACCTAAAAATATAACAAAAAAAATTTAATTTTAATCTATCAACATAATGAAACTTAACCAAAACACTTTCACGTGATGCTAAAAAAAACGGGGAAAATGACATCATTGCCAGGCCTCTTAAGGCTAAATTTGATAGTTTTTCATAATTAATATTGCTATTTATTATTTTGCAGTCAAATTTATTTGCAGTTAAGCAAATTGATTATGAAAAATAACTTATTTTAATGATGTCATGAAGGTATCATGTATTCAAGTTTAACTTTAATTGGTTTATTTGGCTTTACATGCATCATAGTTTACAAAATAGTAGGTACATAAAATCTCTGAAGCATTCTAACAATTTTTTGTACAGGTGCAGCAGTTAAAGGTTACCTCGATTTTGGATATTTTAATTCACATTTAAAATCGAAACAATAATTTTGCCGCACAATGTATAATATAAGCTATAGGGTTTACCAATCAGCCGCTCCTTTATTCATAACATGACACTGGTTAGGAAACGTTCTAGGGACAGTCATTTGTAATCGAACTTGTTGCTCAATACTGATGGAAGGACGTTTTTCCATTTTTTTCTGTTTAAAAATTAATAAAAATAAATAGATTACAAAAACTCACTACTAACTATTATTACACGCATACATAAACTAAACAACAGTGAACAGAGTAATTAAATTTGAAAAAAATTGAATTCCAATTTATTTGTTTATCTTATCTTAGTTTTGTAATTTTCCCAAGTGTTATTCCGTGGTGTTATCACGCAAGTTATCTCTATGCAACGGCAACCGCGGAGCTGATAACATAGAGTGGTTGCCAACTCATCCGCGGTGAGTCTTAACCTCAAAATGGTGACGTCATGTTGCCGGCTTGCCACCACAACATTTGATGTTTATGCCTCAATGAAAGACCGATAAGTTGAAGGTTCAGAATTCATGTTACGTGTTCAAGCGGCGTAGCAACTACCATTTGACATTTGATAGGAATTGCTACTAATGCGTTCTAATGTTGTAGACGTTTAACATATTAGATTAATTAAACAACAAAATAATGGATTATTACCGGTAATATATCGCCAAACGGTAGACAGTGACTTATTGCTTGTTACAATCGATCCATGCTAGTGTTTGGTTCCACTCTGATGTCAATATGAAGACGTTATTGACCAACCCGGCCGGATGGAAAAGCCTCATAACGTTCGCCATCCTCTTCTTGGCATGGGTGTCCGGGTTTTCCGCCCGGTTGTTTGCCGTCATAAGGTTTGAGAGTATCATACATGAGTTCGACCCATGGTGAGTGCCTGAAAGGCATTAACAGTAAAAAAAAAATATACAGAGCTGTCGAAATGCCTAAATAAATTTAAAAGATTCATCATTAACAATACAACTTCTCGATTGTTAGGTTTAACTATCGAGCCACAGCGTACATGGTAGAACATGGATTCTACAACTTCTTAAACTGGTTTGACGAAAGAGCATGGTATCCTTTAGGAAGAATCGTGGGTGGTACCGTCTATCCAGGTCTTATGCTTACGTCGGGTGCCATACATCATGTGTTGCACGCGTTAAATATACCCGTTCACATCCGGGATATTTGTGTGTTCTTGGCACCTATATTCAGGTATTTATTCATCCATTATTGCTATAACTATATTACCCTTTCATACCAGATTTTTTTTTCCCAAGAGGCAGAGATCAAATTTAACTTAAATGTTATTTAAAAAAAAGTAAAAGTAGTAAATTTAGCTTTAATATAACTATTCAAAAACTTTACTTTTAGTTATTTTGTTTAAAATGGTTTATTAAGTGTTTTCTGCATAAAATACGTTTTTGGTTTTTTGTGCTTATCAGAAAAAATTAACAAAAATATTAAAAAATAGATGTCAAATTTTGTGGGCAATACTGAGACACATGTTTTGATAATGGTTGCAGGGTACATTATTTTTTAAAAAACTTGTGAACAACAAAAATATTAAAAAATTGTCCATTGGAACGTAAGGGATATCAAGAAAAATGTTATATGATAAGCTCTGCTTTTCTAGTGTTGTCATGTTTAACTCTTCACTGCATGCATTTTTTTCATTATTTGTAAAATAGTTTTAGGGTTTTAGTTTTGTTTATTATTTGTTTTTTTGTTTGAAACTACTTTATACTACTTAAAAAAACTGTTGAGTTAGTTTCACAAAAAACCAAAATTTTAATTGTTTCAAGTATGGAACATTGTGCAGTGAAGGGTTTTTTTCTGTTATTTTAATTCTTCTAATTGATATACCTCATTCTGTTACTTAATTAATAATTTGTAATTTTATTATATGTTAATTTATAATGTATTTATGGTTCAACATGTTTAATGTTTTTTTCAGTGGTATGACAGCAATATCCACTTATTTTCTGACTAAAGAATTATGGTCTCCCGGTGCTGGTCTGTTTGCCTGTTGTTTTATAGCAATTGTACCTGGCTATATTAGTCGATCAGTCGCTGGTAGCTACGACAATGAAGGGATTGCTATATTTGCTCTTCAATTCACCTACTACCTTTGGGTAAATATTAAAAAAATGACCAAGAAATCAGATCATAACTGTATTTAAAATCTGTTTCTTGTTATTTTTAGGTTAAGTCCATCAAAACTGGTTCTGTATTTTGGTCAGTACTTACAGCTTTATCTTACTTCTATATGGTAATTTTTTTTTAGATATTTATATATAATGAATCCATTGTTATAATATTTATACATTTCTATTATTTAGGTGTCGGCGTGGGGAGGATACGTGTTCATTATAAATTTGATCCCACTTCATGTGTTCTTGTTACTCATTATGGGACGCTATTCTTATCGTCTGTTTACTAGTTATACTGTTTTTTACATACTCGGATTGGTACTAAGCATGCAAATACCATTTGTTGGCTTCCAACCGATTAGAACCAGTGAACATATGGCAGCTTCTGGAGTTTTTGCATTGGTCATGGCTGCTGGGGCATTCAACTACATTCAAACCCGTATCACAAAGGCTGAATTTAAATTCATTTTTATATTTGCTACTCTAGTCACATCCGCCATAGTTTTGTTGGCTGTTGTTGCTTTAACGTGGGCTGGAGTTATTGCCCCATGGAGTGGAAGGTAAATCTGTAGTATATTTTTAGTAAAACTATTAGGATTACTGTAATTTTAGAAAATACCGATTTGTAGATCTAATAAGAAAAGTAGAAAATAAAACTAAAACAAATCATTGTAATACCATATCTATTCCGGTCCTTATCATAGTTAAAAAAAATAATAGTACTCCTCTCAAATAGTTTTAGTAATAGCCCAACTAATTAAATAAAAATTTAACAACAAAAAGGTAGCCATTAGTTTAAAAAAAGAGTGACTAGTTATTCTACTAAATTATTAAGTCTACTTTGACATAATGACGTTTTGTTTACTATATTTTCAGATTCTATTCGTTGTGGGACACAACCTATGCAAAAATACATATACCAATCATAGCATCCGTGTCTGAGCATCAGCCGACGACGTGGTTCAGTTTTTTCTTTGATCTCCATATATTAGTTTGTGTATTCCCAGCTGGACTGTGGTATTGTATTCAAGAATACAATGATGAAAGACTTTTTGGTACTGATTACAAAATAATTTATATTTGTTTAATTTATTCATTTGGTTTGGATTTATTTATTTTATAATTTTTTTTAGTGGTGCTCTATGCTCTTAGTGCTGTTTACTTTGCTGGTGTTATGGTCAGATTGATGTTAACGTTAACTCCAGCTGTGTGTATTCTCAGCGGCATTGCGTTCTCCAAAATATTTGAAAATTACTTAAAAGAAGATAATATTGTAAATGGTTCTAGTACAAAAGTTGTTGAAGAACGATCATCTGTTAAAGAAAAAACTCCATCTAAGTCTTCTCAAGTAAGTGACCATTTTTTTTAAATCAAATTATTGTTAGAACAGTAGGTATTTTTGAAATAACGAGTTAATTTAATTGAATTGAATATATTTTAGTCGTCTAGTTCTTCTGGCTCAGGTAAGATAAAGAAGAATAAACCGCCTATTATTGTATCTACATCCACTAGCGATAATGATAACAGTGAAGGCGTTGGATCTAACGTTAGGAGTCTTGTAACCATTTCAATGTTACTTGTTCTCATGATGTTTGTTGTTCACTGTACTTGGGTCACTAGTAATGCGTATTCTAGTCCAAGTATAGTTTTGGCATCTTATAGTAATGATGGGTAAAACTATTATCATATTTTTTTATTATTATTATTGTTATATATTTATATAAGTATATTATAAACAAATTATTTATTACATTAGATCACGCCAAATATTAGATGATTTTCGTGAAGCGTACTATTGGCTTTCACAGAATACCGACAATGATGCTCGTGTTATGTCCTGGTGGGACTACGGTTATCAAATAGCTGGAATGGCTAATCGAACTACTCTAGTTGATAATAACACGTGGAACAACAGTCACATAGCTCTAGTCGGCAAAGCTATGTCTTCAACAGAACCAAAAGCGTATGAAATCATGACGTCCCTCGATGTTGACTATGTTCTTGTTATTTTTGGTGGTGTCATTGGATATTCGGGTGATGACATCAATAAATTTTTATGGATGGTTCGAATCGCTGAAGGAGAACATCCAAAAGATATAAGGGTAAAATAAAACATTTCTTTTCAAAACATTATACTTAACTATTGAGAACAAATGCAATTTATATTTCATTGACACTTTGAATAATGGTGAAGGCTTAAAAATGTTAAAAATCGTTAAGTTTCTCTGCACTTAACCTGTCGCTACTCATGCTATTTTTAGTCACGCCTAAATGAAGAGTTGCGAGCATACATCTCTTATCTCTTGTCACAAGACTGATGTATGACTGAAGTAAATTCTTACCCCTCATGAGATGTTATTAGTTAAAAAATGAAGTTTTGCTTATATCTTTAAAAGTAATTATGATATCGTTGCCCCATACGAAAAGTAGCACCTCTCGTGACTTCTTACGATGACTAGCACCGTTCACAGATTCTTACAAAAAATAGCACCGTTCATGTTCTTACGAAGACTAGTACCGTTCATGCTATTGTTCCCAACAGTGCTAGTTTTCGTAAGAAATTCCCAAACGGTGCCACTTTTTGTACCGGGCGTCAATATGTACTTTCTAGCTTCAGCATTATTTAAAGTGTTATAATACAAAATTTATAAAATAATTAGTTTTAAAATTAATAATTTTTGAAAAAGTTATTGCTTTTGGAAAAATATCAATTAAAAGAAGTTTTTTGTCTTTTACTTTAAAAGTAAGTCTGTGCGAGCAATTCTAATAACACATCAAATTTAAAACACCAAAAAACACATTTTGAAGATAAAACAATTTAAAAAACGGGCATGAAACCCCACAGCATGCAAGACTTTATTACAATTACGTTATTAGTTCAATTTAATAATTGCTTGAACATTTAGGCCCACAAATGAATGTAATAAATTATTCTATGTTATTCAATAGGAATCGGATTACTTCACTGAGCGTGGAGAATTCAGAATTGACAGCCAAGGTTCGCCTACTTTGCTCAACTGCTTAATGTATAAACTTAGTTACTATAGGTTCGGTGATCTTAAAGTGAGTATAAATTAAATAAATATTAAAACCTGTTATTACATAATAAAAAAACAAAAAAAATGTTTAGCTTGATTACAGGACTCCTGCTGGGTTTGACCGCACACGTAATGCCGTTATCGGCAATCAAAATTTTGACCTTACCTATTTAGAAGAAGCTTACACTACTGAGCATTGGCTTGTCAGGATTTACAGGGTAAAAAAGCCGGATGAGTTTAACAGACCTCGTATCCCAGTGTCCGAAAGGAAAATAAGGAACCCAGGAGCATCAAATATTTCCAAAAAAGTAATTTCAAAAGTATTTTTAAGTATTGGAACTTAAATCAAACGTTTATTAATCTATGCCTTATTTTACAGTCTGCTCGTAAAAAAAAGGGTGTTATTCAGGGCAAACCTGTTGTGATTAAAGGTAAAAAACCTAAAGCATCGGCCACGTATACAAATTAATCAATTAAATGAAAAAATTCTCCGCACTCCCACTTGATCAACTATGTTATATTATGTTGTTTATACAAATGTATAATTTATTATTATATTATATATATTTATATTATATATATATTTTTTTTTTATGATTTCTCTCGTTTTTTCACTAAAAAGGTGATCTACAAATATACAAGTTCAAAATAGCATAATATTTTTTCATACTTTGTTTAAATTAGAATGATGTGCACTTACTAAAAATCATTGTTTATGAATTATGATACATGATATTTATGTATTACTTAAATATTTGATTAACACCCAACACAGACAAGCAATAGAATGTATTTTTTTCATGGCTGTTAATGTTTTGTTGTTATACAGCCAAAACAGAAGAAAAAAAGGAAATAAATGTTTACTACATATTTCTTTATAATTGTTTTATTTTGTTTGCTTAATATATCCTCTAGAATAATAGTTTTTTTTTTATAAATTACATTATTTTTATAGGTTAATACATTTTACATTTACATTTACTTGCTTACACTAAATAAAATACAATAGTTGACGTTTGCAATTTTAACATTGTTATTGTGATTTAAATTTGGAAGACTCATTACTTGATTGACATTCATAAAGTAATTAATTAAAAATCAGCATTAAGCATGAAATGAACACAGCTGTACACTTGTCTCACTATAGTAATTAATAGCTAACATAAAAAAAATTAATGTCTGTAAAAAATTTAAGGAAAAGTCTGTGACAAAATTAGAGCAATTTAAATTTCAGGTTAATGTAATAATATGAGTATTGATAATTTGAATTGTAACGAAAATTAATACATAGTGTTTCAACAATTATTGATAATTATATAAAAAAATTATGTCTATTATAAAATTTAAGTAACTTTATAAAATGTATAAGTTGTATTATGCTTTATTACTTATTACAATACTCTTAAAATATCCAAAACTTACATTTTTTATACATACTTAAAAAAAAAAATTAGTTAACTTATAAAATATTGTCATATATCAACAAAAATTAAAAATAATAATAATGATATTTATTTAAATTTATAATAAAAATAGGAAAATATCGGTAACGTAATATAGGTAGAAAGTATTTTAATAAATAAACTTAAGGAAATGTGGAATTACATATAAAAAAAAAGTCCATTTAATATTTATAAATTAAAAAAAATACATTTAAGCTAACTATACACATAATAATTATTATCGTTATAGCATAATTGCTAAAATTATTTCATTAATCATTTACTGTAAAACTTTGAAAAAAAATGTATTTATTGGTTAGCAGGTTAGGTTTGTAAAACAAAATATTTTTGGTAAAAACAATACCCATATAATATGTACATAGTGTACACATAAATCATAATATGTACAAAGTGTGTATGTGTGCAATTAATCACTTATTGAATTTAAAAAAACTGAAAACTTATCCACTTTGTACTGTCAATTTGTTTAATTCCTAATAACAATTTAAATATAAGGTCTAATAAAATACAAATTTTGCATATTGATTGGTGACTGCTCTAAAATTAAACCTATATCTCGTGTTCTAATCCATCGCCTTCTGTAATTAACGCCCTCTCTAATATTACTCTACCTTCTTTGTAACGCTGGTTTTCTTCCATTGCAAACTCGTATATCCAACCCAATTTTGTATCACAATTTTTGCATGATACATCGCGGACTATATGGCGACCAGTAAGCATAACACGATCTTGAACGTCACTACAAAAATAAGAAAATTATTTACAATATAGAAATGAAAGTGTTATAGATGGACGTATTTACATATCGAAAATGACTGCCCTAAATGACTACTTAAAATCTAAACTAATTAGTTACAACAACCAAACAAACGTACATAGGTAAAAATAATTAGATAATTTATATATGACAACATTTGGGTCTTACAAACATTTTGATTAAATCTTTACATTTTATTTCGTTTAACATTTCACTTTCTATTGAAAGCAAGCTAAATTATTAAACTTGTCATCTGTAGTGGGTCGTAAATAGTTTTTTATGCGTATGAGGCATGAAAACAATCTCTCTAAATTACAATTGTACACTGGAAAACTCAAAAAAAAGTTTAGGGATATGTCAATATTTAATAACTTTTCTCTTAAATTGTGCATAGTAAAATTGGATTTCAACTATTTATATCACTATCACTATTAAGGATTGCAAATGTAAACCTTTAGGCAAAAAATTTACTAAATCATCCAAGTATATTGTTTGCACTGTTAGCAAATTCAACAATTTTTAAAGTACTTAAAAGATGTAATTTCTTATAGAATCTGGAATATATCACAAAACGTTTTGTAAGACTCATGCTTCAATTTCTTTAGTCATTTATTCAATGATAACAAAGCGTTTTAAGGGTTGTTCTCTCCTGAGCCCAAGTATACAAAATACATTTACAATTAAAACAATATGACAAGCACCCATGAGTCAACACAATACAAATAAATGGCCTTTAAAAATGTTTTAATGTGCCGCTGTTAAATGTAACTATAGCCCCTGCGCATAAAAACGCTCCTGATTATAGATAACTGTATTTTATTGATTTAACACTTGTGTTTTGGATTTCATAATAGTTTTACCACTGCAAACTCCAAATATATTACTACATTTAACGTCACAGGCCACAGCAACAAATTTTTTTAATTAATTGTTATTTCTAGTATAGTAGCAATTAATAATTTTGCTCCATAACTACGCATTTAACTATATAAATTTATTGTAAATAGTTAAATATTTGCTAGCAAACATAGTACCTGTAATTCAGGTTGACGACTTTATTGAATAAAAATGCTCTACCGGTGGCACCCGTAAATCTGGTACTAATCAATTCATCGCGATTGGTTAAATTTATGTCGCAAGCAGCACAAGCATACAAGCGATCACCTCCAACATGATCAAGGAAAATGCGTCCCATCTTAATAAATTCCAAATGAAATTGAAATGTAGAGGACGCAGTACCAAAAACTCGTATACATATATATATATATTTTTTAATCACTCGGAAACGTTAAAAAAAAGGTTTTTTTTTGTTAACTCTTATCAAAACACAATTATATTACGTTTATTATAACGAAAACCTAAAAGAGAAGAGTGAAGACTATAATGCGAGAATTATTAAGTAGGTACTCGCCACTAAGTTTTTTATTTCTGGGTCCGTCTTTGTATAGTAATTAGTTTGTGTCTACTGTCTAATGACTTGTTTTAACTTCTCCGCAGTCTGCACAATGAACATCAGAGTATCATCCATCAGCTGTTTTTTATTTACCAAAACATACGAATCCAGCTTATCATACACACAACAAAAGCGGCCGATGACCCGTTGAACATCATAGGTCTTTATTCTGTGCATGGGTCCATCAGCAGTATCCTATTAAATATACACTTATATTGTGTAATTAATTTTTATTTAGCAACATAATTTTTTCCAACTTATTTTCAAGATTTCTAAATTAAACTATACAAATGCGATCCTTCTGGGCCATACATCCTGTATCCTGAATTTAAAAATATTAAATACAGTAACTATTGTCTATAATACAATTATTAAAAACTTTTCTAACTTTTGAAAAAATTCAAAATTTGCATTACACAATAATAATTATTTAAAAATAAATATATATTTATATATAGATGTTAAACTATAAGTACTTAAGAATCACAAATGGAACTTTTTTTATTGAAACGAAATATTAGACAGAATGTAATACATTTTCACAAAACTGGTCATTTTTTTTAATTTGACTACAATTTTAACAATAGTTTTACGATAGAAGGGGTAGATAAATGAATTGCCTCTTTAAAAATAACATTCCGCTATTCTACAGTTATAGTAAAAGTACAAAGTCCTTAAAGTAATAACATTTTATTGTAGCATAAAAGCCATAGTACCTAGGTAATTGTCAATTTATTTTACATTGGAGTTTAGAATGTCCCGTATAATTTGGATTTTGCATATTATATATAATATATGATATTGCAAAGGGCCAAAGGTTAGGTTAGGTAGGGTTATAGCCTATAGGACATGTTTATGATCCATATTTTTCCTTCAAGGGAAAGATTGTATTTTTTGTGTTAGTTATAGGCTTAGTTATCTGATTAAGAATTTAAAACAAGGGAAAGAGACAGACGACAGGTTCTAACTTCTATACTGTATCCTAACTAAGTATTCTATACTTGTTCTTCTTGGCTACATTCCTGGCAATCGATAATTTAGGAATTATTTGGCTAGACAACAATGTATGGTCATTGTTCAAATTTCAGGCTTAAAACGGTCAAATGGGTGGTTAAAAAACTAATATTATTATTTATCACTCAAACGTGTCTTTTGTCAAATTAAAAATATTCGAATGAATGTGTTCGTCAGAGCTAGCATCTCAGATCTCTATAATGTCTAGTTAACACAAGTTTAGTTCATGTGTGATGTGCGAAAAGAGTAACTCGACCAATGTCTCATATTAAACCCTACCCATAAAAATTGAATGCGCTCAATTGATCGTGTGTGTTACTATTTTTCATTAAATAAAATCATATGAACTCGGCATTAACCTTAGCTGAGAGCTAGACAAAATCACTAAGCACGTTAATAATTTGTTAAAATTAAAAATTAAAATAAAAGCATGAACTATGAAATATTTAGTCAATGTTAAGCTGCTTAAGCATCTCCCAAGGAGATTGGTAGCTGCTAAAGTGTTACCAACTTAACTACATTTTTAATACTTTCACAAATTCAAAATATAATAATTAGCGGCTACAAAAAAATCGGTGGATCCATGATCTTCAATGATTCCAAGGCCGGCGGCTGCGGTTGAAATATTTAGCTCTTCTATAATATGCACATCAATTCAATCCGCGAGTGTTTATTTTGTTTATTTGTTTATTTTACGAGTGTTGATTTTAATTTACAATTAATATTTATTTACACTATGTACCTATTTGTTTTTTTGGTAAATCGGTCGTTGTAACGTAGGTTTTTGAAATTTATAGTGATGTATTAGGTATAATATAAAAAACCTTAAAAAAATCATTTGGCATTTGAAATTTTAATCGGTCAATGCTAAATTGCTCATTAAATTATATTACATAATACATCGAGAGCGAGATCTACGTTTTGCGGGGGCCTGCAGCTGTTGGCGTTTTAGCGTATTGCGTAGTGTGTACAAACTGTGGTCACAGGGCTACCTATAATCGGATATTTCCCAAACGAAGGCGGTTACTAAATTCGACTCTCGAGTTGATTGTTTCATTATCACACGGTCGTACACAAACAATACCAAACACACACACACACGCACTTACACGCTAAATCCGAATCGTTTATGCCATTAACTTCATTATCCATGAGAAGACCGCATTATTTTCGTTCAACCGCTGCGCATTGCGGCTCTCGATTGTCGTTGGCGTGAACAGTGAATTTTGTTTTGAGTAATTTAAAAAATACATACCTAATCACATTCAACGACACAGAGCCGGCCCAGAAAGTGAGTACTTAGACCGTCGTTTCTTAATCTAACCGCGACTTTTTAAATTTCAGTTCATTTAATTGTTCAGGATTTTCAAAATTGTTTAGCTAGTTGGTACGTATTTGTACGTTTTGAAATGGGCACTCCTCAACTTAATGGCAACACTCAATGTTTGACTTTGGTGAAAATCGTTAAACTCGACTTGAACCAAGAAAACGATTCAAACAATGCGGTTGAATTTTCGCCAGCTTACATCACCACCATCAACACTTGCAGCACCGCTGAAAGTGGTGTAGTCTCTCAAGGAACACAGTTTCAGTTATTAGGTAGGTTTGTTTGCATTTTGTTATTAAATAAAAAAAAATTACACATCAGTATTTTTTCATAAAGATACATGATAATAACAATTTAGTTGTATTTTAGAAATATTTAGTAAAACAATTCCTTTCATTTGATTCTGAAATGAAATGATGTTCTAAATATTAAAGATAAAAATTTAGTTTTACAATTCTATTTATATTTTAAGCAAAAATGGTTACAATTTGGTTTTCCGCATGAAGAATGGTTGTACTTAAATAAATTAACTTATTTATCAACTTTTACTATATTTTTAGCTTTTGACACTTAATACAAATTCACTCTTCTTATATTTAAAATTTCTTGACTTGTCATATTGATTATATTTCTTTACTTGAATTATTATTATTATTATTAATATCATATGCACATGACAAAATGTTATCTTAAACATTATTAAGATTACTTTTTTATGAACATTTTTGATTTTGTAGATACTAAAAGCGAAGTAATTGCTGAGTTTACACCAGATTATTCAGTAGATTATTGCAAAATATCTAAAGATAAATATGCTGTACAAATCAACGATTATACATACACTCTCCAATTTAGAACCCACATAGGTAAGTTATATATATTAAGTATATATTAGTGTATTTTGTATTAAAAAAATATTGGTTTATCAATTTTATAGACCTATTCGAATTTACTGCTTCATTGGCTCGTGCAAAAAAAGGCAATCACATTTCAGTCTTCTCAAATCGTACCGATGAAGCGTCGGCCACACAATATTTCCAGGTAAACCGTAAATTAACTATGAGCATCAATTTTTATTTTGGTATAAAAAAATGTATTTGTTGTATAGTTTTATGGATATTTATCACAACAACAAAATATGTTACAAGATTACATACGTACAAGCACGTATCAAAAAGCAGTATTGGTTAATACTGGAGATTTTACTGACAAAATCATATTGGACGTTGGGGCCGGTTCAGGAATTTTATCATTTTTCTCTGTACAAGCTGGTGCTAAAAAAGTGTATGCCGTTGAAGCTAGCTCTATGGCACAACATGCTCAGGTATAACTTCTTGATAATGTCTGTTCTCGGATAACTTTTCTTCTATTCATTTTTGTGTCATGTGTTATAGTCATTAGTAAATGCCAACAATCTAAGTGATAAAATAATTGTTATTCCTGGAAAAATTGAAGAAATTGAACTGCCGGAAAAAGTAGACGTCATTATATCAGAACCAATGGGTTATATGTTGTACAATGAAAGAATGCTTGAAACATATTTACATGCAAAGAAATGGCTTAAGCCTGGTGGTCAGTGTTATTATAATATTTAAAAAAAAAAAATTGCTTCAAAAATGTTAAAAATTAAAATTTTTTAATAATTTATTTATTTTTATGATTTGTTCAGGTAAAATGTATCCTAGTAAAGGTGATTTGCATATAGCACCGTTCACAGATGATGCATTGTTTATGGAACAAACAAACAAAGCGAGTTTCTGGTATGTATTCTTAATGTTATAACAAAATAATTGTATAATACAACATGTATTGATGGTTTAAATGTTAATTTATAGGGTTCAATCGTGTTTCCATGGTGTTGATTTGAGCTCACTGCGTGATGTAGCTATGCGTGAATATTTTAGACAACCTATAGTGGATACTTTCGATATACGAATTTGTCTAGCGAAATCAGTCAAACACAGTTTAGACTTTCTAACTGCCGATGAACAAGAATTGCATAAAATCGATATACCGCTCGAATTTTATATACTTGAATCAGGAACTGTTCATGGACTTGCATTTTGGTTTGATGTTGCGTTCCAAGGTTCAAATCAAACTTTATGGTTGTCTACTTCACCCACTGAAGCATTAACTCATTGGTATCAAGTGCGGTGTCTTTTAGAAAAACCCATTTTTGTTAAAGTTGGCCAAGTACTAACCGGTACTGTATGTCTTCAAGCTAATGTTAGGTAAGTATTTTTTAAAATTACTTTCAAAATAACATGTAGCGTATTAAAATATTACTGTTCTAATTAAAAATATATACATTTTATAGACAAAGCTATGATGTTTTAATGACTTTAATGATTGACGGCCTACCTCATACTAGTTCTTCAAACAATTTGGATCTTAAAAACCCATACTTTAGGTACACTGGTCAGCCACCACAACCACCACCCGGCGTTAACACAATATCCCCAAGTGAAAGTTATTGGGCTAATATTGACCTTCAAAGTACATCCGGTATAATTAATTTTACCTAAGAAAATTGTGACTTTTTTAATTTCTATTTTTTTCTATTTTAATATAGCGTTAGTCAATGGTATACCGTTAAATGGATATGCCACAGACATTGCCATGGATATTTCACCGTCGCCAGTAGCCGTAGGCAATAATGGAAACCTTATAAGTTTAGGTATTAACTAAATGTTTTTTCAATATATTGTAGTCTTGTCGAATTCATTTAATTTAAATGTAATAAAAACATTTGTCAAAAATTAAATAAAAGATTTTGCAACATAGCAATAGAGATACTAAACTATATTCTAAGTGATTCTTTTTAAAGTTATAAACATTTTGATTAGTTTTCAAGTTAGAAAAAACTTTAACTTAAATTTAAAATATTCAGGTTAATCAAATGCAATGCAAAAAAAAATTCATAAGGAAGTACTTGAAAATGAGCTAGTAATCTGTAATTTTAGAGATTTATTATTTAGAAAGGCTACTGTAGATTTTGGTTGAGTAAAAAAGTAGTTATATTTAGACAGCTTAATGTACATTACCATTTAATTTTCAAAAGCTGGTGAATACTAAAATATATGAAAATAATGTCTCGTATTGTATAACAACATAAACAAAAATGTTTTCAAATTAGAAAACTACAAAATTGCAATTGTTTTAAGAGAAACTAGTGTTGTAGAACTTCATAAAATCTTCCGGTATATCTAAGACACAAAAATTAATGGAGTGTATTTAAATTGCATTGTTGTATTTTCTTGTACAATACATAAAAATAATTGTTTTAAAGCCCTACTTGTGACTATTCATTAAGGGGCAAAATATAGGCAATACTTGACAAACAATTTGTATTACTTCATTTTGATCATGTTGATTAATTTACATTAGTTCTAGGGTATAAGTTTTTAACAACACTTTCTCTGATAAATTATAGATCTTTTGGTGGTGAAAAACTGGCACTTCTTCCAGAAGCCTGATTACAATACATTTTTTTTGTTAGAAAGAAAAAGACTTCCTACAGGGTGCATTGGACTTAAATATTTTATTACATTATTAAAAGCAAGAAAAAAATATGTTAAAAACTTAATTAAAAATTATGAAAATTGGTCATATTTAAACTCTTATTATAGCGTTTAAAAATATAATTTTGAAATTTCAAGTCCAACACACCCTGTAGAAAGTTTTCTTTTTATTGAGACTACTCTATGAGGTGTAAGAGTTTTTCCTGTAGACATGTTTTTGCTAATAAAAATAGGATGCCTGCAAGCCTATTAAAGTTATCATAAAAAGTAATACACCAGTAAAGATATTTGATGCTTTTTACAGTTACAGTACCTCAACCTAATATTCATCCAGGATCTATAAGCAGTACAGGACGGCAGCGCGTTAGTACAGCCACGTCTGCAGCAGCGGCTCAACTTATAGGTGGAGGGATATCGCCTACCATGTATCAAGTATATTTTCTAATTAATTTATGTACTATTAAAGATAAGTGATTGTAGGTCACTAATTACTTATATAGCTTTATTTAAATATAGAAGGTCTACCCACGGTTATGGGTCACTATTATGTCTGGAAATAATTGTTGTATATATTGAACCACTTAACCTTTGAGCGCTCGCATCTTTAAAAGTTTAACCATAACTCGTGTGGCAGCATTTATACCAATCTTAATCTTGTGAAGAAAATTGTTGATTTTTAAGTAATTAGAGAATACCTGATAGTTCTTCTGCCAGACTGACTAAATGTATTTAGTTGTCGCATTTTTTTTTTTTCAAAAAAAGTTGATGCAAGCACCGACTAGCGGATGCTCCAACGTTTTAAATGTACACATACTGAAAATCACGAAATTTCAACCATGGCCGATATATTTTTCGCATTATCAGATGATTCATTGCCACCATATTTTTAATAAATGGCTGAGTAACGTGATTGGGTTTTTGACTGAATTACGTTCTATCTAACTTCCATTACCTGTTCTTTACATAAATGTATATAGAAACCAACATATGTACTCCTGTAAAATAAAAAATCTACATAGACTTATTCGGCTGAACCTTTTAAATAATTAATATATAGTGTATTGGATGTATCACGATGATCTGACAGAATTACTCTAAAATGTGAGTAAATTTGTCAGATATATTGCACAGTGCACACTGTACAAGATGTAGTAATGCCTTTGTTATTTATTTACTATAAAATGTTAAAATCGTGTGATGGTATAATAATTTTCATCTTTTTTTTTTTTTTTACAGAACCAAAACCAACAATTATTGTTAGGTGCAGCATCAGCTACTGCTTCTGCAGGAAGTTCTGTCGCCGCTCCAATGGTTAATTTTCCTGTTAATAATGCCCTCATGATCGGGGATTATGTTGCACCTAATGCTGGCAACGGGAGTTTGTTAAATATATCATATCATTGATAATCGTATGCTTTTAACTGTACATTGTAATTCATTTCGTAAGTTACAATGATAATTCCAATGTGCATTTTTTTTTTAATAAATTTATATATTTTTGTAGTGTGCTGTATCGTTGCTGGAAAACTTGCTTCTTTTTACGAGAGAGTCTTTTTTCTTTTATTTTATTGTAAATGACTAAAACTAAGACAATTTTTATACAATCATGAATAGTCAAATTATGATATGAAAATTGGTTAGCAATGATAAGATAACAGTTAAAAAGTTGGAATGAATCTTGTCAACGTTTTTAACCAAATAGTTTTCATTTAATAAAAAATACTTGAATAATATCAATTGTCAAACTATTCAAAGCTCACTAATTGATTGTAATAGTTGGGACATTCTAGGAGTCCTCGTCATTTAATTATTTTATTATATAACATTGTAAATTTGTGAGATTACTGAAAAGAAAAGCAATATGTATTAGAATATACTGAAGTATTTTATTTTGTGTATGTATATACAATACAAATTTATTTCGTATAATAATTTAGATAATATAATTGCCAATTTAATAAGCTACATAATTGTAATATACTATTGTAAATTGTATATTACTTTTTTATTATTATTATTATTTTTTTTTTTACTTTAATTAAAAAGATTTTTCTTTCTTTGTATAAATTAAATATTAGTTATTGTATTGGTTCAGAGTTATAACTTATACAGTTAATTACAACAAATGTATACAATTATTATTGTTGTTATGATGAAATGACAGTGAAGCAGGGCAATCACTGGTTCCGAGAAATGGGTATACTTAGACCTGTAAGTGGCGAATTCGTTTACAAAAGTTACTTAGATCGATTCGGTGTACGGCTGTAATAATGTTTCATAAATCATAAGGATATAAGCAGTGGCGCAAATCAGACAAGATGGTTGACCTTTAAGACTGACTATGTATGCTATTTTTAAGTTTTCAAGTTATATTGATACCTGATACTTTTAAATTACATCTAAAGAATATTCTGTACAAATTTGGAAATAATTCCATCATTTTTCAAAAAATGTATAGTGCACCTAACTTTGGTGAAATATATGTAAATTTATTAGTTGTTTTTATTTATTTTGAAGAAGGGATAAACTTTTTATATTTTAGTCCGTTTAAGTAACTTTCAGGTATGATTTCTGATCAGAATTTAATTTCTAAACATTGGAAAAACTAATTATCTCTTAAGCTCCACATGAAGCAAAAAAATATGTATATTTATTAGTATTACAAAATGAAAAAATATACTAACGTGAAAAATAGTTTAAAAAATTAAATAACAATGACCCTATATTATAACAAAAAAGTCTTCTTAGGAAGCCTAAACAATATATCACATTCGTATATTTAGTACCTCGAGTATGAATGATCATTTTTGAGACGATTAACTGCGAGAGTAAGTATTCAAAAAACACTAAACAATAAATAGCGTGCAACACAACGATGAGTAAAGATTGCTAGATTTATCTATATTGTATATAATTAAATCTAACAAGTAAATAATTGTGGTTTTTTATAAGTCGTAGTAAATTGCTTTTCGCGTTAAGATCAGTACCTACGCGCGAATGATACCATCGTCGTTTATAACATAATCCATATTAGATTTATCAAACTTGCCTATACGCTATGTTTCAATTAAGTGTTATTACTATACATAATATGGTATTATTAAACTCTATACTTAACTGTAAAACGATAAGGTCCACGACAGATACGTTGCTTTGCGCCCGTGCAATCGTCACACAGCTCAAAAATATACACACTTATTCCATATCATGATTGAAAAGAATGAATGTAATTTTATGCTCCTAAATAGTATATAGCCTGTTTAGATTCCTAATATATAGAATATCACATATCGTATATCTAATATCATATACCACACATGCATGTATCACGTGTGTAAGGTATCTCCTATGGTTTCTTGTATGTTCCAACTTGAACACAGATAATTAATTATTACGTACAGAGCTTATGTTGTAAAACGTTCGTGAACTATTCTTACTCGTAAGGTAAGTACAAGTATATAATCTATCGAATTATAATTTTATTTTATTAAATTGTATAATTATGACATTTCGTCAAAAAAAACAGTGTTAAGTATTGTAATGTTTTTGGATTAAATATAATTTAAAAATAGTCCTGTGCATTTAAAAAAATACAGTTATATATAGAGTAAACTTCTAATACTGTGAACTCGGTTTTGAGTTCAGCGACTACCGTCAGTATTGTAGATTTTTGTTCAGTTTCTATTGGCACAGATTAGATACCTATCTAGTTTTATCTAGTCTGAGCTATTAGTAAAAATTATTTTTAATTTTGTCATTGATTAAACATTGGGTTATCGTTGTAAAACTACCTGTACAATTTATAACACATAATTTGAATGGGAAAAAAGTAAAATCATTAATAATTATTCTTTAAAATTAAGTACCATTATCTACCCATCTATCTGTACTCTGTAGTATAGTAATATGGTCTAAGGGCGCTCTCTAAATAGAAAGGTCAAAGGATGTAAAAAAAATATGAGTAATTTTCATAGTCATTTTCTTCGCAGAGGGCGTATATGAATTATTATTTGCCGCCTAAACCCACATTTTTAGTTGCCATTAGCCGACGACGTATCCATAGCCAGTTACTGTCGTAAAAAAATGTTATTAAAGTCTCAAATAAAACTTGTTTCAGGAGAAAAACTTTTCAGCCGAGCGTACAAGTACTTTTATACACAATTAAAGATCGAGACTATCTAAATAACATGGACGATTTTTTATAAAAGTTTTTAGAAACTGAGTTAGGTACCACACATCGAGTTTTATAATTTTTTAAAGCTATTATAACGTTGCTTACATTTTATTTTGATCCAAAAGTGAAATAAAGGAAAATTGCCCACCCTTTCTAGGGGTGTTTGAAATTTGTATGGTTTCTCAATGTAGATATATTGAAAGACAATAGTACTATACTTAAAGAATATTCCAAACAAAATTTGGAAATATTCGACTATTTTTAAAAAACATAGCGTGCCGTAATATTAAGATGAAAAATGTGTATTTTTTAGTATGTTTTTCACGGTTTTAAAATTCAGGGGCGAACCTTTTTATTTTTAGCCTATCAATAAGTAACTTTTAAGTATGATTTCTTAACTATAATTTATAAACTTGTTACATAAATAAATCGGTTCAACTTCTAATCAAAGCTAAAATTATTTCTCTTTGTTTTAAGTAAACGTAGGCAAAAGTTAACGTAACAGGCCTAACATTTTGGTAAAACGTAAAGCTACAACTCAAACCATATCAATTTTTGGCGAAGGATTTAGTTAGGAGTATGCCCCTAAATTTCTCCTTTAAGTACAACATATGGGTTTTGATAAATAACTAATGTATTTATATTTTAATTACAGGTTATGACTGAAGTATCTGTTAGAGTACGGTTTTTCGCTCAAGCTCGTGAAATAGCCAATACAAGAGATGTAATTATTTGTGTGCCAAAAACGCTGCATGTTAATGAGTTACGTTCAATTATAGTTAACAAATTTAATTTGTCGTCTATCGAAAAAATTTTGATTTTGGCTATAAATGAAACGTATGTATGCGACAGTTTGGAAATTAGTCTGAAAGAAAACGATACAGTAGCAATAATTCCACCAATAAGCGGAGGTATGCCTTCTTGATAATAAATAATAAATATATATGAGTATATATTAAATACGTATATTCGTAGGTTGAAAAATGGGAATTGAAGTTAAAGTTACCGATTCCGAATTGGATACAAATTCAATTATAAAATCAGTCGGTAATGTAGAATGTGGAGCTGTATCAGTTTTTATCGGAACGACTAGAGAACATTTCAACGGTAGAAGGGTTAAGACTCTTTATTACGAAGCATACGAGACAATGGCTTTGAAACAAATGCGGTCCATTTCGATAGCAGCGACAAAAAATTGGCCAGAAGTTATGAATATAGTCATACATCACAGGTACATACAATTACATACCTAGGAGTAAAAAAACTTGATTATTTTTTGGCAATTCTCCGTCACTGTTGTCTGTTTTAAGGCTTGGAGAAGTTAAAGTCGGCGAAGTAGGATTAGTGATTGCGGTTTCATCGCCTCACCGCCAGCAAGCACAAGAAGTCGTGACGTATTTACTTGATCAAGTCAAAACTTCAGTGCCAATTTTCAAAAAAGAACTGTACATAGATGGCAGCGGCCAATGGAAAGCTAACGTCGAGTGTACTTGGAAAGAAAAATATTAATGAAAATAAATATGTTTCCTTATTACTAGATATTAAGGATATCTACGTACAACATAACAACTATCCAAATTGTATCGCGTACTTGACAATATACTACTACAAGTGTATAAAGATACATCTTCACTAGACGTTTTAATTTATCTTTGTAAAAAATTGCAGACTGTTTACATGAAATAAATTAAGTATTGTGGCATGTTATTTTTGTAGTATTATTACAAAAAAACAAGAATTCAAACGTTATACAGTTTAATAGATTTTATTTATTAAAATGTTTTCTTTTATATGCTTTACAAAATATTTTTGACAATAAACATCTGGTTAATAGTAAAAAAAATAACATTCAACAAATCAAAATACTCAAGTCACATATTTAATGTAAACCAAGAATAATGATACCACAAAATTATGGCACTAAATTAAAAAATATAAATATAATGATATATTAGATTGCATCTTCGTTTTAAAATATTTGGTGTCTTTTCAATACTTGAGTTTTACTACATAATATCATTTACAAATGTTTCAAATATACTATAAATTTCACATAACACACAACAGCATTCACATTTAGTCACACTAGTTTTGGAACTGTATTTCATAATTATTACTTTGATTTCGGACAATAATAAGCGCAAATGAGTCATTCGAAAAAAAAACAACAACAAACATATATTATATTATATAACTATATAATTGGTAATTATAAATTGGTCATTTGATATGTAGATCAGTGGTTAATCACATCTCCATTTTTGCATTGCTTCAACCCTAGCGTCAGGTGCCAGTTGACAACGGACACCTTGTAGTACATTACACGTTGCTTGGCTAGCGAGTATGATTGGTGTCAGAGCCGTGGGTGGTATCTGCCGCATGACACCACCCACCATTCCAGCAGTGCCTTTAATTTCGTGCTCTTCGCTAGCAACTCGTACCAGAGTTTGAGCAGTTTCTCCTAGACCCTATACATGATGTAAATACGGTAAATATTTTTAACTATTATAATCATAATTTAAAAAAAATTATACAGAAGTAACTGTTTGCTGACCTCTTTAACCAGCATAACTGCAGTAGCAACTCCTTCTCGTATATCAGCAGGATGGGCTCGTTTGTTTGAGCGATTTTTCTTTTTAGATTCTTGCAATCGTAACTGTCGCATGCTAGGACCAGGATTCACCATGTCGTACGTTGTCTCAGCCACTCTCTAAACACAATTTCGTTTTTATTTAGTTGACGAATTATTGTTATTTTTTAAAAAAATATTATTTAAGTACTACTAACTTGGATAAGATTAACAATCCGTGTAGCTATTTCAAGGGCAGCCATCGCTGTTGATGTGGTAAAGGAATTAGCACCTCTTTGCAGGCCTCTAACTATTCGACCATCTTTTTGATATTGTTCAATTGGAAGCTGCACTAAGTCTCTAAAACCTTGAACCAATCTAACAAACGAGTACATCGGGCCAACACCACCTAATAATGATGGTAGTTGATGTTTTTTAATATCTTGTAACCATTCTTGTGTAACAAATGTTAATAATTTATCAAATCCAAGTAAGCTAAAAAAAAAAAATCCCATAATATTCCAACCAAATTGTTATAAATTAGATAAAAGATAATTTATTTACCCATGCTTGTGCACTATGCGTTTCAATGTTATCTCAGAACAATTAAGTTGAGCCAAACCCATGAGCAAACCTGCCAGAGAGCCTTGGCTAAGATCAATGTGTCGGCCTTCATAATCTAATCGGATTGTTACATCCGGTGAAAATATGAATTGTCTTATATAAACTGGAGATTTACTATCACTCGGAGGAGAGCTGATATCAAAGTTTGAAACAATTGGCAAGTCTTTTTGTCCAAAATGTTCATCAAATTCATCATTTAACTCTATCAACGAATTGGGAGTAATTGATTTATTAATGTTATCAGCATTTCTTACTGTCATTATAGGCTCGTTGGGTTTTGAAACAATTTTCTTTTCATTTATTACTTCTAAACAGAACCAAAATGTAAAAGTTAATTTTGGAGTACAAATAAAAAATTTGGATTAACTACTACCATCTTTGGTTTTTTGACTCAGCCTAGAGAACTGGTTAACAAATGAGATCAGGAAAATCAGAGAATCTTGGTCAATGTTGAGTCTTAACGGTGACATGGATACCTTCACACAGCACTCTTGAGCCATTAAATTGGAATCCGGTCGGATATGAGCCGCTTTGGCAACCAGCTGAAAATCGATTGTATTTGTTATCTCTGATACTAAAAAAGGATTACATCAAACTTTTTTCATTACCATATTGGCATCATGCTGTTTGGGCATCGCTTCACTAGAATATAAATACAAGAATTTATTAATGTTTGATGACGCGAGTTTATCACGGATTTCTAGGTCTTGTATGAGCACCACTTGCCGCATTGCTTGTTTAGTACTGGGTGGGTAAATTTCCTGTTGGAATCGTACCTATAAAATTAGAAACAAAGTTGGTAAAAATTCAATAAAAGAATCATGACCAATAAGATGAAACAATAAATATATTTGTAAAAAATGTGTTCACTGTTAATATTCTTCACTTTATATAACTAATAATAATTAAATACCTTATTCAATTGCAATTGCATAAGGACATGATGTTGTCGTCCAGCGCCACCTTTCGCTTGCCAACTTGTCGGTAAAACACTACAGCAAAATCGGGTTCTAGCTTGAGAAACGTTTGTTGAGCCTTTACTACTAGTTGGATTTTTCTAGAAAATATTTCAGAACAGTTAATGGTATGAATAATGATAAAAATAATAAAGCATTTGAAAATATTATTTACTTGTGGTGAATTAATATTAGACTGAGAATAATAGCGCGACAGAGAAGGCCTAAGAGTATTTGGAGAAGTTGGACAAGAATTTCTAAAAACCAATAAATTTGATATTTATAACAGGGTGCAAGTACAAAAAAAATTAATAGGTTCTTACGTTTCTGATACTATAGTGACATGTTTTGTCAATTCATTATGCAAATTTGAAGATGTTTTGGTGTCAAAATCAGTACCACCGTATATATGCCAAATTAACGTCATTTCTCGCAACGTATATCTCGTGACTGGCATCGGATAACCTTTTGGTGCTTGGAGCATATCGATTTTACCCACTGGAGTTTTAAAATGGTTATTTACTACACGTATTTGAGTATCAGTTAACATGCGTACTTCAGGAACGTTTCCTCTCGGCTATAAAAAAAATTAATATAACTAATGCGATACTGTTGGTTTATTATTTTCTTATTAAATGTGTTACCATTAATCCAGATCCCGCTTCGTGTTCGACAAAACAAAAATCTTTTTCAATATCTTTATCTAATTCATAGTCTATATCGATCAACTGTGAATGTTGTGAAGTGTCCAATAACGGCGTGACTATTTTATTAGTTTCATCCGGAAAGTAAAATACTTCAATGCCTTTCCTACTCTGATTGGAGTTTGTAGGATTATTTTTTTTAAAACTATTTTCAACCGTATCATTTGACTTTTGTACAACAATTTCTTCATGCATTGCTTCCATAATGAGACTCGATACAGAACTGTTATCAGAATTGGCCTGATCCAATACATTTTGTTCTTCTCGATGGTCCATTCCTTCAAATTCGGTAACGTCTTCTTCAACAGAACTTTTGTCACCATCCGAAGCTACGTAACTAATCAAGCGACACAGTGCGAAAGCAGAATCTGCACAAGTTCTAATGTGTATAACATTGACAGCCATTCTCAAGTCCTTTTCAGGTTGCGTTAACATAGTCACTTGTGTTGATGCTTTGCAGAATTTTAAAGAAAGTTCAAACACACCCAAATCCATGACACAAATGTAGTTGGACATAAGGTCTACATTTTCTGCATTGGATAATCGCGCAGAAATAAATAATGCAACGTCCTCAGAAACTATCTGTAAAGTAGATGCTTTAGATCTCGCTACAATGTTACTAGACAGACTGAAACTGCCAATGGTGAGGACACATTGATACGGTAGGTGAAGAGGTCTAAATGAAAAGAAAGACAATTGGTGTTTTTTTAAATTAAAATTAAAATTTTTAAGTTACATATAGGTTAAAAGATAATTATTTTTCCTATAAAACACATACCTGTAGTCTATGAGGCATTCTCGAATGTGTTGATGTAATTCAGTGACAACATGAGGGGATTCATAACCGGCCACCGGATAATCGACTACATCAAAGAAGTCTGATAGTTGATAATACCAACTCTGAGAGACAATACTAAACACATGCCTAAGTGTAGTACCAGAGATTTCATTAGCTACTCGTATTGTCTAAACAAAAACAAAAAAAAACATTTCAACTTTTACACATTCATATTATACTAAAAAGTTTTTTGGGAAAAAATTGTTATGCCTTGTAGAGTGGTCTGATTTCAATTTCGATTATAATTGAATTTTCGAAATTCTTATTCTCTGTGTAATTAACATTTAAATATGTAAATATTTGTTTTATTTTCTGAGAATTGAATAACAAAAAAATAAAGATTAATGTGAACTATAGTTTCTCTTTCAAAAAATATCAATCGAAATCAGATCAGTTTACAAGGCATCATCGTTTTCCTCATCAAGCCATTTGTTTCTACAAAAATGGAAATAATCCATGAAAAAAATTGTGTAAGCGTTTAACTTAATATCCCGAATTATGCTTATAATAAATTGATATGTTTCCAAAGTCCCTAAATAACCCGAGAGCCAATTCCGTTAATGTATTTAAACTGTGCATTGCGGCTCTCAAGGGTGTTGCGTGAGTTGGTCAATGGGATGAAAAAGTTTGAGTACCACTGCCTTAAGGAATTCACATATTTACCTTGATATGATTGCACACGGATATTTCTACAACGACTGTTAGCATATCACTATTATCCATACATGACCTTTCTTTGAGATCCATACCATTTGGTACTTGATACAGTGTACGTTTTAATAATTTATTTCTCTTGCAAACAACTTCCTTGGGTGTTATGATTTCACTATTGCTAGTCGTAAGATCTATCAACGAAATTTACAAGGAAACATAATGTTATAGTTACAATATATAGTTATGTACATCAATTTGAAGCTCTTACTTTCGTGACTTAGAGAAAATTTGTTTGCCTGAATACAAATAAAGTTGTGTCTAGGTGTATTTTCATACCCAGCTGCCATATATAAATATAAATCTTGGAACACAATCTGAAGTTCTCCGTAATGTTGTGGTATAACTCTTCCAGAACGATCCTAGAACAATTTCAATTCATATTAATACCATATTATATAATGTTGGTATTTATATTCACTTACCCTGGACTGAGTGACAATAGTAAACAAGCCTTGCGAGATATTTAAATTCAAACAAAACTCTGTTCGCTTAATCATAGGATCAGCAATATGCATATTAGATTGCCCACAAGAGAAATAGACATCGGATAACTCATCTTCAGATTCACTTTCAGACTCTAAAATATCAATATGCAATAAAAATATATTATAAGAATTAAACATTGTAAGTTTGTTGGAATGTACCAAATTGTATTCCAGACTTGCACGGGGCAAAGTATCGAGTTCTGTTCATATAAGACAACCTATTTGAGTCGCCACGGCGCGATGCAGGAGTTGGGAATGACGGTGACCAGAAAAATAAATCATTGGTGAATCTAAAAAATAGAAACAATTAACATAAAAGGGAATGATTAATAATGCCATGGCGTGGCGCAGTGGACACCTCAGCTGTCATGCAGCACCTGAGGTTAAGCTGTGTCCATTGTTGCTTGTTCCCAACCAAACCCAAAGCTATCCAAAAATCCAACAAATAGCTAATAGACAACGATGCAGAGGCTTAGGGGAAAAACAGATGGTTATTAAAACAAACACAAACCTATTATAGATAGTTTCATAGAGATGTTTTGACGGTAAAGTCACGTAAACATATGGAAGATTAATATCTAAGAACACTTTTGTGTTGGCATTAGTGTTTTCTACAAACTCCATTATTTCTTCTCTTGAACCCGGCACTACTTGTATTTCGCCATCGCTTAATTTCTGGTTGTATTCATGATTTTCAGAATGGTGATTTCTTTGCCTCATGATTTTTTTAGAAGCAAACGGGGATGGTTTCTTAGACGACTCAATGTAAACACTACTCGTTATATTATGTTCGATATTTGTATTGTCTGCTTTGGTTTCATCATGACTTCCATTTATTGGGCACAATTTCAAAACCAATCTAAACATAAAACAACAATATGAGAAAATGTGTTTTAATTGTTTATAAATATATCATTGAACTCACTTTGGCAAACATTTATTGTCTATCCTAATGTTTTTCAAATTATCATCCACACCTATACATTTGGCAACTGGAATAATTATATTCGAGTTAGCTTCTTGGAATAAAGCTTCGACGGTTCTACACTGAAATTCATAGCCAGTCGAGTCCGTTTGTTGAGATAACTTAGTAAACGAACCCTCAGCGTCGGTTAGATATAACCATAGAATATCGTCCCGCAAAATGCGTTTCCACCACGGCAATCGATTAACATCGCTCAACGGTCTTAGGTCAGGTATAGGAAAACTAAAAATAAGTGTAACAATGTAAAACCAAACCTGTAAATATTTTATTTTAATAACAAATAACTATTTGAAAGATATTTGTATTCAGACCACAAAAAAATGTTTTAACTTGAAATCAATTATTCCCTATTATAGTTGCAAATTTTTATAAATCAATATTTTATTTCAATACAATTTTATTTGATGTTTCAAATTACCTGTTATTTATTAAAATTAGATAATTTTATTTTTGTTATTTAAATCATTTTTCATTAACTGTTTAAATTTGTTCAAATACTTTACACCCTTTTGCCAAGTAACCATTGATATTATAAATATGTATTGAATAAAATTATTAAAAAATCTTACCGGAATTTAATAACGAGGTATGTGAAGCTAATGGAACAAACTATATTAATTGTATCGTTGACAGTTCCAATCACATCATTGAACTGTGGTTGATAAACCTGTAAGATATTTTAATTGTTTAAAAATATAAAAATAAATTTCTTAGCAGTCCACTTACATTTAGAGGAGTTTTCTTGGAGATCCTAAAATCTGGACTGTAAATATATGAAGATAATCGGTTAATAATTGAAATGTCTACTTCAGAAAATGCTTCTTGCATGTTGATTCTGGAATAAAAAAAAAGATTAATATAACATACAGTGACCAAAATTTATAGAAATAAGAGTAGCATAATATGATATATTTACTTGATTTCTAATGAAACAGGATTACAAAATCTCGTAGACTTTGTATTATGTTTGAACTGAACTTGAATATCTGGTTGATCAGTATTGGATGTTTTTAAATGAGAAAACTTATCATCTCGAACAAAACGCAAAAGCTAAAAAATTATTATAAAAACCATTTTAAAAAACAATTCACATTCTTAAAACAATTTAATTAAAAAAAAAGTTTAGTTTACCGGAATATATTGCGTTGGGTCTTCGGAAGAATCTACAAGTACTTCCAAGATTTCAACATCATTTCCCAAAGCATGTATATTTACGTCTTTGACGGTCTCATTGGTTTTTTCATCACCTTCTACGACCACCTTAGTGGCTACCAGCCTTAAATGGTTTCTTTCTAAAGACTTAGTAATTTTATCGTGGTCCTGAAGTGCATCGGCACTTTGAACGGTCATCAGGTACTGATGAGATATTTTACGCATTTCATTTTGAGAACATTGGGTGATAGTTTCAGTTTCAGGACATACAGCTAGAACGTCCTCGTGCAGTAGAACCACACAAAGTGACGCCAACTGCACATTAAAATGATTTGTTTCGCCTAACCACTCATTTTTACCTATAAATAAAAATTTTTTAATTAACAACACAAAATTAACTTTATAAACAATTTTACTTTTATTTTTATGCCTGGAATAGCGCGATGACAAATCGGATCTACTGTAAAAAAATAAAAATAAATTTTTGTTAGAGAAACGTTGTTCAATTATGGTCATATAAATTGACGCCTTTTATGAAAATTAAATCACTTAAATTTTCTTAAGAAAAATGACTCATTTAAATTTGCTTTCCAACAAAAACTTATAAATTTGATATTTTCTGGCCAAACCAACAATTTTTTTTGCATAAGTTTATATAGTAAAATATACTTATATTTTTAAGTTTTCGCCTTATAAAAAAAAAAAAACTGATGATTTTGTTCGGTGAAAACCAAAAACATTAGTGTTCATAACAAAGTAAGCGTTTTAGTTTTCATAAGTAAAAATATTGTAAAATTTTACCTGCTAGCTATACTACTCATACTGGAAGTCATTGATGAATCCATACTTGGCATGAAATTATTTTTTTTAGCCCCTTGTAATGGATAAAATTCTTCTTCGATATCTAATGATAAAACAAAACATTTTAAGTTGTGATCTTGACAATTTTGTAAATATTTCAATAACGTGGTTTTTTAAAATTACCATGCACTTCTGACCATCCTTGCATTCCTCTCAAACCGACGCCAACACCGAGTTTTGGTTCTACGTGATTTATTAAATCAATTTCTATGTGGTTGAAATCAGATTCTGTCATCGGTTTTTGTACAGGTACACTTTGTTTCTGATCTGTTAGAGGTTTTGATATACCTCGTAGCAGCTCAATGACTAAATAAAGTTGCCTCGGAGAAAAAATAACATTGAGTGGTCCAAAATTGATTTCTAGACTTAATTTTGGACCAGGAAGACTAGGGTTGTGTTTAAGTACCATCTTGATGGTTTGAGTACCAGTTAGCTCGGCAATGGTCAAAGGTTCAGTGGTACTAGCTTTTGAAGTCTTAAAAATTAAAGACAAAATAATTTAAATATATAATATTAATATATGAAATGGAATTTCATAATATAACTATCAAGTCTTAAAAGCAATTAACTATATTATTATAAAAAGTGTTATATTAGTATATAGTATATCTTACAGTGCTTTCATTGTTGGACGTTTTACAATTGAACTCATATGTTTGTAAAAACACACCTTCAATTGCCAGCTTTTTGGTAAGGAAAGCTAAATTATCATAAATTATTCCTTCTTTTGATTCATCTGCCACTTCATCAATGTAATCTAAACTGTATTTGGGGGGAAGGAAAATGTATTTTAAAATGAAATCGTAAACAAATAATATAAAATATTTTAACAAACCTAATTATGTGTAATTGTAATCCTAATCCTACTTTTAAAAAATCTGGCATATATTCTAATTTTATCACAGTATTTGAAAATTTCACTTTTATTCTGTTTAATACTGAAAAACAATAAAAACAATACATTAATGATAATAATAATATAACATAAATTATTAGTAAAATATATTATTACTAGATTCTATAGCTTGGGTAAACACTTCTAAGCCCGACACTTGTTCAGACTCTGGTGCATTCTCAAAGGTCTCTTCGTAGTCACTATCTGGAGAAGAATACACACTATTAGACATCGATGACCACACAGATTCCAACATAGAACTTGGGATTCCTAAAAATAATATGATGAAAATTAATATCAGTCATTTATCGTCATAATTCTGTTTAAAAACCTTCAGTTTCCTTCAAATTTGGACGAACTGTAAGATTCAGTCCCTCGATGTGTATGACGCTAGAATCTGTAAGCATATTTCTCCATGGCACCGATAACGATATTTTATCCACGCTACCTTCCACAAATTCAAACGGTAATAAGTGTTCTTCTCCAACATCGTTGAGTGCCTGTAATAATCAGTAAACATACATTATACAACCTTACTTTAGAATCAAAAGTTCTTTGTTCAAAATTACAAACAGGGAAAAAATAATGTATTTACATTGAATTTTTTTATAATATTAATATAATAATAATATTACCTCTTTTTTTAACTGAAAATTAGTTAAAAATTATATTTATGAAAAGAAAATAATATTTTGAAAGACACAACATATAATTTTGCTTCCATTATAGATAGTATTTTATTTCAATGATAAAATTAACTACCAGTAATCTAACTACATAATTCATAACATAACATTGAGGTTTAGATAAACAAGTTTTTATCATTATGAGGTAAACAAAGAAGTTAATAGACCATGTAACTAATGTTATCCAACATGGTCGTACTAATCGGTGTAACAATACTAGATATGTTACGTTATCTACTTTTGTAATCAGGTGAAATATGTATGCAATACACATACAAAGCATTGTTTTAAATAGACTAGATGAACACATACCTGGACATCTAGGACAATGTCTTCGAGGGATACTGCTCCGTCCAAGACGTTTATGGACAGTTGGTCGGGTTCGATTTTGTGTTCGAGGAAGCGCCCGACGAACCGTTGCAGCAGGTACCGGCAGCATCTCTTCTGCAGGTTCTCCGTACAATAGTTAAACCACGACATTGCGTGAGGCACATGTAAGACGGATTGGAGTTCACGTTTCTATTATTACTCAATCTGGCAAGCTACCAATTGTTAGTGCTCGTTGCGGGTTCCATACACTCAGCTTGGTCGTGGCGACCTTTGAGCGGATGCTCGCGCGTATCTACGGATCTCACGTGTCGCAACGGCGACGGGAAAAATATAAGTAACAAAAAAAGAACCAATAAACCAACCCTAACGAGCCTCAGCCAAATATCGTCGTTGGTCTTACAGTGAGTAGGAAATCTGTCTGTCTGTGTCAATGTTACACTGGCCGTGGCTTGTGTGCGCGGCAATAGTTTGGTAGCGGCAAAATCCAACGGCGACAACAACGGGCAAACGATAAAGCTGCGTCGGCGGCAGAGACAACGTCGTCGAACAAACAATAATTCCGGAATAATTGCGTTTCGCGAACCTCGCAGCCGCCGTCGCGCGCGGAACAAAGGAACACAGTGTTGTCCCCACCGCGGCGCACTTATTATCACGCGCTCGGAACAAAAACAATAATAAAAAACATATGATCAACCGCGGCCACCAGCAAAACATCCGCGATGCGCGCGCACCGATCGTTTTATTATCATCAGGTACAGGGTCGTTCTCCGGTCCGGCGGCCGCGCACTGTGCACGTCCACCCACGTGCCGCCGCGGCCGAGCTAGGTCGCACGCGTCGCATGTGCGGCCTACGTTTATATTTGTGTCTTGCGACGTCGCTACTGTGAGGTGCGGGACGTGGGCCATCTCAGTTCCCGTTGTCCGCCTCGCGGACGAAGGACCGTCCGGTGAACCGAAGACAGTGGTCTTGGGCAAAATGTTGCGAATTGTAACGCAATAATCGTTAAATAAACACAATGAGTTGAATTAATAATTACATTTATTTTTTTTATGATGCCTACTCGACGGTCAGTCGGTTGATTGTTTTGACGATCGTTCATGGTCATGGCACGTCCGTTGGATGTAATAATAAATAATTCTATTTTCTAATAGCGTCTGGTGTAATAGCAAAAAAAGAAAAACGAACTACTTGTAATTCAAATCACAAAACGATCAATCATAATAAATCCGCGCGTCATCACTGTTTTGTATGGTATAGTTATACAATCTTATTGTTATTGTACTTCTCATAGACTTACTACGATTTATGATTGGGCACTTAATATATTAGTTGATAAAATATTTAAATAATTTGTAAAAGTGTTTTAAAGTCAATGTCAAATTGGGGTATATTAGAGGCATACATCGCAAATCACAATCTGCCATTTCAACTCTACAAATTTTGACAAAATTCATCGATTCGTTAAAAGGATGTAAACTTCCATGTAAATTTAATAAATTATGTTAACATACTATTATGCATCAAAATTCAAATTACTACTAATATTTGATTTTATATATTATTGTGATAATTAACAGTAAGTCATGTCATAATAATTTAAAATTCATACCTAATAAAATGTCTTTAAAATATGTATTTTGCGCATAGTATTCAACAAATAATTTCATAATTCATTGAAATTCTGTAAAAAGTACAGTTATATGCTAAAAATGAGATAATATAAGAAAATTACGGAACACGTCAATAATGACTAGGGCTTATCTCATAGACCTTCAACTTTTGTACTAAATTCATTTTATGTACAGTTTATGCTGTAATCTGTATTATATTTTATCTATTTGGTAAATACGGATGTATTAATATTAAGCTATTTTTATGACATGTATCGAATTCACAAAGCTACTTAGAGATTTAAAATTTAAAAATAGAGTGTAAGACTTGGAGTCTCATATTAATATTTAATAATTGCTGTAAATTAATATAATAATATAGACTTTGCTTATCTATAATAGGTAGGGTCTAAACTTTAGTAGTACATTTTTTTATACATAATGTAGACATATAGTGTGTAATCAATGTAATGACATATTTTTAGATTATATATAGTTAAATCTTGTACGAAAAAGCAAAATACCTAACTCAGTATTCAAATTTTTTTTAATTAATTATGATTCAAAATCGAAGTACCGAATTGTGGTTAATTGTATACATTTTTGTTGTAGTAATAACTTTTAAGTAATGACGTATGTCGTATGCGGTATGAAGTATTTTTATAAAAATGTATTTTATAGGTAAATAACATTTTGTCCTATATTATTACTACATATTAGTAATATGATTAAAATGAAATATAAACAAAAGAAGAAAGAAGAATTCATTGGGAGTTGACGTCAGGTTACAGTTAGACGACTTTTTAATTTAAAGCTATGTTTGACCTTTATTACCTATAGTAAACCGTCAAAAATGGTATGCATTTATTCTCTACTGTTTAATTGCTGTTTCCATGATAATTTCTCCTTTAAATGGGATTTATAGGTAGATAGTATTATCATGATTCTCAGTAGTATGTATAAAGACCATGAGTGTTAGTATGAAAATTTAACTACATTGGAAATCAACATCGTGCCTGAAAAAAATAGTTTTATCAATTATTAGATAACAAGTAACAAAAGTTGCTATTTATTAAATGCGTCAATTTTTTTTTTAATAATAAAATCCTTAAATCGTGATATTACATTACAACTATTTTAATTTTTTTTATTGTAATACTCGAATAATATATCGACCTCCAACATATTATGGGGTCATTGCCACGATGAATCTTTACTTATCCAAGTTAATTTGCTGGTTTTCAAGAACTTACTTATACATGATTTTATGACCTAGTGTTTATAATTGTCCTAAATTAAATTTACAATTTAAAAGTTGATCATGATAATTCACAGGCTACAAAATGACACATAGAACGTCTCAAATTCTGACATAACATATGTATGATGTTTTTTTAAAATTTTAAATTTACGGATGTCAGGTATTTTAAAACTTAACGGGGTCAACAGTATTCAGTTAGTTGTAAGTAGTATGATATATGTATAATATGTTTAAATTATTATCATATATCATTCATAATATACAATTTGCATTACATTTTTAGACACGAGTTCTTTAGAACACATTTTGTAATTACTAGAGAATCTACCGGGTGATTCTTTTAAGGCCCTACATACATTTTGATAAATTAAACACGGTTCTCACTTCTCAAGCCTTAATGTAAAAAAAAACTAATGATAACGTTCTAAAATCTGGATGTAATTTAAAAATTTAACAGCCTACCCTAACCTAACCTATAGCTGACCATTAAAACGCATCAACCAGTTGGCCAATTTATTATTATATCTAATACCTATCTATGATCAATAAGTTATAACTTATAACATATTATTCAATTTTTAACTTTTGTTTTAGTAGTGACATTACAAACATATACATTACGTAAAGGGTGTACAGTTTTTAGATTAATACATTTTATAGCAACTAAAGTAATCAGTTATTTAGTCAATTAATGTAAATTCAAATTGTTTTGTCCAATTACATTGATTACTCCGTCATAATAATTATAATATGTGATGCTAGCCGCACATCATACACCAGTAATAATAACCGCGCATTATAGATAAATATGTATGTGTATGTTGGTATTGCTGTGAAGAGACATTTTGTTGGATGGAATTCTGTCGAGTGGATTTATGTCAAAATCTCGGTGTTTTTTTATCGAGTAGCTCATTGTCTGATGGCTTTTTGTCGTGCTTCCATAGAGAAATTACACTAAATTATTGACAGAGAAATCCATCACAAATGGACCACATTTTATTTTTTGTAGACAACAACACTACGCGTGTCATGTTGGTACCTGCTAGAAATGATGAATGATTACATTTTAAATCGTGATAATAGCTTTGAAATTTGAATTTATATTTAAATCAAATATTAAAACTCGGGTTTAGACTACTGATCTTTTAATTTTAACTTTTTTAGTTAAGACTTTAGTCTTTACAATTTATGATTTTTGAGTAGAAAAACTAATAATAGTTCCAAAAAAATCTCGACAAGCAACGGCTATGACAAACAAAGTATTTGCAAATACTAATTGTGCAAAAATATTTCTGGTATCCAAATAACAATATTAGTTAGCGTTCAAAAGTATACTTAGTATGCTCAACGCAATGTCGCAATAACAGATATTTTAAAGCCAACACTAATGTATGTATTTTTTGGTAGACTAGTATTAAACACTCTTAGGAAAACGTTCCTGAGCCCAAGATTGATTTTGATAGTTATTGTTTGTCAAACTATAATTAAGATTTAAGTATCCATAAATATATACTTTAATTATGAAATACAAGCCTGTAAAAATGAAGCAAACACAAAATGTGTTACTGAGTCGCTATGAAATAATTTCCTATCTAATCATTTGGATTTCAGGCATATTATATGCGTTATATCATCTTTTAAAGATAAGTTCAAGTAAGTATTTTAAATTATAAATATATTGTTTTCTATCAAGAATCACTAAGTTCAATTTGAAATTTTGCTGTAGCTTTAAAAACCTCAGATCTTCCAGATTTAGTGCCAGGATGGCAATGGTTGGGTCGAAAAAAAGATAATACTTGCCCTGAATGGAGGTTATGGACAACTTATATTATTTACTCATTAGCTCCATGGATTGTTCTACATTCTTTAATGTTGATGTTCTTAAAAAAATACTTGAGAAAGGTATGGAAGAAGTATAAACAATATTAATTGTGATAATAATAAAATGAGATCTAACATATTGTATTGTTACGTTTTTCTCTAGATACCAATATTACAAGACTTCTGGCTAGTCACTGTGACGAGCCTATGCATAAATTACAACTTTGGGCTCTTACCAATTTTTATCTATGCTGGTATGACATTAATTTATTATTGTTTAATGTTTGCCCACGATAAATTAATTATTTGGATTACGAGTGTGTTTCTCTTAGGAGTATGGTCATATTATGATTTCTTGTTTGTGAGTGACCTTATCACTAAATTTCTATGTACTATTTTTACTCAAAAGCTGAAATATTAGCTTAATTATTCTAAATAATAATTGCATTCATTTTTGTATTATATATTTAAACAAATTATGAATTTTTGTGTGTTATTGTTATAATAATGATAATATTTACTGTGTTGTTCTATTTGTTTTTAGGAATATCTTGATACAAATACAAATGAAGAAAATTCATATTTATTATTGCTGACTTTATACTGGCATCAGTTACGCTGTATTAGTTTTGCATTGAGCTCTTTAGAAAGAGATAGTAGAGAATGGAAAAACTATATTCATTTTTTGGCTTACTCATTCTATTTGCCAAGCTTTTTCTTTGGACCTATAATAATTTATGAGAAAATTATTGTAAGTGAATAATTCATTTTTATGTCATATTTACATGTTTCAATCATAATCCTTATTGCAGGATACTCCTAAGAATTATACCAATACAAAATCATTACCAAAACGCGTGATCACATTAATATTAAATGTTATTAGATATTTTGGCTGGATGTTTGTTGCTGAGTTTGTGTTGCATTATATCTATGTTAACATGTTTTTACAAAATATTAAAGTATGTAGTTAAATGTATTTAAATATTATAGTTTCAAACAATTTTTATTTATCTCAAAGGTGATTAAAAACTTTGGAATCACCGCACTTAGTGGATTTGGTTTTACCATGGGACAATTCTTTTTTATTAAATACACATTTGTTTACGGCATAGCCATTACAATTGCTCAATTTGATGAATATATAACACCTCCTATGCCACCCAAATGCATATCAAGGATTCATTTGTACTCTGATATGTGGAGAAGCTTTGATCAAGGACTTTATGATTTTCTAAAAAAGTAAGTTTAATAGTTAAAAATTGTATTACTTATATTAGTTATTAAAACACATGTCACATACATTATTTGAAACAATTTTTGTAGTTTCTTAACTGCAATCATCAATTCAATTTGTACAATTTTAATGAAATTTATAAATACCTTATTAATTAATTAAACACATATTACAGGGTGGTGGAGAATGATAGACCAAATTTGTAATGGGCGCCATAATTTTAATTTTTGAGGTAAAGGGGTGATACAAAAAACAAGTTGTTGCACATTTAAGAAAGTTTTATTGGATGTGAAAAAAATATTATTTGTGAAACATAATGTCTTATAGATGGCGTCCTTGAACTTAGATGCATTCTTGGAGGCGCTCGCCAAAGTTTTTCATCAATTTCTCCAACATTTCCACTGGATGCAATTTCACTTCTAATTAAATCCTTTAAGAGTTCGTGGCCTGTTGACATAATTCTTCGACTTCAGATACCCCCATAGGAAGAAGTCGCAGAGGGTGAGAGCAGGGTAACCATGGAACGTCACCATTTCGAGAGACCAGACGTGCGGGAAAAATTGATTTGATGAGATCCATTGAAATTCTCGCCTTGTGTGTAGTGGTACCGTCTTATTGGAATCGAATATTTTCAGTATCCATTTTGTTTTCCTCTAGGTAAGGGATGAAAAAATCTTGTGACATAGCCTCGTAACGCTCAGAATTCACCGTCACTGCATACCCTTTATCATATTAAAAAAAATAAAGCCCAATTATTCCGACTTTTGACAATGCACACCTAACAGTTACTTTTCCACTGTGAAGAGGCTATTGGTGCAATTTTCTTGGGTTACCGTTTGCCCAATATCAGAAATTTTGTTTATTGATGTAGCCGTCCAAGTTGAAATTAGGTCTTTTGGTCTCTGCTACCGGCGAGGGTCTCCAAAAATGCATCTTCGTGCAAAATCGCAATTTATTGGACATTCTGTTTCACAAATAATATTTTTTTCACATCCAATAAAACTTCCCTAAATTTGCAACAACTCGTTTTTTGTTTTACTCTTCTACCTAAAAAATTAAAATTATGGCGACCATTACAAATGTGGTCTTTCATTCTCCGCCACCTTGTACATCACACTATCAATGCAATACAGCCATGACTGGATGAAATTTGCCATTATGAAAAAAATAACATTTAAGTCTGGAACTCGCAAGCAAAGTACATTATTCAAATTAGTTTAAACAAAGGGGTTAATAAAATATTTTTTATTAAATTTATTATTTATTATATTGAATATCTTAGTTTGTTTAAATTACTTTTTTAAACTACATTACTATTTTAATAAATATGTTGGAATATTTATCAGAAGCACAGGCTTCTTTAAGTTATGTAATAAAATTAAGATTTAATTTTTTGAACTAAAAAAATTATTTTATTCACATTTATAAATAATAAATACAGTTTTAAACGGTTTAAGTTTAAAATACATATTTTATTAAAAATAAAAAGTTATTTAACATAGTTATTTATACATACATTTTCTATAAAATGTATTATATATTTTAAATACATTTAAAAAATAACTAGGATATTATCTCTAAGATTTCTATAAATAATGAATAATAAATAACAGTTAATTTATTATTAATCAAATTCAAATAATTTGATTTGTAAATAAAGAAAAAAAAATCCTAGTTATTTATTATTTAATTAACATTTTTTCCAAAACTGCTGATGTGTTTGACTCGATTACAACAATCAGTTACTTGTGTAACTGATTTTTTACAATTTAAAATACTTAAAAATTTAATGCTAGAATGCTTAACATAATCAAGTGGAGAATAAAATGTTGAAATTGGTGATTTTAATAAGTCTGGAGATCATATTTCCAAGTCAGTTTTTATTGTACCGTCACTAAAAAAGTATACTTGTTCGAACATAGCATTTGTAACATTGCCAACATATGTTTGTTGGTAATTATATATTAAATCTCTTTTCAGCTTTTTTTTGCTAAAATATTTATGTTTATTTTTACGACATTTGTTTAAAAAGAAATCATAAAAGTATCGTGCTGTGATTATGGCATCCCAGTTGTGCGGATCACCTCGTTCCCATTCATAAGCATTTTTTTCTGGGTGAAACTGTAATCCTATGAATGGATATTTTATGCCTTCTATCGTGGAAATAAATTCGAGACCATCTTTATCATTATTTATTGTTATTGCATTCCAAAATGAATCTAAACCTGTAGAAGTCAAGTTTTTTCTCGTCATACACCAACTAACAACAACGGTGAATAATATTAGTCATAAAACAAGTAGAAATGTGTGTATATTCATGATTTACCCATGATGATTTGCTGTAACCGGTTCAGACAACAATATATCTTTAATATCGTTTGGCATAGTTTGAAATAAAACACTTTTGGCTTCCATGTCTGAAATTAGATTCAATGGCGTATTGAGGTTGTTACATCGACACTTTGTTAGCGGTGATACTCCTTTGTTTGAACTTAGTAAGAGAAGTTCAAATCCTAGGCAAATGCCTAGAATAGGAAAGTAATCGCCAGCGGTATTTATCTGAAATATGCTATAGTAGTAAAGTATTTAATGTTCATGATATTTGATATATGATTATATTAAATTATTAAAAATTACTTGCTCTAGCAAAATACAAATGATTTAGACTACTTAAACGTACAATTGATTGACGTCAAAATTAACATTTAGGATAGATAGGTAAATTAAAATGTTTTTATTTTTATTTAATGTAACAAATATTTAATAATATAAATTTGATTAGTTTTAGCTATATTGCTATGTTATTTGTATATGTACAAGACTAGAAATTATCTGTTGATGTAAACAAAATTTAATTTTTGGGGTTTTTTTTCTCTTAAGACTACTTTAGATTTTAGTAGTATATTAAAAATAAGTAATAAAGTCAACATTTTAATAAAATACTTTAATAAAATTTGTTTTACTGTGGGTGTCAATTTGTAATCCCAAAAATATTTTCTGTTAATGATTTCTTACCAATAAAAGTACTATTATTAAAGGAGTAGGTTCAACCCACTCTATATTATTACTCTATGGGTTCAACAGGTTCCTTAGTATTATGCATAAAAAAAATACTCCAGTGTTTCTTACTATTTTTGCTACTTTGAAAATCATATCCACTGATCTACCTATTCCATAATCGGTAGTAAAATCGGCTCCTCCGCCGGGTATTAAAATTCCATTGACTTGCATTACTACTTCGCTACAAAAAAAAAAAAATGTATTATAGTTGTGTACATCATGATGTGACACTTTTTATGGGATTTTTTTTTGGTCTTATTGTTTTCATTCTTTTAGCAGACTACAAGGCATTTGTATCGTGGATTTAAAATTTGTCACGAAAGGGGGTGTGTGAAAAGAAATACATTTAAAATTTACTAAAGTTGTTGTATTAATGTTGGGAAGCTTAATTGGACTACAAGTCGACTCTGAGTTATGGCCGAAATCTTTTCTTATCTGGTTGGGTTATGGGCCCTTTCAGGTAAGGGTCTAATTACGGGTTTTGGTTTGATCGATACTATCAGGTAGTTTTTGACAAAATAACTTTACTTTTTAAAACTTCTAAGGACTGACCCCTATTTAAGTATTTCTCAACTCTTCGACTATGCCGGCAACGGCAACAGTTACTCAGTGCTCTAGCTCAATTGATCTTTAATGTAAAGTATTAAGTCCTGAGAAACTCAAAATAATTTATATTTAAATTAAATACTTCTTTTTCATAAGCGAATCATTATTACCTAGAGACTTCAAGACATTTTGAGGACATTAAATATTTTAGAAAAGAATGCTAATGTATGTATATTAGGGTGGACCATAGCTTAGTTATCTTAGGTCTGGTCGAATTTTTGATTTGCCGACTGATCGACATAATCGACTGGAGATCGATTGGACTACAATTGCATACATGTATGCTGCGTGATTTCTCACGAGAGAACATTAATTATGTATTTATATTTGTTACAATAATTGTTACTACGAAGCATTGGTTTTAGAATATATTCTATTAGTAATTAGTGTATACTCTAAAATCAATGCTTTAAAGTAAAAAATTAAAATTTGTGTTATTTAAAAAATTTGTATTTAAATTTAATTTAAGCAGTTTTTTTTTGTTGAATGTTATTAATTATTATGTACTTTAATTTACATTTTTGAACTCAATTAAGTCCAATTAAAAATATGTTTATTTAAAAAAAAAACGCGTAATTAAGATTTAAAAAAAAATGTATTTTCCTAGTGGATAGGCGCTTATATAAATATGAAATATTTATGACATTCTTTTTCGTGATAAAATAAGAGCCATCCTAATGTGTATCTGTACCTTGCGTCTAAAAGGGCCAGTCTCACTTTTTGTAGCTCGTGAAAAATGGGCTTTAAAGTTTTTTTCTCTATGAGGCTTTATGTTAAATTTTTTACCTTTGTAAAATAAATTATTTAATTTTTGCCTCGAAAATGCCATTTTTTTTACAGTTTATAAAGGATGTGTAAATTTTCATTTTTAATTAATTAAGAGAAAAACAACTCATTCCAATCATTTTAACTTTAATTTGAAACGCCGGAATTCTACAATAGTTTTAAAAATAGATGTAGTAGTTTTCAATACTTGTTTGATATATCGAAGTATATTTAAACAATTTTAATCTCCGATAAGTTTTAGTGAAAAATTGTCTTTACAATGTACGCTAATGAATGCAAGACGTTTAGAGGCCCCTTCAACTATTTTATACTAACAAATATAGTATTGTTACAACCATTATATCCATACGAATTTCTTATTATACAATGTGTTGTATAACAAAGCGACCCTGTTCGTAATTAAGATGTAAATAATTTCAATAATATTTTTTAAATACATTTTAGAAACGTCAAATTTTTTGGTCAAAATTTATTTTAACGACATTCATCAAGTCTCATATTTAAAAAAAAATGTATGAAAATATTGTTTTGCTTTAAAGGGCCACACTATATTGAACCAAATCCCCTTCCGTGCTTGCGATCTGTGAATTTTTTACACTTTTAGTGTATTGTGTAAACACTATAAAAAGGTACTCTGACCTATTATTTAATCATCATGTTAATCATGCTATGTTGCCGATCATTTGGTTTACATAGTGTAGTATCACTAATAGCGAGTTTTAAATCTCAAAAGCTTCAAATAATTAGCTGTGCACACTGCGTTAAAATATTTTTTTTTATAAGGAAGAAACAAGAAAAAATGTATATGGGTTTTCGTTAAATTAAATATTTGTCACTACAACAAATTGCTTGTCATGTATTGTTTGCAACAATGATCGGAATCTCCAATTTCAAAAAAAAAAAATGGTATAATACAAAAAGGATTAATAATTTTAAATTTATGCTTTTAATGGACTTATATTAAAAAAAAAAACTAAAATACCCAAACCACCGAATAGTATATTAAATATTATTCGAACTATTTCGGCGCTTCTGGCAATGATTTGTATGTACTTACGTATAATACATTAGTGACCTATTGGTGAAAACCGGAATCACTCGACCTCCTGAAGCTTCCACAGACTTAACGTACGAAGAAGCTATGTAAGTCGTGCTAAGTGGTAGTTCAGGGTTGCTCTTCGTTAATACTGACCATTTGATTTCTTGAGTCAAAATCCCGACTATCGGCTGGTCGTTGCCATTATTTTGCGACGATAATTGCAATGCAGATAATAAAACAGTTGCCCAAAAAGCAGTCGTAAAACACGTCATTATTATGAAGCATCTATTTTTTTTACGTCTAACAAGTGTATTAAATAATAATAATAATACCAGCGGCGTAATACACTATGCAACAAACAAGTGTACGTTTGTCAAAACTGTGCGTTAACTATTTTTTTAGGTACCAATGACAGTGCCTTTGGCATTGAACTAAACAGATAGGCCTATAGCGCCGCAATACTAAGGTTTGTATTTTTTACGCGATACTTATATAGATTTACCTTTATCAATTACAAATGTAATATGCATTGCTATATCATATAAAAATATAATAATCACGTGAACCCGATAGATAAAATCATTACGAGTATGGTCGGATATTATACACCTCTTATGTAAAAAAAATATCTCTATTACTAAATATTAATCTTATACACAATTTAATGGGACTATGTTGTTAATAATAACATTAATTTCCCGCGAAAATAAATTTAACACCGACGCAATATCGTTTACGAACATATTGCCTTGTTACAAGTATACTGACACAACTGTTGGCTAACATTAAAAAAAAACGTCACAGAAAATAATTTACACAAAAAAAAAAAAAGAGTACTTTTCGGTAAAAATAATACATTTTTAACTTGTCAGGACACACCCATAGGTAGTACTAGCTGGTATTGCCATTTTTAGTAGAACGTGGTAACAGCGTTGCCATATTTTAAAAGTGAGAAACCAGTGCATACATGAGTTATTGAATTTGCCTTTAAAATATTACATACAGATCTATTATAATAATTGTACAATCGATTGGCAGAATTGTTCTAAATACTTCCGCATCGAATTTTAGTGATGCTAAAATATACATAGAAATATGAACAAACAACGTAATTAACCGTCTCATTCACAAATGAAGTATTATATTATGCGTAATACATCCATAAATGAATTTGGGAAACCAAAATTGTGAAAAATACATTTCTTTATGTTTAAAACGAATATTCAAGTTTTAGAAAAAATTGGAATATCAATGTAGTACTGTTGTGTTTATTTAGAATGAAATGACCCATTATAGTAATTAAAAGTTAAAAATAATAACTTAAGTTTTTAATGCTTGCTTGACAAAATTTTCTTTATTAATTTATAACACATGTAGGCATTTTGATTTTCGAAAAACATAAAAAATAATTAAACTAGATTAGAAACTAATTAATATTTAAGTGTCGCCCTCTTGAAAATGTAACATGATGTATATGAGCAGTGTCACTTGCCATACGCGTTTCAAGTGTAATATCTGAATAGTTTATAGTGATAAAAGTATTTTAATAAAATTCTCTTTAGAAAATATTACAATGCGTCTTATCTAAATATTGCCGTCTGTGTAAACATAAACATATGAAATTTAAATCCTTTATCTCATGCTCTGTATAAATTTGACGATTAATAATCACGTATATTATGTCTGTTTTAATGTATTGTATGATTAATAATAATATTTATTAATCTATGGGCTTAGCATAACTATTAATTAAAACTACTCGTTTAGCACTGTATTATCTAAATTGCTCGAATTATAACATTATAATATAGTTTTGAAGTGACATAATATTATCAATTAATTAAGTACTATAAAAATTAATTTGTATTTCCACAACGGAAGAATAAATTACCCTTTACAGTGGTGTATATACGTGGGGGGGGGGGGGTGTTTCAGAATATGACACCCTTCTCTGACCGTATCATACTTTAAAAATATTTAAGTATAAGGTGTATGACAAGATTGATTTATCGAATCCTAATGTTTATATGAACATTATTTTTATAAATGTACCTACTTAAATTAATAAATATACTACATATAATTTTTATGAACACAGTTATTATATTTAATATAGATATATATGTATTAAATTTAGATGTAGTTACTCTATTGGTTCTTTATACTATTATTTTTACAAATATCTGGAATTGAATTCCCAGACAATGATGGTTGGGTTTAACCGATACTTATTTGTTATGCATATTGAATGTCTTATGACTTTTTTAGTTACATTTATAAGCCATCTGGCGATTATGTGGACAACGTGAGACTAAGAATGAAGATTTTTAGATCGTTTATGTGCTTTGTTTTTGTGTTTATTTGGCACGGTCTGTCTTGGGATGTTTTTTTATGGACCGCATTTAACTACGCTGGAGTTACAATAGAAACGTTGGCAAGATATGCTGGAAAAACAACGTTTTATTTGCAACATGTTAAAGTAAATTTTATAATCTTATTTATTAATTTGTATTTTTTAATTAAAAAAAAGTACTTTTTAAAGTTTTCTAGGGTTTTTATATGAATAATAAAACAATATGACCTATAATAGATACAGGGCTAGAAATAATTACATTATCTTTTTTTTACATACTTCTTATTTCGTTATTAAGTCCTTTGCTGATTTTATATAATTAATAATACAGTATACACTACCAATACCGAACAAATATAGCTTAGCAGTTCTTATTAATAGAGTAGGTACTATCATGAGAACATTAATATTATTTCTGCTGATTTTATTATTAATGCCAGTGTATTGCATATTATTATAATCTGTATTGTTTGTGCATTATAAGATTAATCCCATTTTACCAGCATGTTCATATTATAATTAAATAAACAAATGTAAGCGAGTATTAGGAGTGTATAGGTATTAATTAGAATTTTTTCAAGTGTATATTATACTATATTGGACGAAATAGGCGAAACTAATTTATGAATTAGATATAGCTGTATGAATTAGCAAACATTGTGTATATTTTAATTATGACTATAACACTTAACTTATTATCTTTAAACATACATATATTTTATATATTATAACTTTCCTTGACTAACCTAAAAAGTACTTTTATGTTAATTATTTTTTTCGTTTGAAAATTAGCCCAATACCAAATAAGATATAAATAGTAATTATGTATGATTTTCCATAAAATGAATGCTTTGATGGCCTCACAACACATTGCGACCTTCATTTTATTATCATGACGTCTATTTAATTATTATTCATTGTTTGTTAAAATCGATACGTGGTGTGATGTGTTGGTATTGTATTGTTTTGAATTTTCGGGTAGACAAGATTACAATATATTTTTTTATGACAAAATATGGACGAAAGATTAATTTAACTTTTTTATATAGTGTTATTTTTAAAATTATTTCATGATCTTGCAGGGAAATATCAATGGACGAAATGAAAGGCGATTTTTAGCACTATTGACGAGTCCGTTAACAATGATGTCAGCCATTTCTAATTTTTTCTTTTTTGGTGGCGTCGAAGCTGGACAAAGTTTTCTTGAAGTTATATTTTTAAAAAGTAACGACAATCGACAAAATATTGTGCTAATGTTTGTTTGTAAGTTAATGATTTGGGATTTGTTTTTCAGATACTTGGATTGAAAATATGATTATTCTAACAGTATTTTACTCCATGTGCCATATATCCGTGGAATTTGAAAATTATAAAAAAGCTAATAAACAAAAATATTGCGGAAAATATAACGATAATAAAAAACATATTACCTAGGAAATTATTTATAATTTGTAAAGACTCGTAAAATTGCCGATACTATTGTTCCTATATTTTATTTTGTAAATGTACTTAAATAATCAGAAAATAAGTTAGATATAGTGATGAGTAATAATGTAAATTTAAACTATTTTTTTTTACTAGTTAAGTTGTTAGTGGCTTTTGTAATTGAATTCTATTACCATATTAGTTTTTGTAAATTAATGAAATTTGTAACCTTTAACCTGACAACGACGCAATGATAGAGAGAACAGAATGTATACGTGTACATAAAAATTAGGTTGACAGACAACCATACAATTTTTTTCATTTGCTTATTTAAACCTAACCTATCTATCAAGGTAACAGTAATATATCTAGAAAACGGACGTAAAGGGCCGCAGCTCCTCTTAAATTTCAGTTAATATACAATTTTAATTACAGTGCAGTGTGTTACTTGTTTAGTTTTTAATTCACTTAGGTGCTATCGACGACAATAATTATTGCACAGACAAACACACACATACAAATAGAAATGTTATGTTGTTCTATTTTATCGATAATAATCCTTATTATGTAATATATCCTTTTTAAGGATATATTTATGTATATGGTCTTACTTCCATTCTGAGATTCGAAAAATGCATTTTCAACGGCATTTTCAAAGCTGTAGCTACATTTCTTAGAGGAAGCAAAAATCAACAACCAATAATTATTATAGATAAGATACAAATTTTTTATTAGAACATAAACTGATTAGTATTTGGTACAAAATATAATTAATGCTTTTGTTGTAGTAAACACATTTTGTAGTTATTGTACTTGATTATGTTTACATTAAATGTAGATTGACAATGAGCTAAGTAACATCAGTAAGATATGATTATTATATAGGGAACTTAAAACTATACTTGAACAGGTGAGTGAAAAAGGATAAAATTCTAAAAAAACGAAAAATAAACTGAGATAGCCATTTTGTAGCTTAATGGTAGACAAGCGTATTATTAATGATAATATTCCATTGAAACTTCATTTATAAATTATAGCAGGAATTATTTAATTCCTGTATAAATTATATAGGAAATAAACAGTACTTAAATATTTCGAAAGTTGGATGTAGAGGAATATTAATACTCTAGCTGTTGATTTTATGTTATACCTAATTTAATTCTTGCTAAGTTATGTAATCGTGTATACTATTTGTTTTTGTTGTGTATTCAAATTAATTGATTTCATTTGAAGTATAGTATAGTATTTAAATTTGAACTGCGTTAGTAATTTGTCCATTATATTCTAATGATAATTTTACAAATCCAACAATTAAATATCAACTAATGATGATGTAAACCATTGTAAAATGTTGTCATATTATTGTCACTGTACATTATAGTAACGTTAGGCTGGTATAAGAACTCAATTTTGATTAGTCGAGTATCAACATTTTGAGGAAACCAATCATTGTTTCTTCAAAATCAATGATGATCCTTTGAAGTAATATGCAGCCTGGATTATGTAAATGTACTTTAATCTTTATGACTATTATATTATATATTCACACTTGGATTAAGTTTCATTATTTACGTTAGTAATATTTTTAACTTATATTTTGTCATTTTACGTGATTGTATTATATTTGCCTAATTTGAAACTCCCAAAGACTTACAGCAAATTATTTAAAGCAAAATAACGCAGTTCAATAATTATTTTATTTGGAAACATTAATAATGTTATAAGAGCACTCGCCAAACATAACAAAAAGTAAAATAAATTATAATATAGCACACCAAAAAAACCCACATCAGTTCAAAATGTGTTCACAATTCATCGATGAATGGTTGTTTCAAACCATTGATGACATTAAAGATATGATTATTTGTCTACACCACGATATTATAACCAGTTCTGGTAACTCACTAAACGGAAAATCGTAACCGTTTTTTTCCAATATGGCCACCTGCGTGTGTATTACATACAAACACAAAAAAAAAAAAAAACGTGTTAGTGGCCGCCATGTTGAAAAAAACCACTACGCTTTTCCGCTTAGAAAGTTACCAGATGTGGTTAGAAGATCGTGGTCTACACTTTACAATGAGATTATATAAAACAAAAATTAATAATTATAGCTATTTTACCTATGATGTTTTCTGTTGCGTTTATTGATGTTATGTAAAAAAAAAACAAGCTATAGGCACAATTTCGCTAAAAAAAGTGGACGGGGGGCTTAGAAACCGAAAAGTTTACAATTTTAGGGATACTTTTTTAAAAAGTGGGATGCTAGCATATCTAAGCCCCCTCAAATTGCGTTTATGCTTATAATTATTATAAGATTTAATACGAATAGTTAATTCGGCAACTATGTTTGGTAATAATTATAGTACAAGTGGTAGTTTTTGTTTGTTTTTGACGAAATATATGGGTAGTTATTGAAAAAAGTTGATATAAAAAAATGTTTTATATTAATTTTTTCTGTTTAGAAAAAATCATTAAATAGTTATCTATAAAACGCTATTCAATTTAATGCAGGTACACATTGATCATAATCTATAACCAGATCTGTTTGTGAAATTTTGACTACATAAAAATTAATTGATGTTTGTAATTTCTTGTAGATAACAAAATAGTATGTTACTATTTATTAAAATTTTACCTACCAACCAAAACACATCGTTGAGATAATTATCAGAGAGCGTGAATGTCTTAAACAAAATACATCTGACTCTGAGATCGTAATGAAACTATACACACACAAATAAGGAATTGAAAACATTACGGTGACTTCTTTCCTCTTTTATTAGTTATCTTTTTCAATTCCTAAAGAAAAAGAAATGTCCATAAACGTTAATTTATTGCAAACTCCAATGGCAGTCTAATTTAGTGCATATCTCACAAAATGAGTTTACAATTGAAAAGTTGTAAGTCTGCTGAAATTCTCACTGAATAAAGGGTTGACTGGAAAAATGTATTGTCGAAGAATTCTAGATTTATTTTTCTCCAAAATATATAGATTTGGGTTTTATTCAATGACGTATCCAATGCATTGAACTCGAAAAGCATTCAAAATTACAAAATACTCTCTCGTTCTCAATCTTCTATTTATTTCTGGGATTAAAACGATTCAATAAAGAAGTTACTTATTACTATTTTGGTCTGTCTTGTGTAGTTGAACTAAGTGTTAGGTATACGATTTTTTAAACGCTGATTTTCACTAAAATTATTATTTACATTGATTATAATATATCAGTTGAGGAACACAAAATCGTGTTGTCAGTATTTTCTGGTAGGACAAGTCTGCGAACCTCCTCTGTGATAAGGCGGTGGCGGTGGAGGAGTCGGCGGAAAACCTCCTCTGTCCTGAGACCCTGTTGATTGTCTGTCCTCTTCGATGATGTCACCGTTGTCCTTTTGAAGGGCCATGAAACACATATCCCTGTTGGCGCAACAACCCTCTTGGTGGCCTATGTGGCATGATGACGATACAATGCTGGAGCTGTATTTTTTTCGGCAAAATATCTACAAATAAAACGCTTGTTACATTAGTTTGACATAGCAATAGGCGTATACGCGACAACAGATGCAGTGGTAGGTACAGCCAGAATTTAATTTTTAGGTGTGATATTGGACTCCGATAAGTACCACTTAAGGTACCTACCCAAAAAATTAATTTTGATGTGCAAGTGAGTTTACGTTTAGTTTTAGAAGTAGTTATAAATGTTAAGATCTCTCTTAGATTTTTATACTTCTTCTGTTGCGCCACTGACGAGACAAGGACAAACAAATTAAAATTACTTTTGTCTTGATTATACTGCGACTGATGCGCCTGAATTTTCTATTTAACGCCCAATAAATGAACGGATTCCAAAAACTGTTGCTTAGTGCTATCCAAGTAATGACGAAGTCCACGGCCGGAGGCATCTGCAAGAAGTCAATTAAATCAATTTAAAATAATGTTTGTAGCAATTTTTTTTTTTTTATAAAAATTGTATGTATTTATATGTAAATACCTTACTGCCCGTACAGGCTGTGACCACTTCCTGGATCGTCCAAGGAGTGACGGCAACAATGAAACATAGAGCTACCGCGCCCATAGCTCTGGTCGTTCGAATACTCTGCCTTAATTCTTTTGATCCTAGCTGATCTGATGGCTCATCAAGTACGTTCTACAAATATTTATATATTATGATTACTAAGGCATGTGTAGGACTTGTTTTTTTGGCTTTTTCATAATTATGTATCTTTAGTCTTTTAGTACTGCAAAAGAAGAAAATCAGTTCTAGTGTCGCAGAATATGGTTGCGAAAAACCAGAAAAGAGTGAGGATTTTGCTAGTTATCCCCATTCATTACAGGGTAAAACGGTGAAGTTGTCTATGGTCTACACGGCCACGTCGCCCGCGATCATAATATGTTTACCATGCGATAGTTATTAGTTAACCGCAATGGAAATAGATTTTTAATTGTATTATTCATTAAGAAGGAAATTTGCATATTATTGACACCAGTCACGTGTTATGTTTATTGCGTTTTTATCCGAGAAACGTCGCACACTCGACATTTCCGTGCGGTTCGATTTTTTTATATTTTTTATTTTACTCGGATTACATTGGTGAAATTCACAATGGCACGAATGAAAAACAGTCAAGTGCTATACGAGATATCACGGGGAATCGAATAAGAGTCTTTCATCCCATTTAACTCGAGCAATATCTTATACCGCACCCTTTGCGTGTTTGTTGTCTACAGCATTTTATCCGATTTTATATGTAGTAGAGTATTTTTTATTCAATATTTATATCCATATACATAGTTTTAAACACGGTATTAATCGCGTTCGGGACTCAATATAAATACCTACTAAAAAAATCAGTAATATTTTCATCGTACCTTAGTAGTGACGTTGTTGGGCAGTATGGGTTGCACCAGAACAGCACAGATATTAACTTGCTGTCTGTGCCTGAGTCTGTCCACGTGAAGCGCCGAACCGTAAAAGTACATAAGGGCCATGGTGGTCGGGAAGTAGAATAGGCAAGCGGCCAGTATGCGCAGACTAGGCCTTTGGTAAAACGGTTCGCACGCCATCAGACCGTTTCCGTTGTAGAAGTATCCTCCACGGCGGATAACGAGAGCCCCAAATGCTGTTAGTGAACCCATTAGAGTCAAACTTAGCACTAGCATACAGCCCTATAAAAAATCAAATAAAATTCTAGAAATAAAACGCGTACATTATTATTTTATATTTATATTTTGACTTCTCTTTTATATAAACCGAGTATAACAGTAGAATCTGTAGATGGTACAGGAATATTAAATTGGTACCAAAAACGTTTGATTGCGAATCCGTGGATGGTTATAAAACCGAAGACAATATTGTCATTCTAAACGTATTTTTTGTAACACAAATTTGACTACAAATTATTATTAAAGTTGTTCTATATACAGGTTAGGTAATTTTAAGTTGGTCTAAAGTAAATTGTTTAGCCTTATAAAATATTGATAATGCGATAAGTTCTAAGCTGCGTTAAAAAAAAAGTAAAAACAAGAATAACTGTCATTTGATTGGGGTAACTATTATTTAGTGATCTAATTTAATAATGACACAATAGACTACTAAAAATAATATTATTTTGATTACTTTTAGCTTGTAAAATCTTGCAAATTACATGCGTTGTTCTGAACAATAAATATGTAGTTTTCGAATGCATTGATGTACTTATTTTGAACACACTATACGCCCAAATATCCAAGTATGTAGAAATATGATATAGTGTTTTTTGTTCCCCAGATGATTTTTATTTTTTCTTAATGGTAACACTGATTTAATATAAATTATAAGTATAATATATTCAACGATTTAAAGTAATTTTGAATTTATTGTATAACGAAATATTGGATTAATTTTTCTCTAATTGTTGTACATATTGAACCACTTTACACTCTATGTTTAAATATATATAATCTATTGTATGTATTGGTCTGATGAATACAATGAAGACAAATATAAGAACACAGAAGTATTAATGCTAGAATGAGAACTCTTTATATTTGAAGTGCCATTCAGAATAGTGGTAAGCTTGGCATCACCGATTGTATATAACATTGTCATAGAGGTATGTATTGGCTATTGCACATGAATCAAGAAAGCAGTAAACATTTCATTTCATTGTCATTTGAATATTGTGACTATATTTTTAATGCAAAAGTGATATAGTAAAACATTTCATTGCTGGGTTTTTATTTGGTTATAACATGAAGTTGGTTTTATTTTTGTAAATTATACTCCGTACCTAACTATTTAAATAAAAACTATGGGCACATGACTTTCAAAGGATAATAACAATATTATGTTTTTTGATAATTTCGTCCTCGAGTACATCAACGTAAGGTATATAAAAATGTAAATAATGAGTTAGGGGTATGCGTATGCAAATAATGTCATTAGTTGAATTTTGATGTTTTGTCTATTGCGTTGCTAGTCCCTCGGGTATGTTGACCTCTATTATATTTCATTATAGTGCCACGAATAGAACTTTAACATAAGTATTAATAATTCTTGAATTTCATCATACGGGAACTTTCGAAAAAGTCCATGAATTTCGGTACTTAGGTGCTGTACTGAGTACTAAAGATGAATGGTCAAGGGAGATAGGAGTGAGGATAACAAAGGCCGAAAGAGGGTCATTTGCCTTAAGTAAGTTCTTAAAATCAATTGTTCAAAAAACCAAAGCTAGATTATATACGGAAATAATAAGGATTACGCTCACCTATGGCTGCGAAGCATGGACTACCACCAGTACAACCAAAAGAAGGCTCAGGACTTTTGAAAACAGAATTTGGAGGAAAATATTTGGACCAATTTATGATAGCGAAAATGCAACTTGGAGAAGCAAATTTAACAAAGAACTGCAAGACGAATTGGGAATTGCATCAGTCATTAGTTTCATAAGAGGGCAAAGGATCCAATGGCCAGGACACGTGATGCGGAGAAGTGAGGATGATATATGTAGAACAGTGCTAAACTGGAAACCAACGGGAAAAAGACCTTGAGGGAGGCCCAGGAAAAGATTGCTGGATGTTGTGGAAGAAGACATTGATAAATTGAGAGTACAGGAATGGAGGGAATTAGTTCAGGATCGAAAGAAATTGAGGGAGATTGTGATGGCGGCCAAAACTCTTAGAGAGTATTAAGTGCTAGAAGAAGAAGATATCAAAGATGTGTTCGCGACTATACATTTTAATTACATAATTTGTAAAGACCTTTCCCTCCCCCAGTCAGGATGGAATCTTTTATTTCGCTTTTTTAGAATTAGTTTTAGGTCTTCTGGTCTGAAAATTATACTGAAGGTAAACAGTTTTCTTAAAAATCTATACTCAAAAATTTTCAAGTGTAGGACTTTATTTATAAAAAAAGAATAAGTTATCGTTTCACGGATGTGTTTAGTAGTTGCGCTTTCCTCTTGTCAAAGGTTGGATACTCATAACTTATACTACCGACACCTACATGCATTTTTGGACTTTAACACTTTCATAGGGGAAGAAAATTTAACTGTATTTTCTTAACACAATCATTCATCATCTAAATACTGAGATTTTCTACCGTAAATTTTATTTTTAATTTATTTACAACTACATTGTCACTTAACAAAAACCAATAATTATAGTATTAGAAATATTTTTTTTCTAGTATTTCTAATTACTATCTACTATTGATTAACTGTTGTAGATTTTGTAAGGAGAGGTCATGAATTATCGTTTGTCACGTTAGCTGTATTTTATAATTGCTATTTTGGAGTAATTGAATTGCCTTTGCCCTTTTGATTTAGAGAGGCAGTGGAAACAACATTCATATATTTAATGACTTAAAGTGGTAGAATTCACATTTTGCTTGTTTCATAGTTTTTGATGCAAGAAATGATTGAATTAAATATAAAATACATTTATATCAGTATTTTAGGCCTAAGTAGGTAAATTTTACTTTTTTAACTTTTGGTGACGGATTAACTATACGTTTCTGTATATACATAATTATGTACTCCCTTTCGGTGTAGGCCGCGTTGAGCCTTAATAAAATATCTTAAAAACTTATAACTTAACTTAAAAAAAGCTAATGGCGAATAAGCTTTAAAGTTTTTATTTTTCATACGGTTTTGTGTTAATTTTTAACACGATATAAAGTATGACTTTTTTTTATTATGAGTAGTAAAGGTAATAGTATCGACGGGTGTGATAAGTTCACTTTTTTGAGTAAAAATTATGGAAGCTCCAAGAAGCCATGAATTAAAATGTTTGTCCACAAAGTATTTTAAGGTTTTAAAGTTTAAACAATGTAATTATGTGCACCAGTAGTCTAGTATGATAACTGTGTTATCGATACAATAATAGTTGAATTGTACTAATTGTGTCAAAAATTAAAACTATATGTATGAAGGTATTGATCATTTTGTATTTTGTAATTATCATAGAAACAAAGAAAAAGTCACGTAGATAAGCTGTAACAGTGTCAGAATAATGTGGATAACGACAGGTTAAATAGTATGGTTTTGCAAAACATTTTGTTTTTACTTTTTAAGCGATATTTTTAGACCTTTTTAATCTTTATTTTGCGTTGTAAAACTAATTTTGCCAAAACAGTTTTGTACGGATGACAAAGAAGTATTAATATACCCTTCTTAATTTTCAGTCACACTGATTTTTTATTGTTATGTTAATTTTTATTTTTATTTTCTTCTCAAAGTTATACCTCCCTTATATTAAAACAATTATATTATGACATGACATTGCGCATTTATAAAGCGTAAAATACTAATTTGGTCATCTAAAGCTTATTATAATATAATGTATAAGTAGTCTATAAAATAGCAGATCTGGACATCAAAGACTATTTGTATATTTGGTAAATCGATAGTTATATAAGCGAGGGTAGAATACTTCATTCGAGCACATAATTTTATTCGTTATGTATTGTTATTTTTGGTTGGAACTATTCGGGTTTCTGGTAGTTTCCGGTTTGAAATTATAAACCATTGAATTTCGTATTCGCTCTTAATGTCTGGAAAGCAAATAAAACAACCGATAAACCTCATTGTAACGGAGTATATACTACTCTATAGTATCCGGAATGTGTGTAACGTAAGTGATAAATAAGCCTAGTGGGGTTCAACACCTGAATGAAAAATATTGTTAGGTAGATTATTGGCAACGAATGATGTTTTCAAGAGGTTTGTGATACGTGTTAAAAATGACAATTTATCATTCTTTGAATAAACAATATGGAATGAAGAACGTGCCATTTGTTTGTACAATATAGACCTCAGGTAAAATTCCCTAAAATGGATAACTAGGTTGCTACTATCTATGTTTGAGCAGACTGATCATATGATATTTGATTTCCTTTACTTATAAATAGCTCTCACTTCATTTCCGGTACAAATTTATGAAAAAAAAGCAGAAGAGTTAAGATCTGTTTTAAGACAATAATTTTTAAGTTTTATATTATATTTATCGCAACTAATTAAATTATGTTTTGACAGTGTATTAAATTAATAATTAATGAAAATCAGGCAATAATGAATAAATATATCAATAATTAAAAACCAAGCACGGTAAAAAAACCTAATAAAGGAAAAAAGGGAACTAAGTAACTAGGCCAGTTCACGAAGTACAGCAAAATGAGGCTGATAAATAAATAAAATTACGTTACCAATTTAAATTGTAAACAAAATATATTACGCTCCTCTACATAATGTTGACATAATTTTAATATAACGTTATAATTTAAATCAATTCGACCATAAACCACATCGTCCCTGGAAAATTCTTATTTATGACTTATATAAAGCGTAAATATCTGAACATTAATTTGCCCAGAGAATCCGGTTTTAAATCACCGACAGTTCATCTCAATCGGAAATAGAAAATAAAGTGACTGTAATTTTAAGGAAATTGCGTGCAAGAGTAAAAATCTTAGTATAAGTCGACAGTACAAACAAAAAAGGTTTACTTAATATTTGTTCTATTCTCTTGGTTGTAAAATACTTGAAATCTTTATTAAACTTTTTTTACTTTAAGTTGAAATAAACTTCAGAGAAATATATATATTTAATATTAAAATGAACCAAATATCTTAATATTGAGTTTAAATATAAATATTTATAATTCGAGCAGTCAGGATATTAAGAATTTATACTTTTACTTTAACTTTTGGCCGAGTACTCTTGACAAAAATTAAATGTTATCATGTCTAAAAATCAATACTAATTCAATTAAATATATCCACTTGGAAGTGGTTTACATGTTTGTGTACTGAAACGAATACAATTATTGCCAATAAGTATTTTCATAACAGTAAATAATTATAGTATACAGTTTACGTATTCAGTATTATTATATACATTTCTATTAGGGTTTTCTGGGCAGTCATTTAACTAAGTAAATATTAATTTATTTTGTGACCGATCATATACATTGATTTAATTTATTCATCTTATTTTAATTAATCGATAAAAATAAATAATTATCTAATACTAGTAGACAATAATAAAATTAATTTTATGTAACGCTTTGATTCGCAAACTACAAAACCTGGATATGGTAAAAATACATATAAAGATGACATAGTGTAATAGCGTTATGATAAATGAAGGATTATCGAAAACAATTGAACATGACATTGCAGAGCTACTAGTATTATTACATTATGTCACCATTATGTGACTATTATGTCAATGGTTTATAAATTATTTCACTCTGTTGTTGACTATTACTAAATTACACTTCTTGCGTTGGTGGTAAAATGTATTGTACCTTTCATTAAATTTAGCAACATCAGTTTATTGTTACAATCGTTTAATGTAGCAATAAATTAAATAATACTTTAGCTATACGTTTATGTAATTTGACATTAACCATGTTTAAAGAGTACAAATGACACAGGTCAAATTATATGTATGTCAACTAAATTTGGTACTGTTAATTTTATTTTATAAAATTAAGTTTGGCTTAATATCGGTGCTTTCTGACGATCATATAAATATTTTAAGTATTCTGTTTAAAATATCGCTTTGCATAAACGAGTATATATAAATCATTTTTGTGATGAATATTAGTCTTTTAATTTTTTTTGTAAAATACTTAAACGTTGTTTTATGAACATTATATTTATTACCTACTTTACAATTTATATTTTAAGTCGTGATGTAAAGTTAAAACTTATGATTTAGGTTAGATCTTTAAAGTTTAACACTAATAAAAAACGTATACATATATTTTTTTAAATTAAAATTTCTAATTAATATTCATTATTTAAACATATTTACTGTAAATTTATGCATATATAACACGTGGTTTTGCTCGTGAAATAAATGTTTATAGTTCAAAATTGGATTTAAAATCGTAAAACTGAGTAATATATATTTTTCAAGCTATTGTTCTATATATGCAATATGCTACGCGAATGTTATAACTAAAGTCCGGATTTATATGTTTTTACATATTGTTACTGAGTATATGCAGTCTTATGAGGGTAAAAAATGTGGACGATTCATTCATCACAGAGTTCACAGGAAAAAGTTTTTTTTGCATATTTGAGAATATTTCATGGTTTAGGGAATATTTAGGTTATTTAGCATATTTTGGAATATTTTGCAAATTGTGAGAAAAACATAATAATTTATTTTTATTTTAAAATTATTATAATTAATATTTTCATAAAAAAAAATACACACAGTGATAGTACTATTAAGTCGCCGCGTCGTGCCGTGCTGTTTACCAAATATGGTGGCTAACCTGCAATACTGCATCGTTTTCATGCTGATAAGAACAACAAAAATTTACAAAATGACCATTAACCTGGTGAAAAGGGTAACACTATGAAAACCAAAGTGACTCAATTATGTGAAAAAAATAAAGGCTACCAAATGTTAGGAAAAGTTGGAAACATTTTATCTGGAAACAATGAAAATCTCCCAGAACATTTCACCCCTAGTGTAGTTGCTGATATGAAGTTTGCTCCTTTAACATCAGTTGATGTTGAACGTTCATTTAGCCTCTACAAACACATTTTAAGCGATAGAAGAACTAACATGAGCCCAGAGAATATCGAGAAATACATAATTATTAACTCATATAATAAAATTAAAATAAGTAGTAAGTAATTTAAATTGTACTTCAATTTAATTCAAGTCAGAATTAAATTTAGAAGAATATTTAGTAAATATTAATTTACTACCATAATCATCATACCAAAGGAATATTGTTTTTTTTTTTTAATATATATTGTTATTTTATATTCAATAAAGAAAATATTGATTTTAATTCATTATTTTTGTTTATTTTTCTAATTTTTAAGAGAATATATGGAGAATATTTGTAGGTTTTTTAGAGAATATTAGAATCATATTTTAGGTGTTTTAAGAGAATATTTATCCGGACCTTAGTTATAACGCTAGTTATCTTTTATGTTAGATTCGATGGAAGTGTGAACTACCTACTCATTTTTAAAGCAGAGTCGGTTGCAGGCGATGCGATGTTCTTTTACACACACTTTTTCTACATAAACCATAACGACGCAAAATTACTTTTTCAAGATACTTTAGATGTCATTAACTGAATAGGGTCATTTTTCTACAATTCCGATGAATACGAAACGTAAAAACAGGATATAATATCTACCCTGAGTACATAAGCGATTTGTATTTATTGTTAATTTGGTAAAAGTCTTTGTATTAAAGTTTTATCAAGAAAGTACAACTTATAATCCGAAATGATGCAATAAATGACAATTTATACAATTGCAAACAGAGAGGAATAAGGAAAAAAATAATGAAATTTAGTAAACAGCTATCATACCAATCGTTGCATAATAATTACGATATCGTGGAATTAGGTGACAATGGATATTTAACTGAGCTTTTTTGTAAACACGAGTACACACATATTCATAATAAAGCAGTTAATCATTTCACGGTGGCACTTATAAGTATTTTATTACGGTAAAATTTGTTAATTTAAAAACATTTTTTTTTATAGTTGTTTATTTTATTTAAGTGGTTGGAAAGAGCATTGCGAGGTAAATGATAATATTACAATCTCTCAAACTAACATTCGAAAGAGGATCAGAGTGTACTAGTCTCTTCTACAATGTATTGCCGTAGGTGGAAAAATTAAATTTTTTACAACAGGGATTTAAACTATCTAAATAACCTAAAGTTTAGCCCAAACAATAATATCACACGTAATGTCGTATATTATGATACTGTGATATTCCACGAAAAGTATATCAAAGCTTGGAGGGCTAAGACTTAACTATCGTACGGACAAAATATTTTATTATTCTTTTTATGAGTTTACTTACTTTTTTGCTCGAGTGTTTATGATACTTGTCCGGATGAAGCATACACGTGTATCGATCTACTGCCATAAACACCAATATCATAGCGTTTTGTTGTGGCAACGCAGCTCTCAATAGCGCCTAAAAAACATATTAAAATAGTTAATGCATTTGATAATTATAAATATTTATAGGTACATAAAGTTTGAATAACTTATTTTCTTTTATTGTGGTCTATTCTGTATGACATTTTAGTATTCAAAAACCGAATACGGATCGAAGTATTGCAAAAATGAATGTTTAAACAGGAACTTAAGCCAGCGTTTCTATGTTACCGTTAAAGAAAAATGATTATAAATGTATAACTATCGTATGCATTTTTTAAAATGTAAAACCTATTTTGAGTAAAACATGTCTGGGTACCGTTGATGAACATTAAGCTTTAAATTTAAAATAAAGCCAAGGGAGGCTAGAGTCCTTAATTCCCATTGGATCCACGCCTGGTAGTATACATGTATCACTCGACGGCTACAAACTTGAACAGAATTATTGAATATAGACTGCAGTCTCGGTGGAATATGCACGGTGGCGATATTCCCTATTCGGCGGTCGGGCACATAATGGTTTGTTTGTGGTACATACATAGTCTGTGTGTGTGTAAGTAAAACCAATGAAATTACTGTTTTTCGAGAATGCGAGTTTTCCACAGATTCAAGTTTACTTTGCATGTGTGGAGGCTGTAAAATCCATAAATTTAAGGGACCTTTTCCAAAGCTAATATTTTGATTTTCTATTGCTGCAATTCTCCTAGATTTTATATTTCAGGCTCTACTACTTATTGTCATATTGCTGATTAAAAAAACAAAAAACTACTTCTCATGTTTGTATAAAAAACCAACACGTGTGCCTTATCGTAAATCGTATGGATTTGTTTAATAAAATATAAATTTATATTTATTTTATGATAATCTCACATCGTCCAAGCCGGAAAAAAACACAGTAATATGAACGTGAAGCACAAGTGCTTTATCTGAAACATTTTATTTCGTTAAATTCAGATAATATTTCTGTATTTCTATTAACATTATTCTGATGACTGTCCTTCAGAATGTGATTGTGAGTAATAAAATTAATCAACCAAGCAGGTTATAAGTTGAGAACCATTTTGAAGTAATTTTTGTTTTGAAACTTTAGTTCTCTAACCGCCACGATTAGCGGATTATAGTTACTGTACTGGAGGGTATAATAATAATTATAAAACAGTCGATTTGGAGTGGGTCAAACAAACGATTCGTCAAAATGATACATTAGGAAACGCTTGTAGATATGAAGGTTTGTACGTGGCGCAAATAATGTTTCGCCGATGAATCATGTCAAACCACTTTCGAGGGCGGATACTCTCAAAAGCAATCTTCTAGGCCGGAGAAAAATTTCAAAATGACCTTTACAAAAACGGTCTTACAAAAATGACACGAAAATATCTCTTCGACGAAACGGCCAAGATAAGAAAAAAAATCATGTTTTTTTAACTTAAAACGTAATATACTTTAATAATCGCTGCACCGTTGTTGGACATATAACATAATCTTTGTTAATATGTGTAATATGCAATATACGAGTACATGTATTAACACCACCAAAACGACTTAGCTCGCTAACATAAAATGTAATTACATTTGATTTTGTTCAAACGATGATTTAGTTCTCTGATCCTTGTCGATCTCATTGCTGGCTTTACAGATTGTCGTCCGGTAATTTTTCTTATTCCTCGGGGACAATATATCATTTCATTCACTATGATATTTTCCATCTCACTCCACATTATCCGCTATTGCCCACGCGCCTCTTGTCTGTCGGACAATATCGCGGCACCCGCCACCACCTCAGTAATGGCTTCATAAGTGGATTTCGATAACGTGAATACACACACACACACATATTTATATATATATATATATATATATATATATATATATATGTGTATTACATACTGGGCACATCTCGCAGAGAGTATAATACGCTGAAAAGTGTCTTAATAATTTCCCAGTGACGTGACGGAAGGGAGCTCAACGGCCGACCAAGGTGCGGACATGCTATAATATAGTCGTTTGGGCTGAGCATTAGGTATCGTTTTTCCAAGGCAATGGCTTTGTTATGCGATTGGAAAATATTACAGTCGTTTAACCGTCTCTATTCTAGTGCGCGAACAGTGGAAAGTCATTCAAAGTTAACGGGTTTTTAGTTCAGTGTATATCAGCGTCGAAGTCGTTAAATTAAAAATATAATAATAACCGTCCAATGCCCACGGGTGCTATTGCGGTGTGGTCACAATATGCGGTCTTGTCAATATATGAGTCGGTTAGTGTGTGGGTAGATGTATATATCTCTTTTTTTTCGACCTGGGAAGAAAGTGAATACAAATTTTAAAAAAAATTGTTCGAACGGTCAGAACAAAGCTGTTAAAATATAGTAGAGCAACATTTTTTAACACAAACGTATGTAAAATTAAACATTAAAAACAAATTAAAAATTATTTTATTTTTTTTTTTAAAGACAAAAACTCTACACAAATATAAGTTGCACTAAAACGAGTTTGGTTAGAAAAGGAAAATTAAAAATCTCAATTAAATCCCTATTATATAAGCTTGGACATATTAATATTGTAAAATAATGTAAATTATAATGCATCTACCATTTAATTAGTTGATTTTTGATAACGTTTGTGGAATTATAAAATAATGTTAAACTAAATAATAAAATTAACAGCTCAGCAGCAAAGCTAAAAAGTAGGTAACTAATAAATCTCGCAAGTTTTATTTTACTCAATAAAATATAAATTATATTATATTATATAATTAACTTGTGACTTTTTTTTTGTTTATACGTCTAATTAATAATAGCATTCGGTAATAGGTAATAAGACCTTTCTATAATTTTCTTTCCTATTATAGTTCTGTGAAAATAGATGAACCTTTTGGCACTATAATTTTTCGACTCGTAGGCCATCTTACCGATACCGTTAATGACCTATAAACATCTGTTAATGTTTCCCTTTAAATGCGTTCTCGTAACGTAACGCATATAGCAGTCGAAACTTTTCCCTTTATCTTTGATACTTACTTAAATACACAGATTTAATTGAGTAAGAGAGCATTATGGGTTTTCACGAGTTTGTGGGTCGAGTATTTCTTCCCTATACATTTTCTATTAACGTTTTTTTATACTTACTTGAATTTGACATATTATTTCGGAATATGGCCAACAGTGAACCAATGCCGAAAACGCAGCTAAAGGAGTGACGAGAAGTCCAATAGCCAAGTCGTTACAAGCTAGTGATGTTACTAGATACCTAGGCTAAAAATCAAGAACAAAAGTATTTATTATTTAAATTTATCGAATCGTTATATAATTCAAAATTATATTTTTCTTGATATCTTATAAATATTTAATGGTTTACCTGTGGATGTATGAATTTTGTGTATTTATTGCTATTTATTGTAACGATTACTACCAAATTAGCAATTAATATCGCTAATGTAAGTAGTGAGACTAGGGCACTCTCTGTTACACCGGAAACGGTTATACGATAGATCAGTCCATTAGAGTATACACGTGAGTGCCAGCAACTGCTGTTGTACAACAGTGGTGCTGTCAGCACCGTTGACCTACCTCTCATCTTTCACATAGTTTATCCTGAAAAAATGAATTAATCAATAATAATGTCCATCTGTCACAAACTAAATTGAAGTAATTTCTAAAAAAAGCATTGATGTTTCTAAAATATGGTACATAAGTTACCTATAATTTGTTTGTATAGAATTTGAAGAACATCGACAAATTAACATATAATCTTTAATTCATAAGTTGGAATTAACGTAATAGAGTTAGCATGCAAATATTTAATAAATAAAGTTTTTAAAATTATAGTTGAAAGCTGTTTGTAGAGTAAGAACTTTTACTGCTTATATTGAACCAAAAACGCGGTTCTTTGTTAATATAACATTACTTATTACAAATATAAACTACTATATTTGCTTTTATAAGGGAGTAGGGATCCAAAGGTTAAAATATAAAAGGGGTAGGTACCCAATATCCATACATTTTAAAAATGTGGCGCTGCTACTATAAATATAGAACACTCGACGAAGTATCATTTTACATTTTATGCGTTATACGTTATTACCTACTATATGTAAAAAAAATATATTATTACATGTTTATTCCATTGGTAAAAGTTGGGTAACTTAACCACTGAATTATAAAAGTGTTAAAAAAACAAATAAACATAATTATTATTTATTTTTTCAATCGGCCTATTATTTGTATATTATAATTATCACCCTTTTAAAATATTGATATAAAAAATATTACAAATATTTAAAGTATCGAACATTTTATACTTTTTTAATGGTCGGAAACCCGAAAGAATTAATACTCCTTTATCCAAATAGTTTTTGATAGCATAGAAATAAAATGGAGACCTTAAAGCGGTAATTATTAATAGCTATTTCCAACATAAAGTTTCTACATAAAATCTAATTACGTGTGTGAAGAATGTAAATAGCCCAGTTAGATTATTAATTATGCGGTAATAGTAAAATAATTATTTGTATATCAATTTAAATTTTATTTTTTGAATTTTTATTATATAAGGTGATTTAAATGGTTATATTTTTAAAATTATACTTCAAAGATTTAGAGAGATATAAGTGAAATTATAAAGTATGTTGTACGTTGTATAGATAATGCAAGTAGAGATGTAAAAGAAGCAATGTGCCATCGTTCATACTCGTAAATAACATTTTTTTTCTAATATTAGACGTATATTATATTTAATATTTATACAATATACATTAGCAATGAAAATAAGTGTATAGGAAAAAAAAAATATATATATATATTTTTATATGAGTACAAATTTTGTTTGTATGGGATATTTGAATATTTTTTCATTCGAAAAACTTTATTGTTAAGATTTTAAGCACGACAAATCTGCCGTGTTTTTTTTTTTCGAATTTTGTAGACTCGCAACAATGATTTGTGACCGATGGAAAATTCACATTAAGAAGGACCGTATGAACACATACACAACGCAGGGCCCATTATATTACATACGAAGACACTCCTCTTTTTGGACTTTTATTATAACTCCTCCCGTTTGTCTGTAGTATTATATACTCTTTTTCTTTCTATGTAACTCGGTTATACTCACTCAGTCGTATTTACGACCATCGTTGGCGGTAGCGCTCAATAAAAGCTCTATCGGCCCAAGTAGTACATGTGTGTTTGAGGTAGTTAGTGGAAGGAAGTTTGGCGCAACAAAGAAGGGGAGAAAAATTGTATTTTATACGAAAGAGCGGAATGCTGATAGTCGCAGGTTTTGTGATGAACAAGAAGAATCATTATTAGGTAATGCATGCAGTGTTATGTTGTACAGGAACTTTTTTAGGATTTATATATATACACACACGTACATATATAAATTATAATACCTTTAAATCATTAGGAATATCATAAACACTATAAGTGGTTGTTTATTAGACCACAAGAAAATATAGTTTTTTACATCCTTCACGTTTTACAAGTATAATATTATAAATCCAACAATTTTTTGTAAATTAAATATATTAAAAGAAATACCACAAAACTATAGTACACGAAAACCAATGGGCTTTTGTATTAATAATGTTTCATAGTTATTTAAATTTCGTATTTTTGTATCTCAAGTCCCCAGAGACTTACTTTGTTTTAATTTTTGAGCATGTTAAGATGATAAATTAGCTGATTTATTCGATAAAACTAATAAAAAACGTGCGATACGTTTATATAGTATTATATAAATGTATTATTAATAAATAATATACTTGATTTTATTCTTAACGAAACATTAACGTCATTACTCTATGTATACCTTGCATAACTTTTATCTGCGATAAATTTAGGAGCTATAATAATTTTTATTTCTTAGTATAAATATGTATAATATATACTTATATCGTCGACCACTAGGAGTTAAGACAAGAGTCAATTTTAAAAAATTGTCATTTAAATATATCAAAAACATATTATACTATGGTACAACTGATTTAAATAAAAGAGGTGAACGAACTCTTTTGTTGTATTTTTATATGGTTACAGCAGTACTAAGTTTTCTGATTATGAGAATTGTCAATTGAGAAGCTATACAAAATAATAGGTTTACCAAAAAAATAAACATAAAAAGTACGATTAAATATTATCTATTTAATTTTGGTTACATAAAAAAGGCAGATGTATTTGTTTAGAGTAATACATTTAAAAGTAATGACTTTTGTGCATTAAAAAAAAATAATTGCAAACAACTGAATTAATTTTTTAAAAGCATATTGCAGGTGTGAACATCTGAGTTGGTTACACGTTTTTAGCATGGAACATATTTTTGCCTGGGCTTCCCAGCTCGCAAACGACACAAAATAGCTACACGAAATAGCGTGAGCGGCCCTACTTCTGTTAAGATTGATTTGGATACACCGGATCATTTTGGTGTGGTCGGTCCCTGTGCCTCTTGCCTCAACACCTCTACTCATATTATGCTGCACGACTGAAATGAGCGTAGCGGTCCCCATCTCTTATGCGGCACTCATATACACTGTGTAACATACAACATATAAGATGCCATCGAAATAATAACGAGTCGTCATCATGCAAACGTTTTGGCCAGAACATATAGTTAAGACTAAACTATCGTCATAAATCGCAAGGAGATTATAGATCAGAAATAATCGCTATTCAGGAACCAGTAGGCTAAATCATGTTCCATGGTTTATAATTTTAGCCGTTAGGCTTTAAGTAGAACTGTCATTTTTTTTATCAACAGATTTGCATGTGGTTATAAAAAGTTAACAAAATAGTTTTGGCACTTTTTCATTATACTATATTTTTTTTTTTTTTGAGAAGTTAAGTTATTCGAAATTGCTCAGTATTTAAATGACGATAAGGTTCGCAAAGTGTAAAGAATAAGTAAATACTTCGGGTACCGATGTCAACATATTTACTAACAATGTGATTATTATAGTTATTCTTTTAGTTATGACTACTGATTCAAAAAGCTAAGGGGTATTACGTAAGTGAATTTTTTTAGAACACTTAGTCGAGTGCACATTCAGTTATATATCAATCATCTATGGAAATAAATTTGTGCATTTGGTCAACTCAATCAACATGCAAGAGTGATTGAAATAATCTATTGTACTCGTATATTATCACCATATAAATATTCTTATTATTGTACAACAGCTCAAAGAATAGAAATACACCACAATCTTTTCCAAAATATTTAAATTCATCGAGGGCGTAAAGAAAGGGTAGTGTACGGATTTTATCATGTCAGATTAAATACAAGTAAAACAGTTAAATTTAATGTCCCTATTACTATACCCACAAAATAAAAACGAATAAACTATTTTTTTTTTGAGGTTTTTAATTTTACATTTTTCTATGCATTTATTTCAAATGACTGCGTTTATTGTGCGACGAAATAAAAAACTATATAGACAATTATAGCGCCGTGGCTGCAATGATATTTACTGTTATAAGTTTCAACATGGTTGCTGCGAGTGGATCATAAACAGCGGTAATTAAAACAATATTATTGATCGAAAAAAAGAAAAATAGGTCTTATTAAACTTTTAGTCGCATGTCGTCTTAAACGAAAACCAATATTTTTAACTTAAACCGCCGGACGTTTAAAGCTATTTCGTTGTACTGATCAGTCGACTAGTATTTATTGACGGTTGCCACCAGATCGGCCGGACACAAAGTCAAACGAGACTCTGCAGGGCCTGCCGAAGGGTGTGTGGAAAGCAATGATTCACCCTGTCAACATAAAACCCTATCCGGTTGTCTGATTTTCTTTCTTTTTTTCTCTCTTTCTCCGGGTTCCGGACTGTAGCCAAAAAAATATTCCTATACATAATATAAAGGATCGCAACCCGGGTCGCGTTAGAAATGTTGTATTAGTTACTCGGCGGCGAAAAATAACAAATCGCCCCTCACCTTGGCCGGGACACCAAATAAATTTCCCCCCGAGGCACCCGACGAACCGTGCACGAGCAATATAGACAATTCCTTTACTATTCACCCAAACTTACTTTTCGGAGTATAATCCGTTTTTATTCGATCTCGTAAAATACACTAGGTTTGCACTCCTCCCGTTTCTATTTATCACAGCGGACGCTGCAGACGTTCTATCATCCGATATCCGACGAATGTATAATAGTGTTTGCCATCAGCATTTAAGCTTAATGAAGCTAAACAGAATGTCCCGCGCATTAAACGCCAATTTTTACTAAACATGTTTTGTACGGTTTCATGCAGAGATTAAATTACAAATTATTTTCCATACATAAATATATATATATATATCGTTGCACACGCTCAACCGTCGTATGCTGTTCGGCGGTTACATAACAAAACATGCAGTAAAAGGTGTTATTCATACTCGGCCGTTTTATAAATGAAAACTGACAAGTTTATGAAGTAATTTTATTTATTTATTTTTGTTACGCATAACGCTTGAGCTGTAATCATAGAATAATATTTGTACGCCCGTTTTAATTAAAGTGAAATGTAGACGAGCAACAATTGAATAAAACGAGAACACCAAAATAATTTTGTCCCCAACGTGAATAAATATGTAAAACAATTATTATTAA